GTTGTTTTAAGTCCAGTTTAAGTCAGTGTTACTCCAGGATAAGGGTAAAGCCTCCCAGGAGCCCAACGCCAGAGGTGATGAAGCACCAGATTGTTATTTGGTGACTTCCAGTGACTTTGCCTCAAAAATAACTACCAAGAGGACTCTCACTGGGTCTGCAGTGCCATCATCTCAACAGACCAGGGCAAGAGCTCACAGCCATGCAGACAGATTAACAGTGGGCACAGCCCTTCACCAGCAGAGCCCTGGTGTGGTCCAAGGCACAGCACTGACCAGGAACCGTTCCCCTTGGGCATGTTGGATGAGGCCAGATTTGTCTGGAGGGGTAGAAAGTTTGGTGTAGTGACACAAGCCATTTCACCCACTCCTAGAGAAAATGAGAAACTGTTTATTGTTTGGAGAGGCTGTGGAAGTTTCAAGAAAGATGCTTTGGTTTTGGGTAGATAAATTCTGAGTCGGGTGAATCTCACCTGCATGGGACCTGTGAGGGATTTCCACTGGCTGACCGTTCATTTCCAGCCTCACAGGGGCTTGGATGCTCATTCCTGCCATCTCCCCTCCAGGTTCCACCCTCCCTCGGTGGTGGGGACCATGGGCAGTGCCGCGGCCACGGCCAAGCTGCTGTCCCTCAGCAGGGCCCAGTGCTGCCACGCCCTGGGCATCGCCGCGTCCCTCGCGGGGGCCCCCATGGCCAACGCTGCCACCCAGGCCAAGCCACTGCACATCGGCAACGCCACCCGCCTGGGCTTCGAGGCAGCCCTGCTGGCAGCCCGGGGCATGGAGGCCAACCCCTTCATCCTGGACGACATCCCCGGCTGCTCCGGCTTCAGCGCCTTCTACGGGGTCTATCAGCCCAAGCCGCTGCCCGCGCCCGGTGACCACCGGGAGTTCCTCCTGGAGAAGCAGGATATCGCCTTCAAGCGGTTCCCAGCCCACCTGGGGATGCACTGGGTGGTGGATGCTGCCCTGTCTGTGAGGAACCTCTTCGTCCACTACGCGGGGTCCTTCTCTCCCGCCCTGATCCGCAGCATCGTGCTGAAGATCCCAGTGTCCAAGTACATCAACCGGCCCTTCCCCAGCTCCGAGCACCAGGCCAGACACTCCTTCCAGTTCAACGCCTGTGCTGCCCTGCTGGATGGTGAGGTGGGGCTCGGCTCCTTCAGCGAGAGCAGCATCCACCGCCAGGAGCTGAGGGAGCTGCTGGACAAAGTGGTGGTGGAGCACCCCGAGGATAACGTGGCCAACTTCGACAAGATGTACGGGGAGGTGGCCCTGCTCCTGCACAGCGGGGACGTCCTCACCGGCAAGTGTGACACTTTCTACGGGCACTGGAGGAAGCCTCTGAGCAAGGAGTCGCTCCTGAAGAAGTTTCGATCCAACGCCTCCCACGTGCTCCCAGAAGAGAAGGTAGAAACCATCATCGCTACGGTGGACAACCTGGAGAACCTGTCCGACAGCTCCCAGCTGGCCTGCAGCCTGTGAGGGAACAGCACGGGGGCTTTTCAGGAGGGGTTTGTCCCAGTGAAACTCTGATTCCTTTCTTCATTGGTGCTTTACTTTGACTTCCAGTGCCAGGAACGTTCCCACCCCTTCAAGCAGACGCTTCACTGCCAAAGGAGCCCCTGGGGCAGGAGGTGTGACTGTGTCAGCCCTCAGCACAAGGAGCACATTTCAGCTTGTGGTTGATGCTGTCTGAGTGGCTGAAAGGCCACCACAAATATAAAAAAATCCCACGGAAATCCCTGAGAGTCTTGGGGTGTCGCTGGAAAGCTGATTCCCCAGAAGGAAGTGTGCCTGTGTGTTTTTTAAAGCTGGATTCCAAGTTTTCCCTGGGCACAGTGCCAGCCCACTGAGTCTGGGAAGAGGAGGAAGTTCAGCTGCAGAACGTGTGCTTTTCTTAGTGCTCTTCTGGGCACTTTTGGGATCAGGATTAGTTTGTCCTGGTGGCCAGATGGAAAATCCATCCCTTAACTGTAAACAGCCCTGCCTGCAAAGCTTTCTGGCAGAGAGGGATTATTTTGTTTTTCCAGTAAAAGCCTCCTCTTTCTCCAGCCTTTGGGAAGTGTTTGCCACTTGTCTGTGTGCAAAGGGTGGTTCAAGGACCCTCAAAACCTACAAGTCTTGTCTGAAGGAAATGCAGTTGGTAGGAGAGGAGCCCTGTATCAATCCTACAGCCCCTACAGCTCCTAGGGGGTGATCCCTGCCCATCCCAGGGCTGTGCCACACCACCCTCCTGGCTTGGCACAGCTTGCCCCGGCACCTGCTCAGAGTTCATACAGCCCATGGGCATCTCTAGGTGGTGGCTTGGGCACATCCATGCTGTGAGTGACTCACATTGGGAAATTGCTGTTTCTCCCCCCTGAAAGGAGGGGAAGCTTCCTGAGACTCAGCTTTTAACTCACCTTTCCAGCTGGGACTAAGTCAGTTCTCACATTCCTGAGCAGCCATTCCCTGAAGGGCTCCTTCCCCTGCTTCCTTCCTGAGAGAGGAGATGGAGAACTGCTCAGCATTCCTGTTCAGCACTGGGACTGCTGATCCAAAGGGCTCTTTCCAATATGATCCCAACATAGGTACAGAATCTGCTGCAGGAGGGAGGGTTGTTCTCCAAGGGGGACGAGGTGGGACCAGGCAGGTGAGAAGGAATGTGGGCTGGTTCCTTTACCTTCCTGGTAGTGGTTTGTGCAGAGAATGTCCCACTGGGAGCAAAACCCTTTGCTCACCTGTTAATCCACTCTCTCACACTGCCTGATATTCCCAGCGAATCTTTCTGAATAAAGAACAGAATTAAATTCACTTTCTTCATAAAGTTTTAATGCTTCCTTAGGCAGACTGTCAGGTTTTTTGGGTTGATGTGAACACAAACAGACACAGAGGCTTTCCCAAAAGGTGGGGGACCCAGCAGAGGCTGGACAGGGACAGCTGGGACAGCAGGGACACTGTGACCAGTGGTTTCTCCAAGGTAAAACATACACTGAGCCCCACAGGTTGTTTTTCCTGCTGAGGACAACAGCCCTCAGCCAGCAAAGCCAGCAGTGCTCCAACACGATCACCCTGAGAGAACTTACCCAGTGATTCTCCATCAGCAACAGATTTCAAATACTTGCCAAGTTCCCATGCCAAGTTTCCAGTTTCCCTTGGTTCCAGTCAGGTGTGAGGTCACCAAAGAGATTATTCCATGTTTTGCAGCCCAGTGAACTTGAAATCCACGGAACCAGCACCCTGAAAGTCCTCCATGAGCTTGACACTTGTCCAAGGGATCAACAGGTGTGACAGAACCGAGATGGGCTGCAGTGCAGGGAACAAAGCCTCTTATCAGTGCTTCCAGTGTCCCAACCTTTATTCCCATTCCCTGCTCAGTGCTGCAGTGATGCCCTGAGCAGGGGAGGAGGGAACTACCACCCTTCACCTGTTGGTGCTGGAGCATAAAAAAGGGTTGCAGTTTGTCCCTGAGATCCAGGAACCCTTCATGTCTTGGCTGTCCTGGCAGACACAGTCCTGACACCTCTCAGCAGATGGTGTGTAAAATTAGGACAGGAAGGGATAGGAAGGCTGGAGGGGTCCAATTTCCTTTTATTGGTTCACTTATCAGTTCATAGAGTCCCACAATCACTGAGGTTGGAAAAGCCCTCCCAGCCCTCCCACAGTCCCCCCTGTGCCCCATCCCCACCCTGTCCCCCAGCCCAGAGCTCTGAGTGCCACTTCCAGTCCTTCCTTGGACACCTCCAGGGATGGGGACTCCACCACCTCCCTGGGCAGCCCCTGCCAATGTCTGACAGCCCTCTCTGGGAAGAAATTCCTCCTGATGTCCAACCTGAACCTCCCCTGGTGCAACTTGAGGCCGTTCCCTCTCCTCCTGTCCCTTGTTCCTGGGAGCAGAGCCCGACCCCTCCCCTGGCTCCCCCTTCCTGTCAGGGAGTTGTGGAGAGTGATAAATCAGAAGCAGTAAGTGGCTTTTCCAGAGCATTTAGGAGCTAAAGGTATGCCTGAGATTCTTTTTTTTTTTTTTTACTCATGGAATTTCCTATAAAAGCCTCAGACTCTGAAAAAGCCTCCACTCTCCCTGCCCAGGAGAATGTCTCACTCATTATTTCCATTATCAGACCACAAATGTTTTATATCTCTAACAAATTAGGAGGCCCAATCCCTGGCAAGGGAGGTTTTAAAAGAGAAAAAAAAAAAAAAAAGATCTGTGTGACACTGAGGGTGTTCAGAGATTAATATGGTGCCACCAAAGCCCTGGAATTCTCCTCTCAGGAAAGAAAAAAGCGCCATTTTCCTTCTTTCTACTGCTGTTCCAAGAGAAATGATGCCTTAAATTAAGGAATGAGAACATTCCTCCACAAATATATTTCCATCAGCAAGCTCAGTGGCTGGGAGGACACCAGCAGAAAGCAGCCCTGAAAGCAGGAAGGGGGCAAATTTGGTGTGCAGAGGATGCCACCACAGCTCTGCCCGTGGGCATCGCCCCCATCCCGAGGGCGGTACCCACCCTGACAGGCCGGTCAGCACCCTGGAGAGCACCGGTGAGCGCTCCCGGGGCTCCATCCAGGCCGGCCCTTCCCGATCTCCACTCACGAGGCAAAGGGGAAGAGATGCCCGTGGGTTTCTCTGCTCTGCAGTTCCCACAAACCACCCGAGGCAAAGCAGCTCCCACCCCTGCGCTCCCCACTTACACGAGATCCTGGTCACCCAAAAACACGAGCATTTTGGGGGCTTCGCCTTTTTTTTTGTCACCTCGTGGAGATGTTTGGATTTCCCGCGAAATGACGGCACGGGAAAAAAACAAATAATACAGTTAAGTGGTTGCTTCAGTTTTATTGAGGGTTTTGCCTGCGGAGATCGGGAGTGCCCTCCCTGTCCTCCGGTGCTGGATGGGGATGGTAACGATGCCTCAGCGTGGCCAGCTGGGGAACTGCTCTCCTTGGGAAGCCCCAGCTCCTTCTTCGTTGTTTTCTGCTTTTTAAATAACTCTGAAATTCTTTTCTTTCTTTTTTTTTTCTTTTTTTTTTAACGACCAAAGGAAGTAGAAAACTTAGGGCAGTCCCACAAGTGCCATCAGTCAGAGTCAGAGTGGATCATCCTCCTCATCCCTGCATAAATCCAGGACTTTAGACCCCCACCTCACCTCTGCTTTTCCCCATCCCTGGAGTCAGGAATCCTGTGGCTCTTGATGCAGAGCTGAGTAGGAGGATGGAGCTTCATTTCCAGGAGTGTTTGAGTGTCAGACACTGAGGCCAAGTTCCCAATTCCCAGACAAAAAGGTGTTTGGACACTCACAGCTGGATTTAAACCACTGGCCTGAGACAAGAGGGGCAGGAGATGAGAGGAAGGGAGGCAGAAACCTCCACCCATGTCAAAGTGACCATGAAGAGAAGAGGAATGGCAGGTTCTTTTGTGCTCATGGTGTAGGAATGAGGGGATTCAGCTGCCAGACCTTAGGAAAAATGCCCTAACATGAGCAGCAGAAGGACAGATCTTCCCAGAAGGCCATGAAAGCTCCACTGATGGTGATGTATAAAAGCAGGACTCGCTCCCAGGAGTGGAAGCCGAGCAGGAAAACTCTGCCTTGGGAAAACTCTCGATGTCCATGCAGCCCTACTTTTATGGCTGGGACTGGAGACTTGTTCTAGGTTTATGAAGGAGAAGATTGGAGCTGGTCATCCAAAGGCTGGGCCCTGCCTCCTGTCTCCTGCTGGGACCCAGGCAGAGGCTGGGCTGAGGTCACAGTTCCCCCTCACTGACTGCAGTACCTGGAAACCTCGATCAGGTTCTCATCGGGGTCTCGGAAGTAGATGGATGTTATTGGACCCACAGCACCAGTCCTGGCCACGGGACCTTCTTCAACAACCACCCCACAGGCCTGGGAGGACACAGAAGAACAGGGATTTAATGCTTCAGGTCATGTCCTCAGGGTTTTGTTCACTCTTCTCCCCGCAAGCCTTGAGAACGTGAGCTGTTGGATGAGGCAATCCCGACATTCCCCAAGACACAGACCCCAAAAGTGTCATTTGGAGGCTCTGTGGCTTCGTGTCTCCAGGGATCCCACTGCCCTGTGGCCACTCCCTGTCTGCCTCACCTTCAGATGATCCAGCAGCTGCTCCAGGGGCACCTGTGTGACAAGGCAGATATCTGCAGAGCCAGGGACTGGGCACCGAGCCTTGGGTTCAAACTCCTTCCCAACCTCGTGCAGATTGAACTTCTGGTTGCCAAAACGTAGAGCTTTGCGATTTCCCTGTCCCCAGAGAGGAAAACCAGAGTAAATGAGACTTAGCCTTGACTCAGCTTGACTCTCCAGAAACTCAGAGTCTGATGGGCTGCAGCTTGTGCTGGTCCTACCACCCCCACCCCAAGGAGGGGCCCAGAGAACCCATCAGAGATCCACAGGTCCCACCCCCTGGCCCAGAACAGCAGTTCCAGGTCGCCTAGACCCAACCCAGACCTGTGCCCTGTGTCACCTTGAAAGTCACCACCTCCATGCCCAGCACTTTGGAATAAAAGGCCACAGTGTCCTCGATGCTCTTCACAGTCAGCACAAGGTGGTCCAGGTGCTGGATGAAACATGAGGGGGGACTCACACACTCCTGCTCCTTCCAGGACATGTTCTCGAGGCCGGGAGCTGCCATGGAAAACCAGAGAACATGAAAGCTGGGAGCATCCAGGCACTCAGGGACACGGGCCAGGCTAATGGAGGTCACACAGCTTTGCTCTCAGCCTGCAGGTGGCACAAGTGCAGAGGCAAGAAATCCTGCTCCTGGCAGGGCCTCACACTCCTGGTGGCTCTGCTGGCACCTGGTTTGGGCCAGGTCTGCAGGACCAGCTGAGTGACCTCGCTGAGGCTGATGTCACCAAGACACTGAGCTCCCAATGCACAAAACCCAAGGAAGGACCAAGTGTGTGACCCTTCCCTCCAACCCCCTCTGGGGTCTCCCCAGCCTTCCTCACGTCCAGGTGTGGACACTCATCCAGGGCAAGCAAAGGCAGAGAGTGGAGACCCAAGCTGGGACCTGGCAGAGCAGTAGGAAATGTCTCCAGGGCCATGTGTTGTCACCTGCCCTTCAACCTGCTGGGTGTCATCACCAGGCAGAGGGTGCTGCCAGGGGCTCAAGGTGATGCAGCCCAAGTTTACAGCAGTTCTTGGTGTTTTCTGCTGGGTTCATATCCCCTGGCACTGCCCTTCCCTTCTGGGGACAGTGGGTTAGTGGTGGCCTTGGCAGTGCTGGGGGAACAGCTAGACTCGATGACCTTGGAGAGCTTTTCCAACCTCCAGGATTCCAGGATTCTGCCCAGGGAATGCTTGGCAAGCACAGATCTTGCAGGAGCAGAGTCAGTACAAAGTCAGGCACAGTCTCACCAGGGAACCTGCTCCCTGCAGCCAGAGGATCCTGCTTGGAGAAGGACCCAGCAGAAAGTCACTGCCCCTCCTTGCTGCTGGTGATCAACAACCTCTCCTCAGACCAACCTGGCTCGGCCTCTTTGCAAATCCCTTCCACCCAGCACGCTCCCAAATTCCAGGACCTTTGTGTCCCAGTTTACAGCTCCCAACCCCCCAGCCCAGCCAGCCCTGCCAGCACAGCCTCCCCTCCCAGGTGAGCCCCTCAGCCAGCACCTGCAAGGAAAAGGGGGGTTACCTGTCAGAGGGGACAGAATTGGGCAAGGCGGTGCCAGACGGGGCCCCACGACCTCCCTCTTCCTGCTGGGTGAGCAGGAACGTCACAGGAGAGGGGGAGGGAACAAGGAGAGCTGAGGTGAACCTTGAGCCAAAGGGCATGAAAGTCCAACTGCTTGAAAAGGTGAGGAAAAAGGAGCCTGGATATTTTAACCCCTTGTTTTTTCCCTTTCCAAGGGAGAGGAAGTTGGGTTTCTGTGCTGTGTGAAAGCTCTCACTGGGCTGATTTTATTCCCCCACTGGATGCTCTCTCCCTGCATTTATTTTGCATTGCTTCTTCTCGAATACAAAATCTCCAATTTTGATTATTGTTAAAACAATAATTTTAAAATCATTCCAGGAATACAAAGGGACTGTAAAACGTACAGAAATCATTCCTACACCCATCAAATCATTACTAATTGCACCCCTATTCCCTCACCTCCATCCTTGTTTTCCTTGGCTGGAAAACCTGATGATCCTAACTAGTCAGAGAAGAAATGACAAACCAGAAGTAAAAAAAAAAAAAAAAAAAAAAAAGAGCCAAAAGAAATGCTTTGCCTTGTTACACTCTCTGATTGATCAAACCCCACCACCCCCATCGCTGCTAACATCTTTGGTGCAAGCACGTTAACAGCATGGCATCTGAACACACTATAAAAACATCATAAAACTTGGGTCTCGTAAGGGATGAAAAGCATCCTAAACTTGGCGCTGAGTACTTTTAAATTTGAAAACAAAAGCTGCATAGTTACACAGCGCAGCATCTCACTAGGAATGCAAACGTGCAGTTACTTCTTTTATATATATATTTATATATATATTTAATATATTTTTATATATATTTTTATATATATTTTTAATATATTTATATATATTTATATACATATTTATGTATATATTTATATATATATAAGAGTGCGACCCCTCGCTGGGCCTGCTCTGCTCTGCCCCTCGCAGACCCTCCTGAGGGTCGAGGGCAGCCGGGAGCGAGGATGAAGGTCCTGCTGTCCCAAAATCGGCTCTTTCACCCAGCGTGCCAGAGGCCGATCCTCCCGCGGGCTCGAGGTGTTTCATTTACAGCTCTGCTCAGAAAAGAGGGGGGGTAAAACTGGGCGGCAAATCCCACAGAGCCGGCGCGGCGACTCCCGAAAACTTTTCACGCGTTTCCTTCGCGGTTTAGAAATTTAAAATAAATAAATAAATAAAAATAAACAATCAAACAAACAGGTTCAGATCTCGCAGCGGTGCTCCCAGCCCTGCCCGCCGGTGCCGGCGGCAGATGGCGAGAGCGAGCCCCGAGCGGGCGGCGCTCGGCCCGGCCCGGCCCCACCACCCGCATCTCCCGGCGGGCCGCGGGCGCTCGGCCCGCCCCGGCTCGGCTCGAACCGCATCTCCCGGCGGCCCCGCCCCGGGACGGGCCCGTTGTCCCCGCCGGCCGTTGCCGAGGGAGCACGGAGGACGCGGCGGGGCGGTGAGGTGAGTGTAGGGGGAGAGCTGCTGCTCCTCCTGCGGGGCCGGAGCTGCTGAGGGGGATGCGCTGGGCTGGTCCCGGCTCGGGGAGCCGGCCGGCCGCGTCTCGCTGCTCCCGCAGAGGCGATATCAGCCCCGTGGGGCTCGGTGCCCGTGGGAGAAGAGCGGGCTCCTCACGGCTTTAATGAGCACAGCCCCGAGGGGCTGCCTGGGCCGCGGCTTTGTGCGCGGAGAGGCCGCCGGGCCGAGCCGGAGCTGCGTTCCCCTCACGGGGCCAGCGCTGCCTTCTTCCCTCCCTGCCCCTTCCAGGCCTTTTGTCAGAGCTGGCGGAGCCGAAGGAAAGTTTGGAGAGCGCTCGTGAAATGTACTAAAGGCAAGACGCGGTTGTTTTGGTTTGGTTTTGTTTTGTTTTGTGTTCTGTGTTGCACTAGCACTTGCAGGTCTGAGAGATGTTTCTCCCCTCTGCCTACAGCAGAATATTGTGATATGGTTTCCTAGTGTCTTCTCTCCTTTTTACCTTTCCACCGCCTAAAACTCACAACACTGCAACAGAAAACGTTTGGAAGGTGATAAGTGAAAGTTTGTATGTGTGAATGCTCCTTCCAGGTAGTAAATGAGATTATTTTGGATGACAAGCCGAATAGAGTAAATGTTTATCTTTGAAGGAGTCAATAGAGAGAGAGTGTAGCCTGGAAATACTTTGTGATAGGCCAAGGTAGACAGGTGGTTTCTCCTCCTTTTTTTTTCTTCTTCCCTCTATCAGAGAAGTGGGACAGGATATTGTGAGAAAAGCATCATCTTGGCCATGTCCGAGACTCGGGAAATTCTAAATCCATATTCAAACAATTAAAGGTTTCAGTTTTTAAGATTTCATTAGGAACTCCATCTGGCCCCTCTGGCTTAGAACCTTTGATATTTTTAAATCCTCAGTTTTGCTCCTTTTGAATGATGCTGGGACAGCAGTTCAGTTCTGGGAGTTACATAAGAATTTGGACCTAAAGCATGAGGTTTGATACTCTAGTTTTAAGAATCCATCTCATTAGGGTCTGGCCTTGTCTAACACTGCAAAGTCATGTGCAGTTCTTTGTAGTAATCTGTCAGATGCTGGTGGTGATAGAACCATTTTTTTAAGTAGTGCAGTATTCTATTACTCATTAAAAAAACACCCCAAATCCCAAACAAAAAACCAGAAGAAATCTCTACAGGTTCCCCTCCCCCATCTATTTGGCCTTAACCCAATGATTTCTGAAGACAATTATAATTCTGCATACACAGCTGGAGCTGTTGTGTAACAAAAAAGCTGTATTTTGTACATGGATTAAAGCTGGTATAGCATTAAACTTAAAAGTTTAGGTTGTCCTCTGAGCAATCCAACCGAGATAGGAGCATTTACAGTACAATATATGAGTTTGTTTCAGTGAGTGTTATTACTTTTGTCTGTGTTTCATATGATGTACTGCAGTTCATTCTGGTCTCACAGTTTAAACTGCAGGTGGAGAGTGGATTCATTTACATTTTGTGATTGGGAGGTAAGCCATGCCTGTTTCAGCTGATGAAACTGTGGGGGACCTGGCTATGAGGGACACGGGGCTGACTCCAGCTGGCATTGAAGGACCACAAGGTTTGTACCAGATGCTGTTTCGTGCAGTTACAGACTTTGATCAGTGACTTCTTTAGTCTCTTTCTAAAAATTAAGTTCAAATACCATTCAGAATCTCAGTTAAATTCTCAAAGGTGCTGTGACCTATGTTTAGGTTGGTTGTTACAAGAAAGGAGCTGCTAAAACTCACTGAGCTGTAACATTCACCCTTCCAAAAGCAGAGAGAACTTTTTTTGCTGAATTAAGGTCAAGGCCAAATCCATTTAAAAAAAAAATGGGGACCAAAAGTACCACGCAATTCTTCCATGTTGCTCAGCTGCTATTAGAACAGAACTACTGGACTTATTTTCAGAATTATGAGTCAATCCTTTCAAGCTGCAAGAGACTATGTTGACTTTGAAACAGATTTGAAAGCACCTTCATTGTAAAGCTAATTTAATTTTTTAAGTGGTGTGTTTGATCCTACTTGGTTGCTTGCTAAATTGTTACCTTTGCATTGTGTAGTAGGTAATTTTTTAAAATTTTTTTTGTTTGGGTTTTTGGGGTTTGTTTGTTTTGTTTTGTGTTTGTTTAGTTTGCTGCATCATTTGAACTCCTTTTTTTTCTTTTTAGTCTGTAAGAGGAAGGAAAAAGGAAGTGATTAACGTGCCAATAAATCTGACAAAATTATCAGACCGATGGAAGTCGTATAAAATATCAAATTACTCGAAAATTTTCATTCAGTTTTTTTTTTTTCAGTATTTCAAAGCGAGATAGACTTTTGAACTGTGTGTTGTAGAATGTATTGAAGGTAATTTAAAGTTGCCTTGCTTTGGGCAGAATCATCAGCTACACAGAATGCCAAAGCTCGACAAGCCATTTCACGGATCAGCCGAGAGGAACTGGAAGACAGATTCCTTCGCATCAGCGATGACCACATCCTGCTCAAACAGCATGCAAACAAGCAAGAGGAAAAAATTAAAAGGTATGGGCTTTAGTGCTTTTGTTTTCACTTTTTTTTTTTGCCCCTCAAAACATCAGCAATCAGCATTAAAAGCCACGCTGATTTCTCTCAGAGCGTGGTAAAAATCAGGAGTTGGAATCCCAGCTACTGCTTTGGAGTTGTCACTTTGGGTTCCCAGCTGTGCTGGCAAAGTCCAAATATAACAGGTGTTCTGGGAATTGCAGAAGAGGCTATAGAAGCTTAATGATTTATCAAGAGTTTTTATTCTAGAATCAAAATGACCCATATAGGGAGATCCTGCTGATTATCAACACCTTTCCAGCTCCCAGTGCAAAGCACAGCACTGTGAGGGCTGCTCTGGGGAAATGAACTCCAGCCCATAACTAAAACCACTGTGCAGCTATCTTCAAAGAGTTCTTCACAGGCAGCACTAGTTACATCCAAACCTGCATTTATTATGCTGAATCTTTGCAGTGATTCCATTTCTTTCAACTTGTTATGCTGAGTTTTCACGTTCCTTTTTGCATCTTCGTGATTGTTTTCCCCAGAATGACCACCAAGCTGATCCGGCTCGTGAACGATAAAAGGAAATCTGAGCAGGCTGGTGGTGGCCCCAGGAGGCTGGGCCAGGCCCTGGAGCTGGAGGAGATGATGGAGAATCTGCAAGAAAGAGTCCGAGAGCTTGAGAAGCAGAACGAGAGCCTGCGCCACAAACTCATCTCGACCAAACAGCAGCTGCAGATCCAAGGCCACCGGCCCTGTCCCTACGGCCACGTCCAATCCCGCATCAACACGGGCCTCAGAAAAGTGGGAGAGGCTTCTGGAGTGCCAGAGCAGGCCAAGAAAGGTACCATTCACCTTGATTCAAAACAGGGAACCCGGAGAATCCTCCCTGAATCTCCCAACGTCGTTAGCGCAGGTTGGGAAATTATCGCAGAGAAATTATCCCAACAATAAAACACCCGGAAAAAATTCGGGGAAAGTTTAGCTCTGCAAGGTGTGAAGAGACAGGAAGACTCCAGAAATAAATAAATAAATAAGTAAATATGTCTTCCTGTATCTGCTTTGTGTTTGGCTGATTTAAAAGCACCGTGGAAATCTCGTGCAAAAGTCCTGGTGAGGTCTGAACGTTTAGTAAATAGTCTGTGCTTTCTCATTACTTTATGGATTGCAACCATTTAAGAAACACCTTGATATGACCAAAACTAAATAAAAATATCTCTACTCTGGGCATGTGTACACACAGAGATATGTACATCACAATTACCAACACCTTAAAGTAATACTCAGAGGCCAAAATTAAAAATAAATCAATTTAACGCTAATGCAAAGTAGGTAAATTTTTTTCAGGTGTTTGGGAAACTGATGGTCTGATTGTACCTTGAAGATAAATGACCCCATTTTGGGGGCTGAGGGATGGCAGCCTTCGTGCTGTGTTTGAAATGTTTTGCATACTTTGGTCCCAGCCTCAAAACTTTTATTTTTTTTTCTTGCTGAAAAAAGAGAAGCAGAAAAATTTGGAGAAACCGTTGCTTTTGCTCCTGAAGTAACAATTCTTCCACAGTTTACTTCTGACTTTTCTTCTTCACTAGGGGCTCAGGATGCTTCCAAAGAACATAAGAAAATTATTTGCACTGCTACTAAAAATGGCCCTTTCCTGGCATGTCTGGGTGAACAACGCTTGTGATTTTGCAGAGGAAAACGCTGACAAAAAGCAATTACAAGTCCATGTTCCTGTTTAATAATACTGATATTGTTCTTCTCAATATCTTCTCAATCTCTGCTTTCTGACTTTGGAAGTAAAATCTTCTAAAAAGGCCTCTCAGGACATGTTTTTAGCACTTAACACCGCGCTGGGTCACCCATAGCTCAGATTTTACAGCAGCTGTGTTGTAGATACTCTGTGTCTTTCCATGTGAATTTGATGTAAAAATACTTGTTATGGCATCTAAAGTAGAAGTTGCAAGCATTGGTACTGCACAGAGATTGCTGCTTTGTTAAATGCTTTTTCATTCAGCCTGACAAAAATTGATCTTACCTTGTCTTTTGTTTCCAGGAATGAGATTTCAGAATTTAGCAGTGAGATCATCTGACCCTGTGCTCCCAAAATGTGGACAGAGTCAGCTCGAGGATTCAAGGGCTGAAATAAGAAATTTGTATGGTTTGCATATTATTTTTTTTTTTGTCACTGTTATTCTTAAAACTTACGGTTTTCTTGAAGGGAAAAAAAAAATACATCTTTTCAGAAGTTTTCAGTTTAGAAAATAAACTGAAGTGGTTGGATCTGATGACAATAACAATGCAGAAATGTTTTCTGATAAGGGACACAGAGGAGCAGGGGTTTATAATGCAAAATATAAATTTTTGTATAAATTTCCGAAAGCTATTTTAGTATCTTTCTTTATTTCCATAATGATTTAGCTAAATTGAATTCAGGACATCATCTGTAAATGCTCTATCTTCAATAAGTGGGCAAACTGAGTATAGAAATATATGACTTAATGTGCAGTCGTGTTTTGTGCTTGGAGTTCTGTAAACACAAAGATTCATTGGGATCTTAGGAAATCATTGCAGAGAAATGTTTTCATAAATTACTTTTAAAATTGCATTTACTGGGTAAATTCCGCTGTTTAAGACACATCTTTTGTTTTGGTTTGGGGTTTTTTTTGGTGTAAATTTACCTATCTATTACTTCCACTGCTCCACCCATTGAAGACACTTGAGTATTCATTTAAATCTTTTGTCTTTTAATAAATACTTCTCTGCTCTTGGAACTGAAATTATTTGCACTTGCAGGGAGACCGTGATTGACTCGCAGAGGAAACACATCGAGGAACTGGAATATGCCCGAGAGGTTCTTGTGAACCAACTGAGAAGGAAAGAAAAGGAGATTGAAGAATCCATCCTGAGGTTGAAGGAGCAAGGCACAGCAAGCCAAAGGTACCCTGAAAACCACGGAGCTGTGTGGTGGCAGCAGCAGAAGAGCTGGGTCATAGTGTTTATACACATCTGTCTTGAGTTCAGGTCCTAAAATTTTAATCCCCCATCGTTCCTTCACTATTAATTCTTAATAAAACCTCAGGTAGAGGCTCATGTAGGCAGTTTAATGCTCACTCACACTCAGGAGGAATTTGGAGTCTGCAAATAGCAGGGAAATGTCGGCCCTGCTGTCGTTGAAAGCATCAGGATAAATCCAACAGTACTTTTTAGCATCACAAAGTGGCAGTACTTTATTCCCAGTGCTGAGTGCAGGGGGCAGCTCCAACTGCATGAACACAAATAAATACTAAACAAATATAAATAAATAAATACTGGCAAAACTTTGTCAGTATTTATACATCTTTAGCAAACCAAGAAATTAAGATTTGTTGGTTATAGTTGATATTATTCTCTTCACTAATTAGTGTTCTAATGGTTATTGATTTCTCTCTTCTCATGCTAATTTATTCCACATTTTCATCCTTTTTATTCTCTTTTTCCCAGAGAGAAACTAACTCTTTATCTTCTGGTTTCTTCAGCTGTGCTTTGAGGGCTGTAAATTGTACATTCTTTGTGTCCAATTTTCAGCAATCCTTCTCTCCCCCACTTAGGGTTTGTTCACTGAAGCATCTCAGGGTTGGTTTAGCAAAACTGAAAGTTTCAGTGATTTTTCTGAAGCTGTTTTAACAACAGCAGTGTGTGATAAAAAAAACCCTTTGCCATGTGCTGGCTAAAGTGAAAAATCGCACTGCTTGTATTTAATACACTGCTCATGATTAATTAATTGTTTCAATTTCAGACTGTTCTCTTTAATTGTATTAAGGATTACTCATTTGATTCCAGGGACAGTTCTACGTGGATGAGAAATATGTGGTCAGTTCTTGAAGTGCCTTTCAAGGGAGGGAAGCAGTGACACTACAGAAATAAAGCATCATACTATTGCTATTAAATTACTCACCTGATCACAAGTCCCCCTGCTCAGAATTTCCCTTATGGACCTTGAATAAGTTAAAGTAGTCGTCACCATAAATAATTCCGCTGTGACTACAGTGAATTTGGAAAATATGTAGGTTTTTTTAAAAACTTTTGGAAAAAAATGAAAATAATAAAAATAATTGATTTTCTCTTCCCATACTTGTGAAAATAGTGGGGCTTAGTTGCACTGTTTTGAAGTGAGGAAAACCACATTAAGTATTTTTTAAAATTCTGATTCATTTTAAAGACCCTCTCTGTTAAACAGTACATCCTCAAATTAATCTCAGAACTGTAAGAACATGGATATTAAGTGATTTTTATGTAGCTAACACACACCTGCAGGTTGTTTGAATACCAGCCTGAAGGTGTTCTAGTATGGATTGCAAAGGCCTATTTTCTTAACAGTGCTCTGATAGGTGGAAACTGTGAATACAAAATGCTGTTCTGCTGGCACCAAATACTTTGGATGGTGGGAAAGAAGTGAATGGAAAACAAACAATCTCTTTGGGTGTAGGATGGTTTTCTCTTCCTGTCATATGCATTTCTACACAACAAGCAAAGATGTAGATGGAGTGATTTAAGTTGCTGTGTCATCAGTGTTTATTTCCCTGACTTCTGTGGTGTTGGATTATAGAAGAAGAAATTAATTTGGATATTACACACCGAACCTTCTGCCAAATGTGTTCTCATGATGTGTTTATTTTTAATTTTGAAGGCTAAACATCCAGGACAACGTGGAGATGATCAAGGTCCGTAAGCAGCTGGCTGAGAAAAGCAATGCTCTCTCAGCCATGGAAGGGAAATTCCTCCAGCTTCAAGAGGTGATTGCAGTTTGCTCAGTAACATTTCCTGTAGTGGGAAAATGTTCCTGAGGGCAACAGGAACGGCACCTTCTCCTGGCCTTGTGTTGCTTTCAGTTGCTCTCAGGAATGTCTCCTGCTGACCACATTTACCACTCGTGTTCAGCGCTGCCATGAGACACCACCCCCCTTGGAATATGCTCTGTGGGAACGTCCTGCTGGGTGTGATTGATTTTTCCCTGTATATTCCTTCCTTCTCACAGAACCTGAAGAATCTGAGGACCAACCACGACGCTTTGTTAGCAAAAGGTGATGAACTGAACGAGCAGCTTAAAGAGGAGCGGTTAAAGTGCTTCCATCTGCAGAAAGAGCTGCAGTCAGTAACTATGTCAAACAGGAGGACAGAAGAGGTGAGACTCAGTTCAAGAGAGCTCGAATCTGCTTTGGGTAGTACATGCAGATAAGGGAAAAGTTAATGATGGGATACCTCTTAAATTCAGGAATGTGACTAGGCTGTTCAAACACATTTAGAAGGTTGACCTCTAAAAGAGAAACAGTGGCTGCTGCTTGCACTTGATAGAATTGTGAGCCACACCTGATCCCTCTGCCACATAATCACTGACCAGTGTTCTGGACAGCATTTGAGGTTAAACCATAGGATTTCGTGTCAGTTCTGATACTGAACAAGTGTTTTGTTAACTGTAAAAAAAAATCATTCTTGATGTATTGAAAATGTACTGCTACTTTATTAGTATCCTTTCACCCTGATTTCATTACAGGAGTAATTAAATGCAGTATTACATCTGATTTAGCAGTTCACATCAGTCACTCCTATTACTTAGCCTAGTGGCTCAGAGAGTAGTTTGTCATCACTAACAGTCTTCCAGATTTAGGGCTAAAAATCAAGTGGTTTATTTATTACTCATTCTCTACAATGTATGAAGAGTCTACAAGCACACAAATTATCCTCTATTTGTCTTCACACATCCATTGTCTTTTTGTGCTGCAATGATCCTTCTTCATTTTAGTTACAGGAAAGAATAAATTACCTGGAAAACGAGAATGAACTCTTGAAGGAAAACTATGAGAAGCTGCATCATAGGTAAGTTATGGTTTCTGTATATAAAAAACCTCCATTCCTGCACTGTGCTGGAATGTGCCATCTGCATGGTGAGTGTGCACACGTGTAAATATGTTCATACTCCAGTTTATCACCTCAGTAAGTGTGGGTGGGAACTTCTGGGGTGCAGTTCTTTAATATTTCTAATAATTTTCTTTAGGCTTATTATGGAAAGAATACATCTAGGTAGGCACATTCCATTAGGGTTTTTTTGGCTTTGGGGATTGTTCTTTTTTAATTTTGGTTTAGTTTTGGTTTTGTTTTTTTTTTTAACAAAGGAGTGTTTGAACTTTTTGTATGTTCTTCCAGCCCTTGTCAGTGAGGATGTATAAAATCTGATATGTGACAGCTTCTCCAATGTTTATTTATTCCTCAGACATGATGATAGGTGTTCTCTGTAGCAGTAAAAGATATTTTTTACTTTATTATTTTCTGTTGAGGCTGATTGAGGAGAGCTTTTCACATGTGTTTTATCCCAGTGTCTTCAGTGTGCCCTACGAGCAGCAATGGAAATCCAAGGAGCAGCAGCTGAAACTGCAGATTGTTAAACTGGAGACGGCCATCAAATCTGACCTGGCAGACAAGAACGAAATCCTCGACAAGATTAAAGTAGAAAGAGGTGTGTTTCTGAAAAATATATATTATTTTCTCAAGGTGTGAGACTGCAGTTCAGGTTTACTGCCCAGAAAAATGTCGTTTCTGTGGGTGCTGTTTTCAAAGCTGCCTTTTAAGTGTCCATTTGCTCGATATTATTAAATACAAAAAATGACCCAGTACATTTTATGTGCTGAATGAGGCTCAGAGAATTTCAGCTGTGTTCATTCTTCATCTGTTGGGTTAATATTTACTCTTTATTCAGTATTTCTTCTCCCTCTACCTTGAAAGTTCTTACAGAAAAGAGGCTCATGTGACACTCTCTCAAATTATAAACCACTCTCCTGTTTACTGCACAAAGTTACATGAAGCCCATACAGGCCCCTAGTGCTGTTTGATTGTCTTTTAATTGTATTCATTCCGAATTTTTTAATATTTGCAGTATATACTAATTTTTATTTACAGCTTTGTACATTTACAATAACACAGTTTTCTTATAATCTGCTGAACAGATTATTTCACGAGTGTTTTTCCCATGCTGTAGGACAAGTTCTAGGGAATATTTGTGAGACCTTGCAATTTTTTTTTTGCTCTCAACACTGTGATATGTTGTAGCAATATAAGGTATACAAAAGAAGAGCACAGGCAGGAATTGAAAATATTTAGTTTAGAGTTGATTCTTCCAATGTGTATTTTTAAAAGGTGTCTTTTTGTGAACAGTCTAATGGAATGAAGTGGGCCAATTTGTTGTGAATAATTCTTCTTATGATTATGGCTTGAGTTCAGCTTGTTCTTACCTTTTTTTTGTAAACACTTTTAATATTCACAGTTGCTGCTCAAGCCACTAACTTCAAAACTGTGAACACTATATAGAAAGGAAACTTCTGCAAAAATGAGCCCTGTCCTGGCCAGAACCAGGACACAAAGATTGCCTTGTATTAATACATTCATTTCTGCATTTTGAAATTAATTTTTCATTCACATATTAATATGAAAAAAGCAAGTTTTAATTTTTTGAAGCTATGTTGCATTAAGCTTAATATTTTCTTCTTCTCCATTAAGACCAAAAGGAAAAGCTGATGCAAGACAACAAGGACCTGCAGTTATGCTACCTGGAACAAAAGCAACAACTGGATGATCTGAAAAATCAAGTGAAGTTTTTCACCAAGGTGAATTTTATTTCTGTTTAGAATATGAGAAAAAAGTGCAAATACTTCTTGAAAATAAAAGACTGCAGAAATATAAGTGTTTATTTATTCATGCTGTCAAGCAAAGTCTCATGTCGAGTGAGAATGTGCCTTGTTACTTGAATGTATTTCTTTTATTCCCATCTGATGACATCTTTCCATTAAGTTGCAGGAAAGTGATGTTGATGTGGCAGAACTCAATGAAGCCCTTTTGCTTATAAAGGTAATTTATAAAGAAAAAGCGTGTGAGGGGTTGGATGATCTGTAGGATCCTTCCCAACCCAAACCATTCCAGGATTGATATATTTTGCATTAATTCCATTGTTTTAAATCAGATTCACAGCCGTTTTCTTCAGTTAAATGACTCATCGTGCCATGTTGTTCTTCCTTTAATGTTTATTAAAAACAACTGTGTTTACTAATTCTGTAAATTAATGATAATGGAAAAAAGAAGGAAAAAAAAACGTAAAAAACCCCAAGTGAAAATTAAAACCTCGGTTTTAATAACAGAAGTAACATAGACCTGAGAATAATAATCCACATTTTATACATTCACTGAAGCAGGATTAGTAATTATATAAAAGGCAAACATAGGAACAAGTTTGTATTTTCACTGGATAGACAGGAGTGATTGCTTCTGAACAGCTGCTGAGTTGTAATTGGTGCCTGGTAATGAGGAGATCACACTGCTGAATTCAATCCTGACACTCTCTGGTCTGCCTCGTTCCTAGCTCTGTGTTACCACGTGCTCAGAACTGATAAAACTTCTGCTGCCTGTCTTGTTTCACCACAAGCACCTCCCAGTGCTGTCCATTCAGTCAGGCACAAATACGGCACAGATTTGGCCGTTAATTGTTTTCACTCCCTCCAGGATCGAAAGCAGCAGCAGAACAGGCACCCTCTGGCTTTGGAAAAACTGGAAGATGATGCCCATAGGGATCTGGAACACTCCATGAGGGAGCTGCAGTTAACACACGCAGAAACGGTGCAAGAACTTGAGAAGACCAGGAACATGTTAATTATGCAGCACAAAATCAGCAAAGATTACCAGGTACTAAACTCTGCTTACAGTGGCAAATAACCTGAGAACAGTGATTTACCATTTGTAGCTTTGACACTTTGCAAATTCAGCGAGCAACAAAGCCAGCCTGTGCATAGGGAACCCAAGATAAAATGTGCTGGTGTTGAAAGTATTGTTTAAAAAAATCTGAGGTGGGTTTAACTGTAGCCTTTTAACTCCTCCTGTCACAGCCCTCAAGCTGTGCCCTCCTGGCATTATCTCTGAGCTCTTATCAGCTCTTTAAAGTAAGATTTTAAGTGTGCTTGTCTGATAAGCTCCCCTTTCTGCAACACTCTGCTTTCACTCTCTTCTGTTGCATTATTGCAGGTCATATTTTGACTTCTCCTTCGATTAATTCAAGTTTAAAATAACAGAAACTGTTAGGAAACACTGTCCTGAAAGAATAGCTACTCTGTTTTCCTTAAAAACGTGTTCAGATTTTGCTGAAATTAGAACTGATTACTGCATTGATGTATTAAAAACTGCTGCATTTTTGGGTGCTGTAAATGTTTTCTCCTCAAATCTAACTCTTTTAATTTGTTGCCAAAAGCATTTGCAGTATCGGCGCAGACAAGCCTCAAAAGTCCTTTTTTTTACATCAAATTTTTTTTTTCAGACTGAAGTAGAAACAATGACTAAAAAGATGGAAAGGACACAGAAAGACTACGAGTTAAAACTGGAACAGTATTCCCACCTGCTTGATATTAGAGCTGCACGCATCAGAAAACTAGAAGGTATCTTATTGACCTCAGTGATCCTGATGGGTCCCTTTTCCAACTCAGCACATTCTATGATTCTTCTCTTTAATTTTTTTTCAAAAGATTTTATCTGCTGTAAATCTGTTCTTCACTTGAAACACTTCTCCTTTCCTAAAACCGGTAGAAAGGTTAGTTCTTTCATGGAAAATTATCTGTTCTCTGTTTCACTGACCTCAATGAAAATTTAACTCCCTTATGATCTGCTAATAACTGTTAGGGGCCTGTGTCTATTTTGATGTGTACTGAAGCAGGTCCACTGAGAAATACTCTTGATTGTTGTCAGTGTTCTCTCACTGAGCATTAGGTGTATGATTTAAAGTGTGATTTCTTCTTTTTGGTAGTGCCTTTAAGGAAATAACATTGTTGATATAATTGAATTAGGCTATTATCCTTTTTTACTCAGTCATTAATTACATTTGATTTTTTAAAAAGTTTATATCACAGCCTGTGTTTTATCTGTTGCAGCCCAACTAAGAGATATTGCGTATGATGGCAAACCACGTAAGTCCAGACCAGAAATCCTACCGGCTGATGAGGTGGACGGATTTGTCGAGACTGTTCACTTAGAAAGAGGAGAGAACCTTTTTGAGATCCACATCGGCAGAGCCACCTTCTCCCCCGAAGCCCTGCACGCCCTGGGTGAGCAGCAGCCCGCCACCTTCTGCACGTACGCCTTCTACGACTTCGAGCTCCAGCTCAGCCCAGTGGTGCAGGGAGGTGCCCCATCCTATGACTTCACCTCTCAGTACCTCGTGCAGGCTGATGACACCTTCTGTCACTACATCCAGCAGAGCAGCGTCACCCTCGAGCTGCACCGCGCCTGCGGCGTCGACTACGAGACGCTGGCGGCCTGTCCGCTCGACTTCCACGAGGTCCTGGACAGCAACGGGAAGATCCACAAAACAGCAAGCTTAGTTGGTGAGGAGAATGTCCCAAAGTGTGTGTTACTACCCAAGGTTTATGCAGAAATGCTGGATGTGATTCTGCCAGCTGGGGTGGGAAAAAGCTTGGGCAGCTGCAATTTTAGGGGAAAAGGGGGGAAAAAAAACACCCAAACTGGGAGGCCACCCCCACTTCACCCATATCCAATATCAGGGCTCTCTGTCTGGCCCAAATGTCATCAATCGTATATCCTCTCACTCCTTTAGCAGTAAATAAAGAAATGGTGTGATTTAAACGGGTAGGACAAAGGTTTTCATGTAATAGTTGTAAAGCATCAGAAAGGTGCAAAATATGGAGATTATGGTTAATGATATTTCATATATTATGTGGATAATCTGTAGGGACGTTGGTTTACATTTTTTGCGTTATTTTAGGCACATTTATGTGCATAATTTAAAGATAATTTTAAGATATTCTGGACAGGACACTCTTAAGAAGTATTGAATGTTCTGTGCTGCTTGTTTCTACTTTTAAAAGTGTCAGGTCAGCATATTCAGTGACCTCCAACTGCCCATTTCTGTAAAGAACCTTCTTTAATAATCGTTATAAAGTGGTACCTTTGCCAGTGATTTAAATTGCACACCACTTTTTGGGACACTTCCAACTGCTGACATACAAAACTGTCCTAAGCTTTATTTGCTCTGTTAAAATAATGAACTTGGCTTGAACTTACTCTGTAGCACACACAATAAATATTGCAGATTACAGCATGAAAAAGTCATACACGTGGAGCCAGAGGAGTTGTTGTTTCTAACATGAGCTCCAGATCTCTTGTTACAAACCCTGCCATAAAGCACAGTCAATTAATCTCTAATTTGTGCCACTTCCTAGTTTTTTTTCCTAAAGGGCTTTATTTTTGAAAGAGAAATTAATGCAAGCCCGTATTTATCCCATAGGAAAACCAGGACACGTTCAAAATTACGGTACCATAGAATACTGGATCAGGTTACAAGTCCCTATGGATCAAGCTGTCATTCCTTACAAACAGCCAAGGGCTCTGGGATGTGTAACATCCCATTTTAGGGAACATGAACAGCCAGCCCAGGTATGTTATTCTACTACAATATTCCTGAATTGTTAAAGCAGCTCGGTGGCAGATCACTAGAATGGGTTGTTCAGGAAAGCTCCTGCAAAAATACTCAGAAATGTTTGAGTATTATGATATTATTTCACTTTGGGGGTTGTATTGGGTTTTTTACTGGATATTGAAGAGAATATTTGTAATATAATGTAATATAATATTTGTAATATAATATATTTGTAATATAATGTAATATAAAGTTTAAATAAGAGTCACAGAAAAAGAAGGGACTTTCAAACATGACAGTTGTTTAAGAAATAAAAGCAACCAGGTTGAGATGGATAAATTAAAACACTGTATTTTGAATGGGCTTTTTTTAATCTAAACTGTTTAAATTACTCTAGATCTGGAGTAAGTTTTATGCTTTATGTTATTTCATAATGTAAGTTTATATTATACCAAAATCTCAATGGGTTCCACGATGTAACCTGAGATGTTGTGTGTGAGTTCTGATAAATCATCTTGCCTGTTTAGAATACAGAATTCAGTGCCATTAGACTTGGCTTTGACAAAAATGAGGGTCTCTCCTCACTTACTGTAATAGAAGATGGATAGAAAATGGCAGTAAATGGTCTCCTATCTTTGTTTTCTTACAGAAACCGAGCCCCAAACGGAGGCAGCGGGCAGTGCAGGCAGACAAGAGAGTCTCCTTTCTGGACCTGAAGCCAATACAGGTAGCAGAAAATCCCAATTATTTTTGTCCTGCACGTTGAAGCATGAAAGGACAATCTGTAGAACTAATTAATCAGGACCACTTGATTATTTGAAGTGCACAGCCCTGGGCAGTGAATGGCAGCAGACAGGTGGGGATGCAGTGCAGGGGGATTTGTGTGACACCCTCAGAACTGCTCGAGATCCTCCACCCCTGACAAGCTTCACCTTGCACAGGCTTAGGGCAGATTCCAGCAGGACCAGTCCAATCCCTCTGCACTGTTTCTCACTCCCTGCATCATTAAAGTGCCTCTGCACAGTGCACCACTTGGTACCAGCACAGAGATGGCTCTGCAGAAGCCAGGAATGATCCAAACAGATCCTGAGGGCTGTGCCAGTGAATTGCAATGTGACACAGGTCAGAGTCACCCCTTAAACCAGATCCATCAGCTGAGACTGCACACACTGTGAGAACAATTACACTTCTACATCTGGGATACACTGCCATCTGCACATCCTTCCAGAGTCTGGAAGAATCTGGGTGGAACTAACTCAGACATATCTGCTGCACAGTGTCAATTTTCATTTCATCTGAAATAATCTGTCTTCAGAGAACTAAGAATAGGCTGTCTTTAGTCTTTTAATCAAATCCAGTAAGCAAAGGTAGGTTTTTCAACAGGTAATTTTAAAAGATTATGAGCACTAATATTATGTAATAATAATATTGTGTTGCATTAATTAAAAGCTAGCTGTGATAAGTTTTCCTTTCGTAAATGCCTCGATTTATTTTTGAAATGTTAACAGCAGTTTTCAATTAACAGATTCTGCCATTGTTTAGTTTACTATGAATAGAACTTTCTTGTGAGCTATACAGTATAAACTGGAAATAAGAATTCAGTCAATCTGTTGCACTTCTTAACTTTAAAAAACAGAAAGTCAAGTGTTGGTGGATCAAATCTCCTGAGAGGCAAGATAAGAAAAACTGAAATGTTAGCTGGGTAGTCACAGACACATCTTCACATCTTCAGCTCTTCAAACAGTCACTTTTCAAAGTTGAGTTTTTCCCAAACTGGGATTTCTAAGGGAGACTCTCTCTGCTGTACCAGTTACATGTTACTGCATTGACACCTCCTGCAGTCCTATTGCATGAGCAATACAATTATTTAAAGGCTGTGGATAATGAATGTGGGCCAGAACTCTTCAAGTTTTGAACTTTAGTAACTTCTACTACTCAAGGAGTGTTATAAAGACTGTCAAGTGTCTTTTTTTCTACAGCAGGTGCTGCAGGAGGTTAAACAGCTGGCAGATGATCAGGGGAAGGAGATGGCTGAAGGAACTGGACAGGAAAAAGAAGAGCTCTCCCATCTATCTGAGAAACAATTACCTGCCCAACCATCAGTTCCTTCTGGAGATGAGACACAAGTAACTGAAGAGTTGGAATCAGAAGGTAGAAAATTCAGTTTTGTTCATAAGGAGCTGTATTTTAGAAATCTGTGGCTCTTTCTCTTTGCAGAAGCATTTCTGACCAGCAATGGGAGCTGCCTCATTAGGAGAAACTGAGATTCTGGGGATGACCTTCCCAAATGAAAACTGTATTCTAGTTCCTTGCAAAAATCTGGTGTCTTACCTACAGTCATAAAATATTAAAGGACATTCATATTCTCCCTTAGAACTGAGTTTAGTGTTGAAAAAAACCAAATCCACATTACCAAATTTAAAAGTAAAAGCACAAGTGGAACGCTACAATTTTATGTTGAGTTGTTTTCAGCTTGTGCCTAAGAATTCATTAGGAAGCCTGGAAAACCTTGATGTTCAACACCTGTTGTCTTTATAAGTAATTTGCTTCAGAGAAAAAAAAAACAACAACCCTGAATGTTCTAGAAAATAATCCACCTGCATATGGAATTACTTCTTTATGAAAAAAAAAGCTGCATTCTTCTTTTACATGTGCTTGGTATTAAAGGAAGTCAGAGGAAATCCACAAATTCAGGCCATATTCTGATATAAAGCCAACAGTTGTTCATACTTCAGTTCATCACAGGACTTACTCCATTTGCCACCTTTCATCTGGTAAATACTCCTATTTTTTTAACAAACCAGAAAAAAAATACAGTTTCTGTGACTCAAAAGGTCGTTGATGTGCAATATTAATCTTCTGCAATGAAGAGAAGATTTACCTGGCACTTTATTTATTAGAAAAGGAAATGTATTGCTATCAGATTTCTCAGAAAGTCTCAAGATTGTCTAAAATAAAGGTTTTTAGCTACATTGATTTCATTTTGATTTTTTTTTGCAGACCAAGATGACAGACAAGAGGATGATGCTGTTGAATCAATCAAAACTGACAGTGATGACTGTATCATCTCAAGTCCAGTATCCACAAATATTAAACAGCTGAGTCAGAGTACATATGGCAATTTGGTAAGACTAAGAAAAAATATTTTAAGCTTAATGTCCTCTAAAAGTAGCTTTGCTATTTCTAACATCAGTTTTCAGTGAACTTGTGCATGTACAGGATCCAATCTCTTGGCTTCTTCTTAAACCAAACAAAATATATTACAAACCATTTGCTTCTCCTTGTCTGTGATGTATGATTAATCACAGAACACTTCATTTTGTTTCATTTTATTTGCAAATCAGAAGATGGAGAACATAATTCAAGTCAAGGAGCATCACTGATGACAATTGGCAGTCGTTTGACTTGCTAGATTGTTGGAAAATCATTCCTTTCACTATTTCATCATTCTATGCTAATCCCACTAATATTGCCCCAGCTGAAGCCATGGACCTGCATTAGGGCAGACAGGATGGTGTGGGATTTTTCCTGTCATGCCAGTTAAATTTCCTTTAATTTTCCTTATTATAAAATAATCAGATTTGGGGTTTTAGTTAAAGTGGCTTAAGATCCATAATAAAAGGAAATGTTTTGAAAGGAGAGGGTAAAACTACTTCATCAATTACTGAAAGAACTTGACAGCAATGGAAAATGTTCTATATGAGGGATATTTTTACAATGGGATATACCTGCTTTTCAGTTTAATTATATAATTTGCTTGGAAAAATGTAAGCTCTCTCCATAATAAATAATAATATCCAGAATATATTAAATACAAACCCTGGGGCTTTTGATTCTCCTTGTGTATATGTAACAATCAATCAGCATTAATCATACAAAATAGCTGATGATTTACAGGTATGAATGTTTGGTTTGTGTTAACACCTCAAGAAACAAAAGAACAATTTTGTTTCATGTTTGCGCTTTGTGTTTAAACAGGAAGCTGAAAAAATCCGCATTAAAATTACATCCCTGGGTCTCACTGAATCCCGAGTTACAGCTGATGAAACAATCCAGCAGCTGTTTGTGGAGTGCAGATTAAACAACTTCCTTGCAGAGGAGACCCCCCTGTCCCTTCCAAAACCAACGGGGGGTCAGAGGATCCACTACAACTACAGCACTGGTGAGTGGGACGTGTCCCTGAGCAGCCTCGGGGTTGAGATGAGAATGCCTGCAATGAAACCTCCTTGCTGGACAATTATTTTCCCAGCTGTTTCTTAGTATTTCAATCGTTCATTAACTTTTTCTTTCCCGTTAAAAGTCTGTTTCATTTAAGATTCAGTCTGAGCGCTTCATGTTGTTCTTGCACTTTTAGGTGACAGGATCCTGGAGCAGGGGAGTCAGTTTGCTGTTTTTGACAAACCATTAAAAAACATAAAAAACAGACATTCAAATTAAACACTTCCTGGAAAATAATTCTGTAAAAGTGGCTCTGCAGAAGTGGTGTCACAGGATTTAAATTCCTGGGGCTGTGTGTCAGAAAGGACAGGCACTCTGCCACACATCAGCATTCTCACAGCCTTCCTCAGGGGAGGAAATGCAGTCACTTCAAATACAAAGCAATAAATGCCACTGGTTTTTAAAATCAAGGGCTGCTGTGGCCATTAACAGAAAATGGCAGTCCTGTGGCTTAGATGGTTAGATCACAATTCTAACATCTGATGTTGATACTGTTGCTTTTTATTAGAAAAGAGGAAGGTTTATTTTTCTTTGTTCTTCATGCTCTTTCTCCTAAAAGGTTAAAACCAATAGATAACTAATTGTATTAATTTCACTTTTCTTTGCAGTGATAAATGTGGATAAGGCACATAATGGTGCAGAAAGAGAGTATCTCAAGTCGATTCTTCTGAAGCCAGATGTGCCTGCTGACAGGTACAGATTAGTGCTGTAAATCTCTATTTACAGGGCTTATGGTCTGCCTTGTCTCTACTGACGAGGGAACCCCGAGGAATTAATTTCTGGTAAATAAAGAAGACAAAGCTCAAGCGTGCCAAATATCAGATTTAAATATTTTTCTGAACTTCAAGCTTGTAATATTTTTTCAAATACTATTTATATTATTTAAATATTTTTTTTTAAATTACAAAAGTCAAAGTGATTGCTCGTGCAGGACCACCAGCTGGAGCATTCCCATGGGCTCAAATCTCCTCCTTCCTGCTTTGCAGCAGAGATTTCATCTTTTAGGCATATTTGGAACTATGAGAAGTTATTTGCATGTGTTTTGTTGAGCTTGCCCTTGTCATGTAAAAACCCTGTGTTTGATTTGAAGCACAGGGTGGGGCTGTATGAATGATCCTCCCCTTTGGCCATAAGTTACTGTTGCAGATCTTCCTCTGCCTGCTTTTCATTTATGCTTTATTGAAAATTTTAATAATAGTTGTACCTGCAAGTTACAAATTATTCCTGCACTAATCTCCTCTTCTATCACTGTCTTAGGTGCCAAGCTGATTTCCCCATATTGATTTGATTGAACATTGAATCAAAACAGATCTATTCCCAGTGCCCAGTTTTATCAGTTGTTGTTATTATAATCTTTCATTTGTTTTTATGTAATTTAACATTTATCTTACACATCTAAATTGGGGTTTTTTTAACTGGGTTTTGGCCATTTTGCTTCTGCTTAGCTCTTTGTCCAAATCCTAAGTTAAATCACTTATAATCAAGCCACCTGTTGAAAACAGCTGTGATATTTTCCCTTTTTTGCCTCTAGACCATTTATTTAAACACACACTTTCAGCAGGCCCCTGGGTTTAGTGACAAATATTTACATATCTATTTTCCATAATAAATACTTCTGATTTTGCACAACTTGAGTGCCACCCACTGCTTGAAATTATGCTTATTGTAGCATATTGTAGGAGGGGAAATGAATCAGTTCTATAAGCCTGAAGGTCTGGGGTTACATCTCTGTCCTTTTAGTGCTGCTAAATAGTCCTAAAGGAGGAGGGAAGATTTCAAAGAAATGATCCCAGAATATTCTTGCAGTGGGAAATGTTGAATATAATTCACCTGTAAAATAGGGGGGGGTTGCCTTTTTTAGGGGGCTTTTTATTTGATTTTTCACCCTTTTTGAAGGTAAAATCTCTTGTTTGTTTGTTTTTTTGGGGGGGCTTTTTTGTGTTTAGCCTAAAATTTACAGTGGTCAGTGATCCCCCAGAAGATGAGCAGGATCTGGAGTGTGAGGATGTCGGATTTGCTTATGTCAGTTTGAAAGAGATCTTCCAGAAGCAAAGAGATATCATTGAGCAAGATATTGATGGTAAGTTTGAAAAGATCTCCTTCTTGTTAACTTCTGTAGCCTGAAAAACTGCTGGATTTCTACTTTTCTTTGCAAGTAACTGTTTGACATTGTTTCAGTAAGGAACTCTTTAATATTAACTAATGAGTTAATATTAATTAATTAATATTAACTAATTTGTTTGCAAAAACTACTAGTGTTATTCCTTCAAATCTGTTTAAAAAACCCCAAACCAAAGAGCATTCCCAGCTCACAGTGATTAGTTCATAAAATCTAAGAACTTTCAAGCCACTTACTATAATTCTCCGTTTTCTACAACATATTTCATTTTAGTAGGACCACAAATGTATCTTTATATATTTATATGCTAATAGTTCTGTCAAAAGCTAATCAATATTGTGTAATGACAACCAACTACTTCAGTAGTGGGAGGAACCTTTCTTCCCCCTTGTTGGCCATCACATCTTTTACACCACCACAGAAGCTTGGAATTGAAATAGTTTTGCATTGCAACAACTGAAAAAAAAAAAAAACCAAAACCAATTTACTATTTAAATACTAATAACTGCTTTGGAACCATCATGCACACAGGGCAGCAAATGTAAAAATGTAAAAAATTGCTGTATTTTTACTTAAAACTATTCCTAACCATGCATATAATGTCTTTAATATAGAGTTTGGAACATCTGTCTTCACATCTTGTGAGAAGTCATTATTTTATATAGGCAATTATTATACTGATATTTTTTTTTTTATTTCCAAGTTAATCCCAACACTAACACTTTTATTGCTGTACATTCTGGTTCTTGGCTCCTTTGTTTCTGTAACAGGCTGAGGACCTGAACTGGAAGGTTTCTCTACTATTTATTTATTTATCATCTTTTGGGGTTTTTTAGCACATGGTGCCTTTTAACCTGCCCAAACACTAAGGAAAATTAATTAGAACAAAAGTGAAACCTTAAATTGAATCGCTGCTGACGTTTTCCTGACGTTTCCTTTGCAGTTGTGGATTCCCAAGATGCCGGTGCCGTCATTGGGAAGCTCACGGTGACAGTGGAGGCGCTCCAGGCTCTGCGTTCCGTGCTCCAGGAATGCACCAGGAAGGAGTAGCAGGTGGGGAAAGGGACACTTTGCCTTCCAGAAGTTTCCTGCTCCTGGTATAAAGACCATGGTGCACCCAAGATGAGATCTGTGTCATTCTTACAGTATATTTAATATCTGATTTCTGATACTGAATGGGATGAGTGGAAGGGATGTTTGATGTGTAGGTGCATAATTTTATGTGCTTTTCAGGCTGTTTTCTTATTTTGAAGGCCCTTCCTTCGAGCTCCCAACAGTTGATGGTATCAAGGTCCAATCAGTCCCAGCAGATCGTTTTTCAAACCAAACCCGCTTGTAAATGATCAGATACCAGCTGGGGATACTTTGTGTAAGGAAATAAGAGATTGGGAACCTACAGACAGCAATGCTTGTAGGTTCTTACTACGAGTAGTTCCATCCCAGTCCTCTCTCAGGACAGGCTCACTGGCCAGTGGAGCACTTTTTGCACTTAATGTACCATCTAATAATTTAATTATTTTTTTAAAAAAATTCTAGAGATGGCACAAGTGTGACCCCATTTGTCATTTGTTTCAGCCATTTCACATTTTGCACAAAAAAAAAAAAAACAAAAATAACAAAGCATTTAGTGTTGATTTTCATGGTTTGCAGTATGCCATCAAATTGCCATCCAGTTTGGCAAACATCACAAAAACTGTGAGGCAGTTGACAAAAAGTAGCTTTTATTGTTAACAACGTGGTTTGCTCAGATAATTTTTCTGTATAATTCAGCGGTAAACAATTTGTTATGGTTTATTCCTGGGTTGTTTGGGTTGTGGGATTTTTTATTATTAGATTATTTTTTTTATATTAGACTTTGATTATTTTAAGAGTAAGAAGACCTCCATTTGCACATTTCAGATTTTCAAAGATCTTCCCTGAGCTGTGAGAAACAGGGATATAAATCTGTAACCTCTGTCCACACCTGTTCTGTGTATCAAAATATATCTTCCTTCAGGGGTCCAGCATCAACAGCTGCAACAGTGCAAGACAGGTCTTGCACCTGATCTAGCAGTGATTTGTGGATTTGGAAAACAACCTATTTTCTATTTGGACAAACTGCCATTCTTGCTGAATGCACAATTATTTCCATCTGTATTAAAGTCACAAAAACTTGAAAAAATGTTGGAAAAACATGGTCCTTCTACTACAAAAAAAAAAATCCAAGTGAACTTTCTTTTGCTTGAAAGACTGTTATCAACCAGTAGTTATTCTGATCACCTACTCATAAACAGCTGCACTAATCCCAACCTTCAAATGCTCTGTGTGAGAACAGCATTTGCCAATTGTGTTTGAGTGAACAATTGTGTGAACGAGTGGGAAGGGAGCACAGGAACCTTGTTTGGTACAACAGAGCAGTCTACAGGATAGAAATCCCTGGAAAAGTGCTTGGATAACCAGGTGAATGCTTTTCTTGGTTGTATTTTATTCCTGTAAAACCTTTTGCAAAAACGATTTTTCTTCTCTTTCTCGCTTCAATTAAAAGAATTGCTCTTGGAGGGTGGGGCTCTTTCTCCAGATGTGAATTGAAGGTTCTAAGGAACCAAAAGACATTTAAAAATGTCACTGCTCTGGGCACCTTATGGCTGTGGAGGTCTTTGTCCAAATTGAGAACATGTCTTCAACTGTGAAAAGTAAAGCAATAAAGCAACTTTTGTCACGAACAGCCTAAAAATAAAAAGAGAGCTCAGTCTTTGTTCCAAAGGAAGGGCTGTTCAATAAGCTTTTTGTCCACTCTCTTCACAGAACAGTGGCTTCCCACACTACTCGACCCTCGAGACCAAAGGCAAATGTATTTTGGGGCACATAGGCTGGAAGGGGGACCAAAACTGGCTATTAATAACCCCACACATTAGTTAAGCACAGTCACACAGTGACATTTCTTCTTTGAGTCACCAAAAAAAGAACAATAATGAAGTGGAAGTGGCCAGTGAGCTTGTTGTGTTGCTGACCCCAAAGGCTGGGGAGGAGGGACCTTGTGACTGCTGCTGGACAAACAAAGGCATCAAATGGAAACAGCCCTGGCTTTACCATAACTGTACAGCAGCCACTGCCACCTCAGAGTGAGGGTCTGCCTGGGCTCACATCCTCCCTTCTGCTCTTGGATGGAAACAGCACATGCTGAAAGTTGGTGTGTAGAGAAGCCTCTGGTAAAATGGGATGGGAACTCAGACACTGTGCAGTTGTTCTGACTTGTTTTCATACTCTCTGCTCTCCTCTACAGCAGTCTCAAAGCGCCAGTTGGGGGTTGGGTTTGGAACTGAAGCTCGAGAACCATCTACTCAGCAGCCAGGCTGCTTTCCTGTTGCTACAACAAGGCCCAGTTGTTGGTATTTACAGTGCACCGTCATCAGTCACATCACAATCCCCTGGTGAGCTGGGCAGGTGGGCTGTGAGACTGGGAGGGTTATGAACAAGTGCTCATTTGAAGTGACAAACCCCAAGGGCTCACTGTCCTGCCAGCCTCTCTCAGGTTGTGTCTCAGCAACTGGCCAGCCAAAAGCAGAGTGTCAGCACCTCAGAAATCATCTCCAGAATTACCCGAGACTCTTCGGTCAATCATTTGTGCTGAGCTCCCTAAAAACAGGCACTGCTGCAAGAACTATCCTACTTCATGAGAAAAAAAATAATATTCTCCACCATGGGCTGGAGAACACAATGCTGTGTTTAAAATCCTGTGTTTTAAGTTCAATCCCTGCCTCCTTGTTCAACCAAATTTTGCCAGGGTGGGACCTCGATGAGCGGGACTGACTCGTACTTGCCATTTGGATCCCAGTGGAATCTGCTTTTTAGACACCCCTTGCTCCAAGGGTTATCCATATCCATATCCAATGCTCACTGCCAGAGCTCTCTGCAGAACGATACAGCCCTTCACTGACAGCACTAAATCAAATCACAAATGTTCCTAAAAACTAGCACTAACGTCAGGCTAGGCTGGATTTTTTCAGTTATCTGTGGGAGATTGAGTTTCCATAAATAAACTAAAGCCTGTTTTTGATGAAGGAAGTTCAACACAAAGCCAAATTGTCCAAAGAGGCAAGAGCTTTTTCAAAGCAACAAAACTCCTTTAGTCCAAGCACGGGAGCATCTTCGGACACACTGAGCTGGACAAAACAGGATTGTGTGGGAACACACAGAGGGAAGGGCACTGGATGCTGCTGGAGCAGTGAGCACATGACCACATGCACTTGGCAGCACTTCACATTGACAGATTGTTTAGGAGGGGGAGGTATTAAAGTTTTTCTTCTCTTTTCATGAGAAAGAAATGAGACAGAGAGAAGTCAGTACATCTGGCTGGGGCTTTCAGTGGCCTAAGCAAGGAACAAGCTCCAGGAAATTTAGTTTGCTTTCAAGGTTGCCAGCCCTGGACTGTGGCATTTCTGCCTTAGAGGTGGTGGCAGCTGCACCTATTTCACACAAATCTGGATGAGCAGTAACTATTTTCAGGTCCATTCATTAGAGACTCCTGACTCAAAACCTGCTGAAACATGACTTTTTTACGTGTTCCACAAACCTGTTTGTGGTGCAGATCATCTTCCCCTCAGTGCTGTGGCTACAAAGACTCCTCTGAAAGGGATGTGGGGGAGAGGAGGGCACAGCTATTTTTCCATTCACTGCAGCTGCACTGCAAGCAATTTCTCAAAGACCCAAAGGAGGCATTTACTGTGCTCACAGGATTCAGGAGTTTGGATAACAGAATCCCTGTTTGCTTTTTGTTAAATCCAAATTTCACTCTAAGACTGGTGGGGGATCATCATGAGAAAGGTGTGTAAAATGGATCTGATGCAAAGATTCAGACACAGGTCAAATAATGCAAAGGGAAGAACCCAACAAGCTCCCTGGGCTGGTGCCCCCAAATTCTTACTGGCTGGTTAAAAAAATTATATTCATGTCTCTTGAGAATCTCCAGGGCAATTTGTACACTTTCATTTAGTGTAGCACAAATCTGTCATTGATTGTCCCAAAAATGACATATTGCTCAACAATTCCGGAATTCAGCAATCATTCAGTCAAGTATTCATCAGCCTCAGCTGGTATAAATTGGGGCAGCATTTAAAATCCATCTGCCTTTATTATACCCTGCTACAAAGGAAACGAGAAATCTGAGTGCATCCATCCAGTGCAAAAGGGAGAGATAATTTACTGCAAAATCAACAAAGGGTGAGAAGAGCTGAGCAGAGAAGCTGAATTGCATGGACAGGGAGAGAGAGCCTTTCCCTTCAGCACTGCTCATCAGCATTCTACAGAAAGCAGACCTGGTGGGTTTAAACAGCACCTCATTTTCAACATGCTCATCTTCAACCTGTGTCTTTCTGGTTCTCATAATTCAACCAGCAAAGTAATTCCTGGTCAAATAGAGCTCTCCCTTGTTTCTTTTTAAACACAAGGACACGCATACCAAGGGTTTTGAGGTGCTGTCAGGTAGTTTGTTGGTAAAGCAGTCATTGCACCCATTCCAGGGGAGAAATGCACTGCTTTGTTGTTGTCCTTTCACTCCTGTGTGCCCAGCAGGGAATGGTGGCACACACTGCAGCACTGGGAGAATGTGACATGGCACATGGTATTACAACAAAAGAAATGTGAAATAAAATCAGCAATCAAATCTGCCTTTTAAGTCCTGGTTTTCAGAGAGTTCATCCCATCACAGAAGCATGAGGGAATTGGTTTTTCCAGGGACTGTGTTTTATTTATCTAAATAGTGCCACACTGTAATAATACACCCTGTTTGTGAGCTCCAGAGAATGATGAGCCCTTAGAGAGATGCATTTATACCCCAGCCCTCCATCCCAAGAGGAGGAAAGAGCTGTGAGCTCTGGGTTTCATTACCCTTTGGCCCCTCTGCTCAGGCTGTGGTCATGAGGAACCAGAGAGGGAAAGCTGTTCTGAGGAGACAGTCTTGACATTAAATGTCTCTATTTTGTCACTGAGAAAGCTGCAGAGAGAGAATTAACTCATCTTTCTGAAACCCCTGTGGGCCCCACTTTTCAGAGGGGAAGCTTTTTTTTTTTCCCAAGTGCCCCAAAACCATGAAAGACAACCTGGGGACTGCCACAAGCCACCTGTCCAGTGTGGGCCTGCTGGTGACACCTTGGGGGCTGCTGCAATCCATCCCAAACCACCATCTGTCCCCAGCAGAATGAACCATCCTGCAGAAAGCAGAGCAAATCTTGTTCCCCATCTCCTTTCTGAAACAAGCACACAACTGAAATGATGTTGATCCGTTGATACAGTTTGTCCTAATCTGTGTCAGAACAGGAAGAGGAGCACAAAAAAATCCTCACTTTGTCAGCTGCAGGAAGTGAAGAAATGCAGGTCAAAAGGTGTGGCAACAGGAGGGACCAGCGTGGTTTGGGTTCTTACCCAAGCTTGAGAACCCAAAACTCATCCTGCCTCATTTCTGGGGTGCCTTGTAGGGAGATTTGTGCTTCACACATTCAGAAATTCCCAAAACAATTTCTGCCCACAACACCCCAAAGTTGGGTTTATGATTATTCATATAAAGTTTCCAACTACTCAGGGGAGAGAGGACCTGTGAACTAAACATAAACCACCCAAACCACCCAACAGCAAGCACAGGGATGAGGATACCTCAACATTTCCAGTGCCAGAGAGCAGTGTTGGGGCTGAAAAGTGACGCTTGCCCACACTCCAGACAGGAACTCAGCCGGGAGCCCTCACCGGGCAAACCTTCCCCAAGAGGCACAAAACCAAACAACCTCTGCACCTTCCAGAATGAGAACTTATCCTCTGGGCTCGCGTCTTACTGCTCAGTTAGCAGGCAGCCCAGTCTCGTTCACCGCTCGCAAGCACGAAAGAGTTAAAATGAACCTGGCACCAACTTTGCCGCCAGCTGAGCTCGCAGCCTCCCTCTCCCTTCCCTCCCTCCTCTCCCGCCGCGGTGCCGGAGCTTTTATCCATCGTCTGAGCTCTGCCCATCGCCTGGCGCTGCTGAGGGAGGGGACCGCCTGCTCCCATCCAGGCAGGGAAGCTCCTGGAGCGAAGGTTCCTTGCCTTTTCTTCTCCTGTTGCCTGCAAAGGAGGGACACCAGCAGTGACGCCGCTCCGGTGACATCTCGGGATGAGGGAGTGAGAGCCATCGCTGCAGCGAGCCGTGTGAATTCACGAGCAGAGGAGAAGGAACTGCACTGTCCTGACTCCAGCTGTAGGACAGCTAATCTTTGCTGCACGATTCCCAGGCGCTGGGATGGGGGATGTTCCCGGATAAATCACCAGCAAGCTCCTGGTCCGAATCAGGGACTCTCTCGTGCCTTATCCCAACACCACTGCCTGCTCTGAAAGGTAATTATGCTTTATTCCCCTCTCTCCCTGTGCTCTATCACAGCTGAGACACTCTCACAGCCTTCACTTCAGCATGACAACAAAAATACTGCCCACCACTAAAAGAAGAGATACCACTCTACCCCTCCATCACTTTCCCTCAGACCCTCCCGGGAAAAAAAAAAAATGCAAGGCATGGATGGAATTGGTACTTCTGATGTTTTGGTTGCATTTCTTCAATGCTGATATCTTTCTGTAAAGATGACCTGGACAGAATACACCTGGTACTGAGAGCTCAAACTGTTCTGTACTTGCCAGCCACTTCAGTTCACTTGAAATTAAGGGAAAGGGGAAGCTACACAAGTTATTGTTCTATTTTGTCCCACTTACCTGTTTGTAAGTCAGAGTATCGTGTGGGAAAGCAAAAGAGAGCTCGAGAAAGTTGCCTGCATTTTCAGAGGTGCCGTGCTGGCAGGTGGCACTCACACCCAGTATGGGAGTGGGAGGAAGCGAGTGGGCGAGGCAGGGCATTTCCTCCACTTGCAGGATCAGTTTGTACTGTCTGGCTGCATCGTTTGGGGGCAAATCTTGCTTTCTCTCTGCTCCCCTGGGACCTACAAGGGGGCAGAGCACAGCCATGCAGGCTTCATAAAAACTCCACAAACCTGAAGCTCCCCACACCCCTGACAGCTGCAGTGAGGGGTGGTAATTTCAGCACCCGTGAAGTTTTGGCTGATGAAATTCCTGTCTCAGTGGCACACTCTGAGATGAAACCTTTCTGTTCTCCTGTATGAGGCTTCTACTTCCACTGCAGATTTTTACTGAATGAATTATGTTGTGGCTGGGTTTTTTTTTTAATCCCTAATTAAAAATAACCACAAACTGAGCACCAGTGATCACTAATGGTGCCTGGCCCCTCTCAGAACTGGAGTGTTGTCCAGCCAGAGAATGATTAAATTTTGATGAACTGAGATCACAGGGAATGTGGGCTCTTGTGCTGCTCTGCTCTGTAACAAACTTCTGTTTAGTTCCTCTGTCCGTGGATTTGAGGGCTTCTCACAGTGACCAGTGAGGTTTTGCCTCCCATAATCTGAGTCACAGTTATAGTGCTGACCTGATCCAGACACAGTTTTTCAGAATTACCTAAACTGGATCACTGTTACCTCAAATGCTTTGGAACTGAAGGAGGCATTGTGGGAGCTGGAAGTTGAAGTGTAGACAAGCCCTCATGCCCCTTCTCCAAAAAGTCAGCTCATCAGATGTTTCCCCACCACGTGAGCCAAACCTGGTCTGTCTTGCTTGTAATAAAAGCCTGCATTGATCAGCTCCTTGATGACTGCAGATTTCAACCCCCTCTCTCTGAAGAACAGCAAGGTGTTGTTCCCATTGGTGCACAGGGAGAATGTGACCAAACACTGTCAATAAATCAGCTGTATTTTACAAACAGAAGGCCCAGGAAAGTCAAAATGTTTTGCAATGTGTCTTCGAGGCGAAAATTGTAGTGTCAGAACTTTTACAATTTGGACCTAATGTTTCATTTTAATCTGACTAGCATAGTGTAACACTGTGTTAATATTACTCCACTTCCATCTCATGTAGGTGTATAGGCAGTGAACATTTTAAATTACTGCATCAGTCTGTTCCAGTGCTATCATTTTTGTTTCAGCTAAACCCAAGATTCTTATCAGAGCAGAACACGATGCTTTTGGATGCACCATTTACAGTGAAATGTCAGCATTTTTATTTTCTGTTTCCAGACATGAGAACTGAAATTGCTAAAATGTTAAGATTCCTCCCATTTCTAGTTAAGTTCTGCTGCCAAGAGGTGAGTGAAGTGTCATATCTTGCTGTTGCTGCATTGGGATAGGTAGGGCTCTGGCACCTGGCCCCAGGAAAAAAAGGCTCCTGATAAACAATAAATGAGACACATGATGAAAAACACTGACTGGATTCATATCTTCCCTTCCTCTGTGACATCTCATTCCACAGACTGGGGTGCCTTCTCTTACCCATAAGTAATGTGTTACCAGAGAGACCTTAATGATTAGATTGGTGTGGTCTTGTTCTAAAGTTAAATACCCAGTGCTTCTCCTAATTTCAGTGTCTCACAGGAGCATGATTTCTTATCTATTTGTTCTACAGATACCACATATAGGCTAAGCTATTTTGGTACCTGGCTTCATTTCTCTCTCTCATTTGTTTTCATTTTAGAACACTGACTTTTTGACTGTTTGTGATGAGGAACTCAAAACTCCATCCTCTTTAAGCAAGGATCATTAGCCCAGGATTAGGAGAGAAGACACCTCTCAGCACTCTGGCAAAGCAGAAAACAACCCTCCCCAGCTCAGGCAAGGATAAACCACCTGCTGTGGGAGAGGGTGGCAGAAAGCTCTTTGGAAAACAACACCCAAGCTGTGCAAACCTTTGCAGCTCAGTTTGAGAGAAGGACCAAAGCTTCTCACCTACCAAACAAGCTGACCTACCAAAAGAAGGACCAAAATATTTTCAGCCCAAAATAAAAGACGGGGGGAGGTGCAGAACACAAGTTATCATTGTGATAGCAACGTGCAAAGTGATCTGCAAGGTCCCGTGCAGTGTGAACCAGCAGCCTTGACACCACGAGGACAGAGCACCGTGACATCTGCCCTCAGCTGCCTCTCCTGACATCCCCTGTGAGTCTGCTGAGGGAAGACAGGAAATCCAAGGCATGCAGGGAGAATGGAGCAGAGCTGACTGACCCCTCACCCCCCAGAGAGCGATGCCCGAGACCCATTTCAGACTCGCGGAAACCTGACCGGCCGTGGCCACCTCCCAACCCTGGCCACCCAAGTGGACACCACAGCAGAGAAATATTCCGGCCTCTACGTCTACGTGGGCTTGTTCCTGACCCTTCTGGCCATCCTGCTCATGCTGCTGCTCTCGGTGCTCCTGCGCCTCAAGCACGTGGTGTCCCCGCTCATGTCCCCCGAGGGCACCGAGAACGCCCAGCAGTTCACGGATGTGGAGATGCACAGCAGGATTCCAACCGCTTAGACAGACACCCAAAGCTTGTGGAATGTGTTTTGTTTGGCCAAACGTGGTGGGAGGAATGTGTGGCTGCCTGTGGAGCCCTGCAGCTTCTTGCACAACCAGCAGCACAGAGCACCTGGGAAGTGTCGTGAATCAGCGGCTGGTAACACTGCAGGTGAATTGTGGGCAATACCCTCAGTAAAATTTACAGTATAGAAACCTACTGCTGTCAGGAAAGACTGGTGTCCCTCTAAAAACCTTGCAGGAATCATGAAGGCCACAATAAGAACAGCCAAAACCCACAGAGACAGAGAGCAGAATGTGTCCTGGAGCCTGTGTTTGCTGACACCTCTGTCTGCCCTTAAAATATCCTGTGAGAGGAGTTGAATCAACAAAGTTGAGTGGTGTAAGTGGGAAGAGCCCACAGGGCACAGGCAGAAATTATCAGTGGCTTGAATATTCTCAGGCATTTCTCCCATTCAAGAGGGAAAAGCTTAAATTGCTTTTTTTCCACTGGGATGGCAATTACACAGTGGAGTTTTGGAAGTATACAAATGGTTCATCACCTGCTGGAATGACTGTTTTTTTACACTAAAACCTGTACAGTGAGGAGTTGCATGCTGGATACCACAAAGAGACAGAACTTTAAAAGAGGAAAGAAAATAAAGCCAAAAATTAAGCAAGGTTTAAAGTAAAAATAAAGCATAGGCAGGAAAATGAGCAGCAGGAGAGAAAAAAATGTTAAGACACTCTACCTCTTCCTTTGTTCTTCATCACATTAACTGAACAGAACACAAACATGTTCATGATTTTCAGCTTCCCCAGTATCACCCAGTAATTACAGAAAAAACTTGAGTGAGATTGTTTCAGCTATGTCTCTAAAGAGCAGAAATTTTACACAGTTTATCCTCTTTATTACGATCTCGTTCTAGTTTAGCAATAAAATCTTAATTCTTCTCTCTCCAAGGGCTTGGAAAGTGTAAACACCTGACATGAAACCAGTGTAAAATTGAGGAAGACACAAGAGCCACACTTTTTTGTGATGATCTGGATATTAATCCAACGAAGACAGATGGATACCAAGTTAGTCAGTGACATTTAAAATTAACAAAAATCTATGCAGCTCAAGTTGGCCTGGTATGTGTCATTCACTGAGCCATCAACAAGGCAGCCTAGCCCATGCTCAACATCTGACTTGCCCTCTAAAACTTTTCAATTTTCTTGATATGCCACTCAAAAGCTACAACTTACCCAGACCATAAATGTTCTAATGTACTAAATCAGCAGCTAAACCACATTAACCTTCCAGCACAACCATCTGTAGAACAGCCTTGTATCCAAGAGGCTGCAGAACAGACAGCTTTTATCGACATAAAATGCCAGACCCACTAAAGGAAAATGAAAGTATCAGAATCTGAGCTGGACCCCAAATCCTGATTGCTCTGATCTCAGCCAAAATGCCCCCAAGGGAGGTGTCAAGACTGAGCTTCTTTCCTTCCTACTAGAGAATGTTATTTCAGAAGAGTCACACATTTTAAAACTTATTCAGTAAATATATTGTAAATAAATGAGCAACTGCTTTATATATCATTACATTATCTATCATCTTTGGGCAGACTGTGTATTGCTATATAATACTGTAATGGAAGGAACCATATCTTCTAATAAAAAAAATGACAAATTTTCCTTTTTATAGCCTAATTTCACACAAAGTGTCTGTCCCACTTGACACTCCTACAGACCAAATGGCACTTAGAGTGCCTCATTTGCCTATACAATGCCAGTAAACTTCAAAAGCTTTCCCACTAAGAAATAGCAGAATGCCTTTCCCCCTTTTCATTCTCATTTGTAATGTCCAAGATCTGAGGGATGGCTCTGAGAAAAGACTGGATCTTGGACAGCTGCAGGTCCCACATCCAAACCCTCCAGCAATCTGTTCCCTTCCCACTTGTCCCTCTGCTGCAGAAAATGGGTTTACAAAGATAATATTCTATCAGTGGTGAGTCATTGACTGCTCTGTGCTGTTCCCACCTGCTCCTTCTCTGTGTCAGAATATATAAATATAAATATTTATTTCCATATCCTCGCAGGGCTGCAGAATACAACATAATTTTGCAGACAGCGTGACCCAGCAGAGGACCGAACTTGAGCTTCCCCAAGGACCTTTTTTGATATTATTGGAAAAGAAATAAAAAAATGTTTGAAACGCCAAAATTATGTGAAGTCACACATCCATTTAACTGTCAGTATTAATGACAACTTAGCTGTTTGCCTTGTCTTCACTAGGCACAGGAATAAGTCGTTACCCTGCAGTCACCAATGTGGTAATTGCTTATGAGACCCCACGTAAGTGCAGACAGACAGCTGAGCAGATCAGGACAGATGCAAACAACTCCTCTGCTAGTAGGTAATGCTACAAGTCACATTATTTGCTACAGGTTAGGTGGCAAGTTAGGTGAGACTGTGGAATGACCTATATCTTCCTTCCAAAGAAGATATCATCTTTTTGGTGTATTCACACTTAATTCTGGTATGGACAGAAAATTTGTTCATAGACCTGTTTATTCACGTGCCCTGCAGAAACACATGCAGCTGTGCAATGACATGCATGACTGAAAACTCAGGTGTAGATATATCTGAAATGGGGTATTTTCTTGGGACATGACCTGTTCACTCAGTTCTTGACATTTTAATAGAAAAATAAACCTAGAGATAGTGAAGTCTGCTTGGACTCAGTGGGCTCAAAAAAAGGCTTCATAGAATGTCAAGTAAAAAGGATCCAAATACTTGTGGATTGGGGAAGATACTATTTTTAGCTAGTGTTCCTGACACAGATTTCACATTTGTTCACAAAAAGGAACTGCATGTTATACATTCCATCTGCCAAAAGCCTAGCCCCCTAAAGCCCTCTGAAATATTTACCATCATCAGGCTTTTACAGAAGGTTGTGAAGTTCCAGCATGAATAAGACCAATCTTTGATTCCCAGTGTTCATTCTGTGGGCATAAACATCACAAAAACACAATGGTAAGCTGGTTCCTTGTACACTTGCTCTCTAGAATGTGCTATATGAAAATTTCCTCCTCGGTCCTTTCATTATCGAGCACAGTTAAAGTATCATCTAAGACAACTGATGTTATGTGTGAAAAATAAACTGAACTTGAATTTTGATGGACTGGATTTTTCAGAGGTATTCCAGAATTTCTTCAGCTGAAGACAAAAAGAAGCTGTCCAGCTGTACATAAAGCTGAGTTGTAAAAGCAGATCTAGATGCAAGGGGGAAAGTAAGGCCTGTTGCAACTCCTATGTAATTAATAAATCACCCCCTCCTTATAGTCCCACCTGCACTTCATGGCTATGCAAACTTGTCAACAGGGAAACAATTTGTGAATAATTCAGAAGACCATTCCCTCCTTCCTTCTCCTCTAGATTTATTAACCCTTTTTCAAAGTATAATTTGATCAAGCTGATAGCCACAGACTTCCTAAACTGACTGAGCATTAATTCTGTCTGCATGGTCCTATTCCTGCTCTTACTGTCCCATTTAATAGCAATGGATTAAGAGACAACAAAAGGCACCTGAAAGCCAAATGAGAGCTCAGCAAGACTCTTTGATACTTGAAATCTGCTCTCTGCAAGAAAGACATTTATTTTATTTATTCTGGGCTGTTGTCCAGAAGCTAGTTCCTCTTCAAGTCCTGAAACACTTGTACCACAAGAGCTACTGGATGGAGTTTATTTATGTAGTTTTATGAAAAAAACCCCACATAGCTACCAACAACACTGAAGGATCAAGCAGGACCTGCCTGAGATATTTATATGTACCCCACATGTGTGAGCAAACAATAGGCAGACAAGCTCTTCCTTAAAATGCAGGGGACACTGGGAAGGAAACTAGCCTTGAGCTCTCCACGTGCCCATCTGCAAGCTGCTCAGGAAGGAACAAGACCACTAGGATCAAAATGCTGAGGCTGCTTTTTCTCTGTTTGACTTTTGCTTGTAACTATCTACCAATTTACTGTCAACACACCGTTGGCCTGCTCATCTGCTGTTCTCAGCTGAATAAATAATTTGCTGCAAAGCAATCTGGGAAAGATATGCTGGCAGAATAAGTACATACTTAGCCTAGGTGAGATTTTGTTCCATTTCCTACTTTTTCCAATGAATGTTGTCTTAAAACATCCATAAATAGATGCTGTTTCAGTGTCTTCAAGGCCCACGCTGGACAACAGCAATAACAAAGAGATGAGGAAAAGTTTATTATGCTTTGAGGTAATGGGATGTCTTGAGGGCCTTTCTCTGGAAAGCTGCCCTCCATATCCGTGAGCAAGTCACAGTTCAGACATAATGCTTGGAGATAACATCATTAAATTTGGGGTCCTGCCACTTAAAAGCTCGGATAAACCTTTTATATTTTATGAATACTGATTAATTCTGCATCATTGCCACTTTTTTTTTTTTTTTTTGACTCCTGCTGAGGAAACTTGAGAGCAGAGGAATTGCTCACACCTCAAGGGCAGGGGACAGAAATACTCACAGTGAAAGTTACAGCTCACCATACATTGAACAGTTCCAAGGAAGGCTCACTGAGCTGGAATTCAGGCTACTGGATGACAAACTGCAAGGTGCTTCTGTTCTAACAGGCTACTCAAAGAGGTCAGTGAAGTAGGACACTGATCTTATATGGAATACAGCAATACCCAGAAGGAATTAGCAACTCCATCAGCAGAAGATATCATAAGCACTTCAACTTCATGCCAGGCTAAAATCTCAATATGTCCTTGTCTCAGTTTTTTGGAAACCTCGGACACTCATGACGGTTAAATGGCAATAAAATAGGATGCTGAGGTTTCTGAGGAACTTAGAATGAAAGGTATTGCCTGGGTGCTGGAACCCTCAGGTGCAATCCCAAAGCCAGCAACCCATTTCAACAGGAGAAGCTTATGCTGTACTGACATCACTCACAGAGCTGTTATCTTCTCAAAGAATTCGGGGGTGCTGTGTCAGCCTCACTGGCACAGTCGATTGCTGTCTCACTGGCAGAGCTGACCTTTGTGTGCTACAGTGCTTGGATTTTACCATCCTTTGCCACAGGGTTCAGCACAGTGAGCTGTGCACACCTTCACAGGGATGAAACAGGCCTGGATCAGCTGGGAATGGAGGATGTGATTGCAGAGGTCAGTTATTTCTTGTTTCTTACTCTAGAGCAACGTGGCCTCTCCCAGACTCTGAGAAACCAGCAATGAGCCAAACCAAATGCAAGAGCCGATGCTGCACTGCCAGCCAAAGCCTTCTGGATGCATACAGGGAGAATCTGCTTTGAAAAGTCTCTCTCAACAAGCAGTTCCTCCCACTGACAGGTACAGCTGTACCCTGGTTGCCTCTGTGCATGTTCCAGGTGCTGCTCCTTTCATTTCCCTTTGTATGTGTCAACCACTCACTAAAAAACACAAGAAACTGATAGCAAAGAATTATCTAAATAAAATCTTTACATGCAATTTAAATAAGTAAAATAAGGAGGAACAAAAGAGCTTTTTCTGGACTGTTAGTACAGGGTCTGACTTCAGTGTTACCGAGGCAGGAAAACCTGCTAATTGCAAGGTGTTGTCTGTTTAACAGAGATTTTGTCTTTCTGGGTGTATAAATTGTCAATTGTTTCCTTCAAGGAAAGACAAACAGGACAAACAAACCTCTCTAAGGCCAGGAAGCCGTGAGAGCTGCTGTCTCTCAGGTGATTAGAGGATATCATCATTCAGCAGTAATCATCGTTTGGTTTTGTGTGGTTTGGTTTTTTTTTAGTAGACCCATCTGCAAATAAACACAGTCTTCCTCTAGGGAAGGCTGTTTATTCTTTCTTCTAAGTGAGTCTGAAAGATCTTTCATTCAGTCTTACAAAGTATGAAAGTGCACGTCATTCCACTGAACGAAAATTAGAGTTTTGGACTCCATTTCACCATTTTCTTCCCAAGTCTTTCTAGTCCAACATTATTCCTTGAATGTAAGTCAATAAATCCATCAGCAAGCAATGGCCGGTAACGTTTAGGCACAGATCAGTCATTATATTTAGTACAAGCCAAGATAAAGTATGAGAGGAATTAAACAAACTACCTCACATTCCTTCTTTGTCTCCCAGGGCAGTCCTTCCTATTTTTCTGGGGTTTTGTTTTATTTCTATTTTTCCATGGTAAGTGGCTGGCACAGGCTCTCTTTATCTACGGTGAAATGCATTCTCATTAGAGTTCTTTAAGACTTTTAGCATTTCTAGAGGGAATTAATTCTTTCGAGGAGAAGGGTTTTCTCCATTGTGGGATTCATGCCATAATTAGACAAAATGATGGGCTAAGTCCCAGTGGAAAAAATTGCACTGTCACTGGTGTTCATTTTTGTTACATAAACCCATGGAGATCACGCTGATTCCTCCTATTGCAGCCACTTCTGAAGCACAGGGGGTGATGTAAAACTGATATATCATCGTTATCTAGTACCCACAAGCATCCTCAAGACTTTATCCAAGTCTGACATGAAACTCCTTTCTCTGAGAAAAATAAAAACAGCCCACAGAACATTTAAGATCAGTGGCATCTGCACTGCCCAGTCTCAGAAGCAACAGATTGCAGCCAGCCATGCTTGCCTCGTGTTCCTCGTTCAGGCATCCTTGAAGTCAGGCAATAAAAGCCTGATTTTGTGGAAAATAAAGAAAAATATTTAAATGGGTTTATTGTATTAAAAAAAAAATCATGAGGATAGGGGTTATTAAGAATTAACCACATACCTGTAATTAGTTTTCAGATTAAAAATAACAGTCTCGCAGATTTTTGCTATCACCTTGCTGATTTCAAAAATACAGGGTGTTCACAAATTAAGCCAAGTCATATCAACCACAAATGTATTTTATTGAGGAACAAAACAGCACTCTGTGTATATGCAACTCCTCTGGCTAATTAGCACCTTGGGGGAGGTGGTTCATAAACAGAAAACAGTAAGGGACCAAATATATCCCAGCAGTACCTTGTGTAACACCAGCCTCAGAATCAATGGACATTTTATCTGAATCCTCACCAAGTCAATTGTAAACATGTCTACATAACTCTCTTAGATATCCTTCTGCCTACATCCTTAGAACATTAAAAAATAAAAGCCACAATTTTTTTATCTTCGTGAAATTCATTGCATAATATGAATTTGGTTCATATGAAACATTTCTAGCATTTCTGGTGATAAAAAGAAGGGCATAAACAGGAAACACACACAAAGATGTTTCTGGCATTGATTCTTCTCAGTGTATGCAAACAGAAAAGAATTGGTGGCCCAGCTCTGTTAAGGAACCTCCAAGTTGAGCTCAGTGGTTTTGGTAAGTATTTAATGGCTACTTTGATCCCTGATGTGTAATGGAAACTACACTGCTTGTAAACAATAAGCACAACAAAAAGTAGAGAGAAATAAATCACATCTCTGTCACTGCTATTAGCACCCTTACAGCTGTTCCAAAATCTTGGGAATGATGCAGAGGGCACAGTTCCTCTGAACAAGACTTGCTGGAAACAGGCAGGTTCAGTGCACAGAACCTTGTGCAGATCTGTTGATTGGCTGGGAGGTGAATCTCACTCGCTTTCACTGCTTCACTTGGGTTTTTTGAGACACTTTGAGAAGAGAAAAACAAGCACTGCAAGTGGGAAGATGGTAACCCTATGCAGAAGAGATGGAGCACAGTGTAGCCTGCAGGCTGGATGCCTTTTGGACCCCTGGTTGCCACATCCGTGGGCAGCCCCCTCGTGGTACGAACGCCACTGCTCACACCTGCCCAACACCCCTGCTCTGCTCTTTGCTTCTCCAGCAGAATTAGAGCAGCTTTTCATTAATTGCAGAGCACATTCCAGTAGTCCACATACTTCCAAAATCCATTCAATTCCAAACTTAATCAGAGGATGGTTTTAGGTGTCCCTGAATAGTTCTGAAGGGCAATTCCAACTGCCTACATAAACTGCTGCTGAGAGCCAGCTACTGGAGAGCCACAGGCAAATGGACAGGGCTGAAATTTAGGCTGAGTTCACCTCCCTACCTATTTTTATGCTGCATGGCAAAGAGAGATATTTGCATGTACTTGTGTAATTGGGACTGGCTGGGAAAAGGAACTCGGCCTACTCGGAGCTCCTTCCTAAAGACCTGCAACTGTTGGTTTGCTTGAGCATAATATTGTAACAAAAATCCCAAACACCACTGGGAATTACCAGCCTTAAGAAATTTTCTTTGATATGAAGCCCATTTTCTGATTTTTTTTTTTTTATGCAAGCATTTTACCCTCGACAGAAACCCAGCAGAGGCATCAAGCATCAGTAAGGAGCCAGCTCAAGGGCTGGTACCAATCAGCAGAGTCACAGTCCTCGTAACAAGGATTGAAACAGGTTCTGTATCCCACTGGAGGGTGACCTCCTGCTTCACAGGCAGGGCAAAGACCAGCACCACTTTTATTTTCATAAATGAGAATTCCTCTGAGCTTCTCAAAGCCAGGTCTCAAAGAATCACTAGGTTGTTTAAACACAGAGCAAAACGGGAGTAACAAACAGATACACAGTTAGAGATAGATAACAAATATTATTTATGTGTTTGTCTTCAAGGCCTTAGGATTCAGGGAGTCCCAGTAACATGAAAGAATAATTCCCCAAAATATCCTCAATCTGATTTTCACAGTTCCCTACAGCAACAGAAATATCAACCCTCATAGGTGCTGCACTACATCTGAATGAGAGAGAAAAGGGAAGCAAACATTTTTTCAGTTCAGATTTATACGAAGCCAATCAGAAAGTAAGACTAACTTAGTTCATTTTGCACATTCATCAACATATTACAAGTACCAAAGTATAATGTAAATTTAGTGCTGAGAAATCCAGTTGCTCTCCTGTCATCTGCTGCACCGTTATATCTCAAGCCAAATGGAGACTCAATCTGTCCACAAAACAGAAGGGATACAGAGGAAAGACAATAACTATCCAGTCACTGGCTTTTTTTTTTTCCTTCCAAGAAGATCACACTTTGTAGGCTTACAGATCTACCTGTCTGTATATATTTATAAGATTAATTTTTTTATACACCATGCATTTCAGTGGTGCCAGAGTTTTATTGTGACGGTGGTGAGCTAGTCTTTAAAACTTCAAATTGCAGGCAAGAGCTGGGTGAGAGGGCAGGGCTGCCAAGACCCCGAGCACTCAGGATTCTACTGTTCTACAGCCCTTTTTCCCCAAGACAAAGTGCCACCCTCCCCTCGCCCTTTCTGCTGTCAGCACTATTTGCCCTAATCAAAAAATAACCACATTTCAGTGTGGCTCATTATGCTAAATGAAAGCAACAGGAGGCTAATGTGCAATGTGAATGTGCCGATTATATGGCAATCAGAGCTATCCCTGAGACCGCTGAGTCTTTTCTGCATCTTCTTACAACATTCATGACCTCATCTGTTCGATTTCATCCAGGGAATAGATTTAGATGTTTAACTTTCCTTTCTTGTTGTAGTATTGTTGGAAATTAATTAACTTTCCCAAAATTTTAATTAACGGTAGCAGTTTAAATTAGATTCTTTTTACTTACAGACTCTTGTCAATTTGATCTTTAAATCACTGAAGTTTTGAGTTCCTCTGATAAGTTCTGATAAGTTTCAATAAACACAGCTTGAGAAAGCTGAGGATTGAACATCTGGGATTTTAAATTTATGGTCCTTCAAAGACATGTTGGAGTAACCAGAAGAATGGTAAGAGGATTGAATAAGGTAGACCAAATTGTCTGATAAAGTACTATTTAAATGAAGAGAACTGTGTAACTTAGAACCAAGGAATGTGAATTTGTTCGTGAAAATATATAAATACATGGAAAGTGTTGAATGGGTACAGCTAGCTGGAATGGTCTCTACTTATCTCTTGACCATAATAAAGTAATGCCTGCATCATTAACACTTAAAAGGTTGTGTTGGACGGTTTTATTTCTTTCTATTTTCAATTTTTGGTGACAGTACTGTCCCATTGTGTTACACTTGAAATTAAGAGACAAAACTGCTCGTTTTTGCAACTGCTGAGGGGCCGAGTCTTAGCCTTCAGCGGGCAAGACTGTGTTAAGACACTGAACGTTCCGATTTTTCAGGGGACACTGAAGCGTTACTCCCAGAAGTGCTGCGGGAGGCGAGAGGGCCAGCCTGGGTAACCCCACGCGTAGCCCAGGCCAGCCCGTGAAGGGAAGGTGGCCGCGGCCCTGCCCTGGCCATGGCAGCTCTGAACACACCCAGCCGGGCTCTCCAGTAGCGACCTGTGCCGCCACTGCTGCAGCAACACGTGGAGCGCAAAACCTTCTGAACCCCGTTTCCACATTTGAGTGGCTAACGTCTCCCCCTTGAAAAGTCCGAAAACCTAAGGCGGTGAGGGGCGGGTCCCCTCCGGGCCGAGCCCGCCCAGCTCCCTCAGCGCGGCCGCCATTTCGGGGCGTGCCGAGCCGGGCCGGGCCGGGCGTGCAGCGCCCTCTGGCGGCCCCGCGGCCAGCCCAGAGCCGCCGGCGGGCGGGCGGCCATGAAGTCCGTGCTCGTCACGGTGGGCACCACCAGCTTCGACGAGCTGATCGCGACCGCCCGCTCCCCGCCGGCGCTGCAGGTGAGGCGGCGGAGAACAGCGGCTCCAGCCCGCGCCACCCCCGCCCGGCGGCCGGGCCTGCGCGGGGATCCTGCCCCTCCCGGCCCTGTCCCGCCATGGGGTGGCGGAGGGCGGGGGCCGTTCATGGGGTGGCCGCGGGGAGAGGCGTGAAGAGTTGGCGGGGGAAGGGGAGGGGAGGGGGCAGCGGTAGCCGGGCCGGAGTAACACCTGGATCAGGGCCCGGCGCCCGAGCTGGACACACCCCCTTCGTCCATGCGGGTTATCCCGCCCCTCATCTGTCCCCGTTGTCACTCCCTGTCATCCCGCGCCATCCTCCCCGCCCCCTCCTCTTCCCTGTCATCTCCCTCTCCTCCCTCCCCGCCCATCCGTCCCCCATCCCTTCTTCCCCTGTCATCTCCCCCCATTTCCCCCGTCACCTGTCCCCTCATCGCTGCCCGTCCCGCCGCAGGCGCTGCAGAGCCGCGGCTTCCAGAAGGTCGTGCTGCAGGTGGGGCGGGGAGCGTGGCAGCCGCCGGTGCCCGGAGGCGGCGCGGCCCTGCAGCTGGAGGCGTTCCGCTTCAAGGACTCGCTGGCAGAGGACCTGCGGAGCGCCGACCTGGTCATCAGCCACGCAGGTACAGCCCCATGTGCAGCCCCATGGGCCACGCAGGTACAGCCCCATGTGCAGCCCCATGGGCCACGCAGGTACAGCCCCCTGTGCTTGCCGGGCCTGCGCTCCTGGACCCAGGGTGGGGGGCCGTGGGATGAAGTCCGTGACTCTCCAGCTCGGGGCTGGGCTGACTGTGGATGCTGAGGTCTGCAGTTAAGAGGTTGGGAGTTAAATATCCACTCCAAGGATCTCCCCTGATTTAGGAGCAAGTGGGATTTTTCATCTCTCGCCGTGTTTTCTGTTTTTCTTACAGGTGCAGGTAGCTGTCTGGAGACTCTAGAAAAAGGAAAACCACTAATAGTAGTAATAAACGACAAGCTGATGAACAACCATCAGCTTGAACTGGCCAAACAGCTCCAGAGAGATGGGTATGTCCTCTGCTGTAACTGCAGGTATGCAGCTGCTGGGGCTGTCCTGGCTGGGCAAGTGCTCAGCACATTGACTGTGTCACTGCAGAATTGAGAATGTACCAAAGAAACGTACATTATTCTGTGTAACCTCCATTTGTTTGTACGTTAGATTTTCCAGAGTGGACAGATTAATATTAGGTGCTAATTTACCACACTTACCAAGCCTTGCACTTTCCCTGTAAAGGGTGGGCGCTGAAGTTGACTTTACAGCTGCACTAACATAGTAAGATTAGAAGCATGTGGAGTATTTAGAACAAAACATAAGAATGGCTTTACTGATAAAGATTAGGAGTCCACATAGCTCAGTGGCCATACACAGATGCCCAGCCAAAAGCAGAAAGAGGACAAGAACATGTGTTTATATTACTTTCTTTCTAATGCTCTTAGATCCTTTGATTCAGGGGGATTCCTAAGTCAGATGCTGTCAGGTTAGGACCTTCAGTACCTCTGTTTTTCAGTTACTAATTCAGGCTGCCCTTTTAGCCAAACTTTTTGAATCCAATATATTCTCTGACAAGGAGTTCCACACATCTACTGCGTGTCATTTCAGGGGAAAAAATAAAACAACCAAACAAAAAACACAAAAAAAAATTCCCAAAACAAACCATGGAGCAAACAACACAGGAAAAAAAGTCCTCCCCCTAAAAACAAACAAACAAACAAAACCATCAAAATCCTTTGATAGTTTGTATTCATCCTGACTGCTGTTTGTTCCATTTCCTCTCCTGCTTTGACTTTATCTACTGTTTTATGACAGACTGCACTCTGAAAATAACAGATGACCCCTAAATCGAAGGTAGAGGAAATACAAGTCCCAGTTTTTAGTCTTATCTTGTTCTTTTGCCCTGCAAATAGGATTTCATATGTTTCAGAAGAGCTTTCTTAGCAGACCAGGTGTGGCATTCATTTATGTTGAGCAAGTTTCTTAAAACTTGTTATCTTGGTGCTTCTGCCAGCTATGGAAGCAGGAAGGAATTTTTATTTCTTTTCATTGGGCAGTGCCAAGCATTTGAGCCTTATCTGCAGCTTGAAAATAGCAAGTAACAGATCGATGTAGCAGTTCTTTCTGGCTCTGGGATTGGTGGAGAACTGTGCCATGTGTTCAAGTAGGATGAATTTCCTGGTGTGGTTCATGGAGAAGATCCTCGGATGTTGTTCAGTCTCCCAGCATTGCAACCACAGAAGCTTAAAAAGTTGAGCTGAGGTTGTCTGTGAAAGGTGATTGAAGTCTGCTCTCAGCAGTGCTGCCCTAAGAGCCAGTTCTGCTTGGGGCCTGCTGCTCTGTGAGGTCTCTTCCTTTCGTGTCCTTATTTTGATTTCCATGCTAAAGGATTATGTGTGTACAACTAGAAAAAAAAAAAAAGTGTGTATAAAGAAATTCCCTTTGGGATGGATTTCTTTTTTTTTTTTAATTTCTGGGTTTGATCTGTTTTTACAGCACTCTTGTGGAGACGCTGCAGATGATGGACTTGTCAACTTTGAAACCTTTTCCTCCTGGACAGCCAGAAAAGTTTGCTTTGTTCTTGGATAAAGTTGTTGGGTTTCAATAAACAATACAGAAGAATAAAAATATCAGAAAAAAAACTCCTTTTCTCCTCTCGTAGTGAGGTCTTCTATACATAAGATCCACCAGCTTGGGCAAACCCTCAAAGAAGATGTCTGTTAAAATTAACTGGCATCAGATGGTTTCCAGTTTAGTGCCAAAGCCATCCAGCTTTATGCTTAAAAGAGCACAGAGCCAACCAGGAGAGGAAGAGTAGGAACTGTCTAGTTTATGGACTGACATATTTACATCACAAGGTCTCCCCTGGGATGGTAATTCTAGTGATGAGGACAAGCTAAACTACTTCTTAAGGGTCTCTTGACCATATATGCTAAAGACAGGTGGAATTAAGTTGCTTTTGTTGATGTTCCCGTGATGATGTTCTGCAAATAAGCAGATGCCGCCTTCATGTGTTTACAAAAATACTGTAAAAAGAACTCAAAAGGGAGAGATTTAAGCCTCTTAAAAGAGAAAGGGGCACTTGATATGAGTCTGGGTGAGAAGAGTCAAGAACTGCTAATTAGCTGCTGAACTGCCCACCAGCTGACCTGAGTTTGGGTGATTTACTGAAGTAAAACATAAGAGAGGAATGGGCTTGGCAATACAATCACTCCATTCACATGGTGTTTTCCCATAGTGACTTAGTTTGGGCTTCTGTAAAGCCTAATGTTTCCTATTTAGATTTGATATTGGGAAGAAATTCTTCCCTGTGAGGGTGGGGAGGCCCTGGCACAGGTTGCCAGAGAAGCTGTGGCTGCCCCTGGATCCCTGGAAGTGCCCAAGGCCAGGTTGGACGGGGTTTGGAGCAACCTGGGCTGGTGGAAGGTGTCCCTGCCCATGGCATAGGGTGGAATGAGTTGATCTTTAAGGTCCCTTCCAACCCAAACCATTCTATGAGTCAGAGGCTGATTCCAGCTTCACATTTAAACCATTGAAATGCTCAGCGATGTTGATGCTACATTGGTTTGTTTCGCTAAATGTTTTGAAAACCAAAGGGTTTACAAATGTTCCTGCAGGCTCTTAGAGTTGTAAAGGTCTGGAATTGTAGTGCTGACCAGTGCTAATTACCCTTCCTGCAAGTACATTATTTTTTGTGGATTTTTTGCTGATGTTGTTTAAAACAACAAACTTATGTTTAAGTGCAATTTTTTTTAGGAAGTTAAACGTACATAGAAGCATTCTCCTAATCAAGTAGAATAATCAGGCTGTACAGTTGTCATTTTTGCCAATCCCCGCAGTTTACCCCAAGTGCTTTATGAGGAAGAACTAAGATTTTCACCTTAACGAACTTCTATGGAGCTGTTATTTCAAATTTACTGCCAGCAACTCGTCCCCAGCCCGGGAGCGTGCAGGGACGTCCCAGGGAATTCCGAATAACCAGCTGGGCTGATGTTCGCACCGGTTACGGGCTCAGGGATGCCGAGCGATGGATGTTCCTGCAGGAGTTGTCTTGGGACGGGCTCCCTTCCCGAGGCAGGTCGGGGATGAGGCGGGGGCTGGAGCGGGAGAGCGGGATACCTTAAAATGTCCTGGGCGGGGGCAGCTCCTGCGGGATTCCCCCGCAGGGAACAGGGGAAAAAGGCAGCGGGGGCCGGTGCCGGGGGGTCCCGCAGGTGGGCGCGGCCCCTCATTAGCGGCCCCTCATTAAGCGGCGGCCGCGCGCGGAGCGCCTCGCGCCGAGCTCGCGTCCGCCTCAGCCGGGAAGATGCAGAAGGGCTGGAAGAAGTACTTCGGGCAGAAGTCCTTCAGCGAGGTGGCCATGGACGAGTACCTGGGCAGCCTGGGACTCTACCGCAAGATGACGGCCAAGGACGCCTCCTGCCTCTTCAGAGCCGTCTCGGAGCAAGTGGGCGACCGCCCGGGCTGGGGGGGGGTAGCCTGGGCGCCTCAGGCCGGGCGCCGCCGGGGCTGGGTTGGGGGTGCTCCCGGAGAGCCCCCGGGTGCCCAGAGTGAGGTGCCGCGGGTGGGGATGGTGGGAGTGTGGGTGTGGATGGGTTGAGAGTGCGTGCTGAGGATGGGAGCGATCATCCCCCCGGCACCGGGCGCTCGGGGCTCCCTCAGCCCTCACGTGTCGTGACCCGCCGCGCCGCCTCGCTTTTGTCGCGCTGTTCAAGTCTTTACGGGTAAAATAAGCCTAGTGTGAAGCGTAAAATAAGCTCTGACGTTTTCCCCTTCGTTCCTTTGTAACCTTTGCTTCTCCCAGCTGTTTTCGTCTCAGATTCATCATCTGGAAGTTAGGAAAGCTTGTGTCTCCTTCATGAGGCGGCACCAGTCCAAGTTTGAGTCCGTGAGTAACCGCGTGGGGCAGCTGGGCACGTGGAGTTGGGGAGAACTGAGGGAGGGCGGGTGTGATTTTTGCACTAAACACGCCCCCAGAAACGTGCTGTGCCTTGCCAGGCTTGACGGCTTTGTAAGAGAAGAGAAATTTACGTTATGTGAGCTGAAATCACACGACAAGTTACTAAAACCCAGGTAGCAGGGTGAGAGTTACTTGTGTATGATCTCTGTGGAGCAGCCGTTGCAGAAATGAATAAGTAGGAAATACGTAGGACTTTAGAGTAAGAAATAAATACCAAAAGTTGGGGGGAAACTCTACTATGCCCATGAAATCCTGGGGTTTTGGGGTGGGTTTTTCGCTTGGTTTTGTCTGTGGCAGTTTGTGTGGGTGCAGCTGTGTGCATGGTGGTGGTGTGTTTTTGGGGGGTTGTGTTTTGGGGTTTTGTTTGGTTGTTTTTGTTCCCAGTACTCACAATGTAAGTGCATAATCTAAAGCAGGAGGGAGATGAGCCACAGAGTACAGGTCATGACTTGTGCTCCTGGTTTTTTTTTAGAATCTCTTGGTGTTTCCACATTGTTACCCCAAATCATTCCCATGATTTAAGGCAGGGAACAGCTAAAATCCTACCCCTGGTTAGGCCAGAGCCCTTCAGATCCCAAAACTGATAGGAATTGGCACGCTAGTCCTAAATTTGGTGTTTATGTCCCCAGCCCCTGCTCTGCCCCCTTCCATACAACAGCTAGTAGCTGATATGTAGTGTTTAGGTTTAACTTTGCTTTCCAACTGCCTGCGTTTTTATATCTGTTTTCTTCTTTGTTGAAAGTATGTGGAAGGCTCGTTTGAGAAATACCTAGAGCGACTAAGAGATCCAAAGGTAAGAACTCACCTAATACTTGTCAAAAGGCTAAAATTTGAGGAGACTAGAACAGGAACGTTCTAGAATTAACTGACAGTTTAAAATGTGTTTATTTGAGTTTGTGGGTTTTTTAGATGGACCCCAATCCTGGGGTCTTGTTTACATAAGTAATACTAAATAACCATTAATAAACTGTTTGTGCAGTACCACTTTTAGTGGGGAATTTGTATGGTGCAAAGAAGCAATCTGTAGGCTGGACAATGAAAGCTTACTCAGAATTGCAATTCTTCTCTAAGAAAAAAGCAAATACATGGAGTGTAATTCACATTAAATGTTTATGAGTGTTTGCAATCCCCTGCTTCTTCCTTTACCCTCAGGTTCAAATACTCGAGTTCAAAGTTTTATTTCTTTAGTCTTTAACCAGTAAGCTTGGTCAGTGCAGCAGTCTGAAAAAGATGTGGTTTTAATTTCAAAACAGATCTATCTCGAGTAATGTGTTTAAGAGTTGATACCAGAACTGTTCCATTTTACTCATTTTGGCAATTGTGGCTATCCCATCTTTCCTATCCCCTTTCACCACACCACACTCTCCCCCCAATTCTAACATCTCAGCTTCCAGTGCATTGATTGTTTTAACAAACTGATGAGTTTGGATGGGGGTTTTAATAGTACAGAGAGCTGGAATAGAGTTGTTGATGTTCAAGATGCATCTACTATTTTATATAATCTTACAATCTTGCATAGGAAAGTGCTGGCCAGCTGGAAATAAGTGCTTTATCAGTGATGTACAAGTAAGTGTCTGTTTCTTATCTTTTCTTGTTTTGGGCTTGATGGTGTGGGGATTCTGGCCCCAGAACCTTCTAATTGTTTGTCCCTGAGCTGTGGATGTGTGACACAGGGAGAGAAATGCTTCCCTAAGAGAGTTCTTTAACTAACATGTAAATGGTGCCATCACAGCCCCTGTGGGTTAAGGGGAGGGTGGGTCACTTTCCAGTGATGCTCCTTTGTTATCTTTTTGCTGATGTTAAACTTTCTGCGGGCTGAAGGGTGGGAAAAATAAGGAGCTGTCTGTAGTGGAAACACTGTGCTAATTAAAAGCATGACTAAAACTCATGTAAGTCTTCTTGAAAAAGCACCAGTAGTGAGGAGTGCTTGCCCTACCTGCTGCATAAACCCTGATAACTTATTTCAGAGGTAAATTAAAGCCTGCACAGGTGCTGCTGGCTTGCTAAAAATGCTGCTATCTTGTAACAAATAGTCTGGCTCTCCAGCCCTAGAAATAAGAAGCCTCCCTTTGCAGGCTTGTTGTACTCCAGTACTAAAGGAACAAACTGAAGTTGGCATGAGTTACTGGTTCTCTATACTGGGGTTCTAGTCCTTTTGCAGGGGGACTAATTCCCTTAGCCATTGTCTCATAAATTGTAAATTCTAGAAAAATAAATTGCCTTGATGTCTGAGCACCCTTCTGCCAGCATCAATCCTTGATTTCATCTGTGAGTAAATGCCACGGACTTTGACAGATAATTTTCCTTTTTCCTCTCAAGATGGATGGTGTTTACTCACCTGGCCATTGCATTCACTTATCAGGAAAAGTACTTCACATGATTTTTCTGTAAACCATGTGGATTCTCCAAACAGCTCCCTGCAAACTTTTTCATAACGTGGTTCTACTAAAAGTTTGCTCTTGTAAGTCTTGTTTTTCCTCTGCTCATGTAGGCGAGACTTCATTCTGTACCGGTACCCTGGAAAGCCACCCACATATGCTACAGACAATGACTTTGAAGACAAGGTGAGTAAAAGTGAAGACAATTTCCTCCTATCCCTGGTATCTGATTACCTTCAGTCCTGCTGGAATTGAGCTCTTGAAACTGGTGCCCTTGCATATGTGAACGAAACCCCAGAGTTGACTTCAGCTCGCAGTAAAAGCACAGGATTTGCACAGCAGTGAGCTCAGTTATAGCAGCTTTGCTTCCTGTCTGAGGGATGGGTTTGTGTGCTGTTCCCTGCCATTCTGACTCCTGCTTAAAATTTTGATGGTGACAGGAAGAGGTAATGCCACAATTCCAGGATATTCTTTCGTGTTTCTGAAATGTTTGTGTAAAAATTTGAGTGACCTGACAGCGTAGAATGAAATGTGTTGAGTTACAACAAGATACATTTCTCATATTGGGCAAAGAGAAGGTGTTCTCCCCACCCCTAGTGCCGCTTCCTGAAGTCAGAGGAGGTGTGCAGGTTTTTTACTGAAAAGGAGAAGTTACTGGGGTTGGATTGATCTGTTAAAGCTGATTTCTATGACGTACCAATTGATGGCACTTAAGGATGGGAGCTATTGAAACAACTTGTCTACTGCTGGGGGCAAAAGGAAGGAACATAAAAGGAAAAATACTATGTATTACCTTCCTTCTGCAGCCAGGCAGCTGTGCCTGCAGTTATGTGGCTAGTTCAGGCTATGATGCCAGTGAAGTTGCTGTGGGGTGATTTCAGTGTGGGCTGTTACATTTGCCAGAGTGGCCAGGCTGCTCTGGATCTGTGCTGCAGCAGCTGTTGATTCCTGCTGATTAGCACTGCTGACTTTGTTTACACACACTTCTTTCTTTTTCTTTGTAGTTTCCTGCGTAGCTTAATTTAATTCCAGAATGAGCTGAGTTTAAAAATCAAGCAGTATGGTCTAAATGTGTGTTTGTCCTCTTGAGAGCTCTGAAACCAGAGCTCTCATTAAGTGTTGGCAGCTGTCTGTCATTAGATTGTCCATCCAGGCAGCAGCTCCTTCTGGTGTCGCTCATCCTCCCTGGCAGTGCTCACAGAACTCAGAGCCCTGGCATCCCAGCTCCTGCTGGTTTTCTGGGAAGCATCCTCGCTGGCAGTGTGCTGGTAGCTGCCTCACAGCTTCTGCTGGTTGCAGTTGGCTCTGGCTGCGTGCCAGGGTGGGGTTTGATGGCACACATTTACGTGGTGTGCATGTGGATCTGCTGCAGAAATCTGCAGGCATCCCTTCAAAAAGCAGCATGATAGGGTTTGTTAAAAGTAAGGCTTTGAGGGCTGGAGGAATAAATGCTCTTCTTGTCCCTCGCATAGAGAAGGATGAAATGTGCCTCTGGCACTTGGACAGTGTGTCTCAGGGTACTGCATTAAATGGCTTGTATTTATTTTACCTCTTGAGCAATGGGTGATCTTGGAAGTAAGGTGGAAACAAACTCATAATTCATGTTTAATACAGCAGGATGTACAAATGGGTGTTATTTGTATGACAGACAAACTTATTTAGAGGCTTTATCTAGGATTCAGTTTTAAGCTGATTCTGCAGCTTTTTCATATTTATATTGAGAATATTTATTGTTTTCTTGGTGAATTGGTGTCAGCTATAGAATGAAAGAATAATGTAGTCTGGAACTAGGATATCAGGTAGAAAGAATTTGGATTTACATAATTCCAGCCTTAAAACCTTTCTTTCTTTTTCTTTCTTTCCCAGATTTTACTGTGTTGTTCCGGCAATGGCCATTATGACTCTGTGTATACAAAACAATTTCAGGAAAATGCTGCTATTTGCCAGGGTAAACTTGAAATCGTTTTTCTGTGGAAGAGAATTCCATGTTTTCATGTGTTTCTAGGCAGGGTTTGTTTCAGCTTTCAGGGGTGGGGAGGAGAGAGGTGGAAGCTCACTTATTTTATGCTAATGTAACATACACTCATTTTTCTATCTGTTAAGTGGGGTATTGGAGCAAATGACTTCCAGAGGTCCCTTCTTCCCACCTGAATTACTTTATGATCCTCTTCTTAATTAAACTTAATGTAACTAGTGCTTTGAAAAGTAGATATATCTGAAGATGTGCTTACCTTGAAAATTGCAGCAGTTCTTGTGAATCTCATATTATCGAGCTTTCTGTTGATCAGCTCTGTTATATGAGATCCTGTACAAAGATGTGTTTGGTATGGATGAGGAAGAATTAAGGTCTGCAGTTGAGGTGTTTCGAAGTGGATCCAAGAAGAACAGAAACAGTGGTCGTGTAGGAAGTGAGGATGCAAACTTCGCTTGTCTCCATGAGAAAGTGTCCAGAAACCCATCAGAAAAGAGGTAGTATTTTGGGAAGGGGAGCTGGTGAAAGGGAAGCAAAAAAATTTAAAACCCTTGCAGAGGACAACTTTTCCACATTTCTTTGAATTTTTTTATGGTATATGAACTCTTTTTTTGCTATGTCATGCCACACACGTCAAGTGTATCATGGCAGAGTATATCCTGTGCTTCCCTTGGAGCTGGGAAGTGTCATGGGATGGAATATCTTCTGCTGCAGGCTACATTATAGTTGTGTCTTAATCTGTAAAATGATAGCTTATTTGTAAGGAAAATTGTTCCTTATTTCATCAAAGCTGGTTTTTTTTTTTAGTGAGACATTTATTACTCTTCTAAGCCTGTACAGCCCTGAAAGGTTTTAGAGCTGCCTGTGGCCAATACAGAACGCTTGCAGATGACACTGATGGGACCTAGGACAAAGTGTCTTGTACTTGACAGTGCAAGAATTCAGTCCCTGAGTGGGATCACCTTCAATCCTTTCCGAACACAAGTACTACCCTCATTAGGGGTGGATGCTGGAACAAGTAAAGGTTTTGCTCTTAAGACCTGGAAAAGGATTCTGCTGTACTGCACTGCACATTGCTAGTGTTTCAGGCAAATTCTACCACTTGATGGCACCGTGGTGCTTTTTCGGGTTGGATGAGCAGTTGGTTGATTTTAATCCTGGCTAGAAATCGTGTGTTGTATCTTCTGTAATCTTATTTTCAATTACTTAGGGTGGATGACTGGGAAGGCAATGATGCTGACAATCCAGAGGAAGCTAAGTTCAAACAAGGCATTGAAGAAGAAAAGGTTTGTCAGTTAGAGAAGAAACCCTTACAGAGTGTTTTTGTTTGTTTTTTTCTTTTCTGTTGTATGTTGTTACCCATGCTAGGGCTAAACCCTCTTTCGACTCACTTTCAAAAATCCATTTTTAGAATGTGGTTTATTTTTTCCATCTGCTTGTCTTCTGATTTTGTCTTGAGTTTCTATTAAATTGGATAAGCCTTTTTTTTTTTTTTTTTTTTTTCTGAAATTCTCTAGTTCTTCCCTAGCTAATTTTCATTTCCACTGAAAGATGGAACTTAGCAGATGTTTCCTGGTCTGTTGTTTGTTTTTCCCCACAAGTGGTTTAAACTGGCTCACTTTTCTCTTGATCATAGTGTAAATCAGTTTAGAACAGTTTTAGAAACTCTACAAAAACCTGTTTTCAGATACAATAACTGAAATTCCCACTGATTTCTAAAGTCATGGCTTGGTTGGTCTGGTTAACTTCTTTTGATTCTTTTTGAGTAAAAACATGCCAAATGTTACTCTTGAGCCTGTTTCTACTTCCCCAGATCTGTTTGCTCAGCACCTGAATACGTAGATGTGCTTTCATATTCTTGAGTTTTAGTTTTTAGGGAGATAACAGTGGAAGTGAAAATTTTGGAAAGCAGCATCTGTACACTTTAAAATGATCCCCAGAGATGCTGATGGATTCGAGGCTGTGCTGAATGCCTGAAATGCACTTGTTAATGATGCATTTCTACTCTGTTTTAGCCTTCAGAAATTCCTCCAAAGATGCCTGTTCCTTATAAAGTGCTAAAGGCCCTGGACTCTGCCATCTATCGAAATGTGGAGTTTGATGTTTGGCTGGACAGCAGAAAAGGTATCTTTGAAAAGGAGAAAGCCAAAAAACTCTTCCTGTCCTAGGCTTAATGTTAAGAATCTGAGTCCTGGGTCACCTGTCTCTTCACAACAGAAATGTGAAGGATGTAGATGAACCCAGCAGATAGTTGTAGGTAGGACATGTTCTTTCCAGTAGCTGGTTTCTTGCCTGCAATTCCAAGTACAAAATACACTGCTTTTCATACTGTACAATGGTGCAGAGTTGCTGAAAATGTGCCCTCTGCTGCTTACTGACTGTATACAGGAAACAGGACTCAAAGCAAAGCACCCAACTCTGTGTTGCCATTCTGTTGTACTGGAGAAGAGCCAGATTTGAGAGTTTTTAGTTACAACATGTGTGTAAGGGCTTCTTTTTATAGCACAATTTTGGCCTCAGAATTGTATAATAATAAAGATCTCAATCTGTCAATCTCCTGCTTCCCAACCATGCTGGATTTTTACATTCTGGAGGGATTGCATGGCCTCTGTGGCTTGGGATAGGCTGGCTGCTTTTTGGCACACACTGTGGCTGATCTGTAAAGCAAGAAGTTACCAAGAAAGATAAGTTTTTAAGTGATGTTTGATGTCTGACCTGATGTGCTTTGCATACTGAAGAACTCCAGCATTTTAAAACTGCCTAAGCAGTAATGGGGGTCATTAAAATTCTTGGAACAGAGTATGGTAACCAATTATCTATGTAGAACACTGATTTGTAGAGAATCCAGGCAAGGAATTGAGAAAACCCCACTGAAATGTAGGAGCAAGGACACTTTGACAATGTTGGCTTTTCTTGGATGACATTTCATTTTTACCAAGTGCCACCAGGACTCTGGCAAGACAAGATATGCCCAAAATTCTGAATACTAGCATTTGTATTAAGTGCAGATTAACTCTGTATCACCACAAAGACATTGTAGCATTGAAGTTGTAGTGCTACTTGCTGCATTATCTGGTTATTATTGGTCTGACTTATCCTGGTTATGGTCTGGTTTAGAACATCTACAGTTACTTCACTGTTACTGTGAATGTTTTCAGGTGTGCATAGGAAATATTTACTCAGTTGGCCTATTAATTATAGTTGGATGCTGTCATGAAGTACTTGTAGGATACAAGAAGAAAGAGCAGTAGTTTTAAAGGCTTTTTTCTTTTTATTCATTTCTTCATTTATTTTTAGAGCTTCAAAAAGCTGACTACATGGTGTTTGCTGGGAGACAGTACTTTTTAGGAGACAAGTGTCAGGTTAGTACTCAAAGGAGACTCAGTTATGATAAACTATTAAAACTGCTTTAAATGGAATATGGTAAACCATTTTATTTCATAGAATTTTCCAAGGCTTCTCTCATTCTCTTCCATGTAGCAATTAATTTGACTTTATTTTTAATGTACTTTTTTTCTAAAATCTACCTTGAAACTTTGGGTAGTGTGAAGAAAAAGCAAGAAATTCATGGTGAACCAGTCATACCCATTCTGTTTGTGCAGGCAGAGCTCAAAATGCAGGGGGTGCACTTTTGAGGTAGTTGTCTTTAGATTTTTTTTTTTTCACTGGGTATCAACAACAATTCTGGATAGTCTTCCCTTTCTCAACAGTGACATAGCAAAATATTTATATAAAATAAAAAGGGAAGAGTAGCATGATATGGCCAGGAGATGCTGAAAGGAAGGTCAGTTTTCTTTGTGTTCTGATGGTGTATGTAGTCAGGGCTTATTTTTTTTTTTAATCACTGCTTAAAGTAGTGCTCACGAGTCACTTAGTGACTTGTTTCTTGCCGAGCAGAGCTTGTCTTTCCAATTTCCTGTTCTATCTTCTGTTCTCAAGTAGTGGTCTTCCTTGGTGCTTATCTGCTTGGCACAGTGTATAAAAATGAGTTAGGAAGCAGGGATCTTCCTCTCTGTCACTCACCAGACTGATTTGATTTCCTTTTTTCCTTCCTGCCTGCCTGTAATTTTGAAGAAGTATTTGAGACTCCTGGGCCACCTCAGTAACACAGGATTGGCCTGGGAGCAGCCTTTGCTATTTATTAGTGGTTTGTAGACAATATTCTGATGCAGTTTGGGTTTTTTTAGAGATTCCTTTTCTCTCTGCAGGTACGTCTGGAGCCAGGAGAGAGGTATTACAATGCTCACATCCAGGAAGTTGGACAGGACAGCAACACATTGACTGTCTTTGTTGAGGAGCTGGCAGAAAAGTAAGCAATCTGGTGATTACTTCAAGTTTGAGCTCTTTCTAGCTGAGTTTCTGTGTTCACAGATGCTTGAAGTTCAGTGAGTCTAATCCTTTTCTCCCCCTTGCTGTTTAGTCATTCACCCTTGGCCTAGGAGGTAAACAGGGTTGAGACTACAGCCTAGGTTGCCTCTTTTTATTAAACAAATAGCAGTAATATGTGCTTGGTATCAGAGAAACAGATGATTTATTTTCACAAACTCTTCTATTTTCTTCTACCTTGATGTTGCTTCAGCTTCTGTAGCTGTGCAGTCCTGCCCAGCATGTCCTGGGGCACTGCTAACATGGGTGTGTTCTCTGTCCAGACACACAGTTCCTCTGGCAAACTTAAAGCCAGTGACTCAGGTGGCTCCTGTCCTTGCCTGGAATGGGGCTCACAACCGAAGAGGAGGAGCCTATCAGAAAATAACAGGTGGCCACTTCTCAGGAATAGGTTTGTACAAGGTTTTGAGAAGCACTGGAACTGGGGGGGGGAGGAGGGGAGATGCTCGTGACAGTTGTCACTGTAGCAGTCTTTGGATATTGGAAGTGACTTAATTCAACCTGGGATACAAAACTTGATGGCTGCAGGGGTTTGATGTAAAGTTATCCTTCAGACAGAGATGAATTTGCCTTTGCAAAAGAGCAAATACATTGAAATACAGAGCAAATCAATTATTGCTCAAAATGACTGAAAACAACTTTGCCACTTGAGGACATTTCCATAAAGATTGCATCGATGAACCAGAAAGCTTGTCTGATTTGGCATTAGCAGAGATGCATGGATGGACTTAGGGCTTTCCCCAGCCAACTAAATATGGATTGTAAATGTTTAATTTGGGGGAGTTGTTGTGGTTTTCTTAATTTTATTAAATAAGTTCAGCCTTCATAAAGAGATTTTAAATCCTGAGAGTGCTGGTTTGATCAGCTGAAGGTGGGGGCAGGTACTTACATGTAAGATGCTTGTATTCTCATGATGCAAAAATACCTGCTTGAACCTTCAGAAGAAGGGCCTGAACTTTGCATAGCTGTGATGCACTTTTTCTGTGATGGGCTAAGGTTTAAATCTGTCTCTTCTGTCCTCAATGAAAACTGCAGACATGGGGATGAAAACACGGAAGAGGATGCTTAAGAAAGTTCGTGGCAAGGAAGTCTTCATGACCGTGGCTTACAGCAGGAGCCAGCCCCTGCTGCCACCCCGGCTCCAGCACAGCGTTCCTTCGGGGCGCTCTCCTCCGGCTCACTGCTCCCAGGATGCTGCAGACGTGGCACCTTACAAACCCTATCACCAGCAGAGTCCTCAGAGGCATCACCGTGGCTTTGGGATGCTGAGGTATGATGTCTTGAAAAGCTGTGACCGGTTGTTTTCTGTTCGTTCTTGCTGCAGACTAGTTGGGAGAGAGTTTGTGCTGCTTAACAGGTGAAACCCCAGCTGAGTTCCACCTGAGAGGCACTTCCTGGTAATTGCTCCTTTCCTCCTTTAAATTCAGGGGATCTGCCCAGTTTATAAACAGGCACAACGTAGTTGGCCCTCAAATAGCATTCTACCCCAGTCCAGGAAAGAGATGTTACCAGAGCTATGACAACTTCTCCTGCAGGTCCTGGTAAGTGACTGTAAACCTCTTTTACCAAGCACTGGGGGGATGGTGGGACGTGAGGGGCTGAACTGGCTGTTAGTGTCACAAAGGGGTTCTTGTGGCTCTGCAAAAAAAAAAAAAAAATTAGTTAAAAATGAGCACCAAAACAGTGGTGAAACTGCAGCTGGTGGTGATTCTTAACCTCCTCTCTTGTCCTCGAAGCTCGTACGGCCGGAGCCGCCGTCAGATGCAGAGCGAGAACAAGGAGTGTCAGGATGGGTTCATAGCAGGGACTGCAGAGGAGCCTCAAGGGCCAGAGGAAACCATAACTTTCTATGAAATTGAAGGAGACAATGACCCTGCTTTTCCTACCTTGCCAGTAAGTTGTGAACAAAGGGTAAGCTGAGACCTCTCAGAGAGAGAGAGAGGAGGGAAAACCTGCACAAATGCACAGCACTTCTTTACCTAAATATGTAGCTTTGGGGTTTGTTTTCTTCTTAGTATATTTTCATAAACATAAGGGCATGTTTCTCCTTTCCATTGCAGTTTGAAAACAAACCAAAATCTCTTCCTCCTGTGGATGTCTGCCTCACTCTAAATATTGTGGGAGAAAGCTTTTCACTTATTTGCTACTCTGTAATTTAATGTTTGAGTGATGACATCCAGAAACTGTATGGTGATAGCCTGGATTGTTGCTGTGAATTTGTAGTTGGGTAGTTTTGGATTAGCGTGTTGTTCCTGCAACAGTGTATCCTGCTATAGAAACAGGAGAAAATTAGGAATCTGGATGTCTTGTACAACAATCTGTCTGCTGATTTGTAGATAAAATGGCAGAGTGTATTCTTAAACTGTAAAATACATCTTTTTTATTTGTAGTCCAAGCCTAGTCCAAAACTGGGTGTTCTATCAAAAAAAACCAAACAAAAAAACCCACCAATAAACCAACTGATACACAGCTATCTGAATAGGAAAGCAGATCTTTTAGAAACAAACAAAAAAAAGCTGGTAGGTTTGAATTTTTTGTAACTGTGTGAAAGCAGTGGACTTAACAAATACATTGAAATGAGGGAGAGGGAATGTGCTCAGGGCTGCTTCAGCAGCAGTCATTTTTTCTTTGCCCTCATGCACTAGATTTTTAATCTTTGCTCTGACTTTTCTCCAAGAATGCCAAGGAATAAGGACAGATTATCCTGCAATTTCTGTTTTTTCCATATGAAATCAGTATAGGTTACTGGCTTTTCCTCCCAGGTGCTAAACCATGCACCTCCAGCTCCTAATGAATAAGTTTTCATGGTCATTCCTTGACTTTGGTATTGTCAATGCCAAAGCTTTTTCTCTGTCTTGTTTAGTAAAGGAATGTGACATTTTCTGGGGAAAGATGTATCTTGCAGAGAACTCTGCCATCTTACTAGAGGCCTGATGGGATGATAATCTGACTTACAACCTCTACTTCAACTCTGGAAACCTTTCGAGCCTCTCTAAACACTTTATCAGTCTCTTATGTCTTCTGAGGAGAATTTTGAGTGTCACCTTAGCCATGACAAAAGAGCAAATTGAGTTCTTTTTACTCGAGCATCTCAATCCTACAGTCCTGCTTCAGAGAACTCTATCCCTTAAACTGTGGTGTGGCTAAGTACTGACTTCAGTGCAGAGACAAAGGACAAGTCAAATATTGGAGTCCTGTGGGAAAACTTTGTGTGCTGCTCTCTGAAACAGCCAGGCTTGCATGTGTGGGTCAGGTTAGCACAGGCAGTGGTGTCTGTGCCAGCAGTGACCCCTGGGTTTCACTGGGGGTGACTGAAGATAAACTTTACCCACCATAATTGGAGTATTTGGGTGAACTGATCTGCTGTTGGTAGATCAGATGCTCCAGAATGAGGAATGCAGGGACATATGTTGGAGGTAGCAACCTTGGCTGTTATCTGGGGTCTACTCCCTCCTTTCCAGCTTTGTTAGAGCTGACTGAGTTCTGGGAGCAAGCAGCTTGACTGCATGGCATAGAACACTGGTGGGTCTTCAGAGCAAAAATTGCCTTAAGTGTACAGGGCAGAACAAAAGATGAAGGAGAGAAATGTGGCTGCAGCTGTTTGGTTGCAATCAAGTGCATAGGAATGGACACACAGATGATACTTCTGGTAAGCTTTGGTTGCAGGAAGATTGGTCTGCCAGCCTGTTGCTGCTCTGCGTGTGTGTGCATCTGTGTGGAGCATGGAAAGGCTTTAAATTATTTCTAAATGCATGCTTCTGAGTTTGCCTTTCAGAGCCAGAGTAGTCCTGCTCCCACTGTCCACAGTCCAGCAGGATTTTGGGTAGCGAGGAGAAACCAGAACTCTGTTTCACCTAACAAGCAGACCCTGAATTCCTCAGAGGAGGAGGAAGAAATAAGTGAAAATGGTGAGTTCTTAAGGGATTAGTAGGCAAAAAACCAGAAATTTTTCGATGTGCTTCTGATGGTAAAGAGGGGGGTCCTTACATCTCCTGGAAGTCTCTTTATTATAAGCTCTGAATATGTGTGTGAACACGTTATATTTCTTTGTTGTCTGATACAAACGTGTCTCTTCTGTTTAAGCTTACTAGGCCAGCACCCCTGTGTAGGTTTGTAGCAAGCTAAGCTGCTGCTTAAAAATGCATGGTGTAAATTTAGCAACATCAGCCTTGATAACACCATTTGTTCTTCCATGTAGTATCTTCAGTGTTTATTTACTCTTTCTGTACAAGCAAGATGATACTGAAAACGTGTTAGTAATGGATGCACTAAAAGGTAATTGTAACTCCAAGCTGGTTTTTTTTTTTCCTCCCCTCTCCCTGAATCAATGCTTCCTGTTCTATCTCCCTTGTAGGAAAATTTCATGAAGAATATATCTATGCACCTCCAGGTAAGTAAAAAGTTTAGTCTTTGCTGATAGAATATTTGGTGAATGTAATGTACTCATTAAGACATTTTTATGCATTAGATTTAATGCAGCTCTTTTCAATTAATTTTGCCTGTGCCCTCCAGATCCTGACTGTGAAACTGCAACGGTGTTTAGCTCAGCAGAACCTCCAGCAAACTTGGTAAGCTTTAGTCACAGTCTGTTCAGATGTGAGATCCTGGAGGTGTGCAGTATTCCTCATAGGAAATTCCCTTGGATGCAGGCTTAACATAGACTGAGAAGTCAGAGACTTCTTAGAAAGGCACGTTGGTTTCATTTGTACATTCCCTCTCCTTTTCTCCCTGAATAGGAAGGGTTTTTTCAGCAGTCAAGTTTGAATTGCAGTGGATACATGAATGATTTTTCATCTTTCCCTCTGTGGAAGAGAAAATGTGTATTTGAGTGCTGTTTACTTTTCTTTCTCTGCTCCAGACAGCACTTGCTTTTATCATGCTGCCTTTCAAGTTGTATTCCAGCTAATCTTGGTCCTCCACTGTGGGACTGAAGAGATCTCATCTGTGATAGAACTGACATTGGAATTTTATTTTTTTCATTTGAAACTACATCTTCAGTCACCTGCTGCTCTACAGTGGGTGTGAAAGCACTCCTGTGCCTGTCAGAATAAAACTGCTTTTACTTGAGCTATGAAAGGTGATCTGTGTGAGTGTATAGTCCATAAATAAATAAAAAAAAATTAGGGGTGTGTGGGCTGTGTGCCTCGTGGCTTCTTTGCCACTTAAATGGACCATGCTTTGTTCTGGAATCCCTTCAGGAAGAAGGGCCTGTCTCGGTGTCACCTCAAGATGAAGGGGCTTCCTACAGCTACCCCCAGAAGGTAGTGTCTGGTGCTTTATCTTGCACTTTACTGTGGTAGCTCAATGGAAAGGTAACGACTCTGCTTGCATTGTGTCAGTTTGGGGGGGTCCCCTGCAGGATCTTGCAGCAAAGATTACAATTCCCTGCAACAAAACCAAGCAAAACACAAGAGCGTGACGATGCCTTGCAGGTATCTGTAACTCTAAACTGGTGTTTTCAAGCCAACTTGTAGAGAATTTGGGTAGTTAGCTGCTTTTACAGTGAGGATTTCCAAAATGATTCATATAAAGTGAGAATTGTTGAAGTCTGTGGTGTTTCTGTAGTCTCTGTCAAAGCCAGTTGCAGAGGCAGTGTGCTGAATACTCTGACTCTTTTCCAGGTGTTGGTGAACTCTGCAGGAGTTTCAGCCTCCACAGATGTTTACACTGCTCCAGCAACAGGCCTCTCCTCAAATTCTGCTGCCTCCACTCCAGCCAGTGTCACCACAGCAGCTCCCCCACAAACAGCAGTTCAACCTGTCATAGTATCTCCCTTTTCTGTGGGGAGGCCAGGTAGAGTGTACAGCCTGCAGCCACAGGCTTGGGGTTCTAAGTTTGCAGTTCCATTTTGCCCTCCCTCTCCCTCCCCCATCCAAAACAAATGTTAAAAGATTTAAAAAAAGAAATGTCACTTGCTTGGGTTTAAAATGGTTTAGTTGTTGTAACTTGACTGCTGACTTCTTATTTTGAAGGGGCAGTTGCCACCAAATTTGCATAGGAATTGGAGGTCTCTACTTTGGGTTTTCCCCCCTTAGCCAAGAGTTTTGCTAGAAAGTTCTTTTTAGAAGATAGAAATTCATGGCAATACCCTTGAGTTGAGATACTGTCCAGAGGCTTTACTGTCTCTTCCAGAAGAGTCACTGGCTGTGATGTTTCAGGATTCACACAGGTGTCTGGTTCATTTTTGTGACCCTTAGTTCCTTCTGTGCTCGCTTAATCTCTGTGCAGGGAGATCAGATTTGTGGTTAGTCCCATGGTGCACTTGCCCCCTTAGATGTATCTGCTTAGATGTATTTGCTTTAACATCCAGAAATGTCTGTTAAAAAAATTCTTCTCTTCTTGCAAAGAGGACTTTTCATGTCTTCTGTAACTCTTCATTTAGTGTCCAAAAAACCCCCACCTTCTGTTCTGCTCAGTTCTGTCTCACTTTTCTTAACCTTTTTTTTTTTTTTTATCTAGTCTGCTTGAGAGTTTAATCAGCACAGCTCTCAAAGCTGTCTCCTCACTGGTGCCAACCTGCTTATGTGATATTTCTTCCTACCTAATGAATATTTACCAGTAGGCTGTCCAAAATATTTTTGCCCTGACATGTCTTGAACCTTGCCTTGTTTTTGTGGGCTTATTGTCACACTTCTGATGATTTGAAGCGATTAATCTGTTCTCTGTTGTTCTAGGACAGACAGTTATGTAAGAGAAGTCTGGCCTGCCTTCTAATATGGAGAAATGATTGAAAAAAAGACAGTTTTTCTTAACTGGGATATGAAGCTTGCAGATAGACATACGATTAAGGCTTCAGAGATTGGAACCTTCCCATCTGGTTTTAAAATGTCTTCTGGACTTCTTTTAAAGTGATTACTAAAGAGGATTTTGGTAGAGCCTGAATTTAGGGGCGCTGTGGTGGCGAAGTGCATGCTGAATTGTGTAACTGAGCACCTTGTTCAATTGACACGCCGTGACAAAGTTGACTTTCTGTGTGACATTTGTTTCCTTCCGATTGTAGCAGTTTCTTCGGTGCCATTCCCAACTTACCCAGCTCTTCTTCCTCCAGTGAGTGAGGTGGGAGAAGCTGGTGCTGTTCTTCCAGCTTACTCTTGTGATCCCAGTGGCAGTGATCTGCCTCGAGGTAATGATGGTATTTTGTGCTTTTACTCCTGCTGCTCTTCAGCACTTCTGACCTGTGCTCTCCTTGGAAGCTTAACAGAATACCATTAGTGAGAAGAAATAGCTCTTTGCAGCTCACAGGGGAGTGAAAAATAGTATTATAGATGCTTATGCTAAAACATTTTAATTCCTAGTTTTGAATAGAAAGTTTGTATCGAACTCAAATGTGTGATTGCTGCAGCTCGAGATGGCACCCTAAATAAATGAATGTCAGGGAGGGGGTGCTTGGCCTATATCATAGTGGTTTGTGTCACAGTAATCACTTTTCTCATAACTGATGACAGTAATTGCATTTCTGAAGTCGTGCTGTGGCACAGTTCAGTGGGCTGTTTTTGTTGTGCTCCCAGATGTGGTTCTGTGGTGTATTATAAACCGGGGTTTAAGTGTAGGGTCATCTTGTTCCTTGCACGTGTGGCCTTGTCACACACTGTCATCAGTCAGGACAGTGTTTAAGGTCCATTTCAGCCACTAAGCAATGAGTGTGCAGAGGCCAAGGCTGCTGCTTTCCCAGCTCCTGCTGCTGAGCTCTACAGTTACTCTGCTGTCTTGCCTGCATTCTCAATTCCCAGATTTGTTAATCCTGAACATTGTTTTCCACTTCCCTGCTGTGGTACCATCACTTTAGCTGATCCTACAACATCAGAGTTCATGCTTTGCAGCTCTAGGTGAATGCCCTTAAACTGATGCTTTCAGCCCTTGGGAGAATTGGGTGTTAAGTGTCCTGACAAGGAGCTGGAGTGGGTGTGGATTAATAACCTCTTCAGACCCCACCTGTAGCTCTTCAGCTGAGTCACTCTGCATAATTTTGGCCATGTCCTTCTTGGCATAGACTCTAGAATAAAGTATCTTAAGGTTGCTAACTAATTGCATGTAGCATTTGTGTTGTTAGACTGCTCTATGATAATCTGAATGGCCTTTGGATTAAGAAATGCAGCAGCTTTGGGGTGTCATAGGGTAAAGTATGTGGGTGTACTGGATCTGGAGTTCTGCATGCCTTCCTAAAGATACCTGCAGGCCTGGGATAGGTGTGGGACCATGACTTGTCAGCACACTGAAGTCCTGGACCTGGAAGAAAACCTGCTGTGTACCTTAGCATTGCTTGTTTTATCTGCATTTGTTCCAGTTTTCGTAGTCTCTTGGATCTTGTTTTAATGGCTCTTAGGACTTATAAGTCATGTTTATTAACAGTGACCATAGGTGTCCTGCCTTTGCCTGGTCCCCTGTATTTGAAGGAGGTGTTGATAAAAGACTGCTTGATGTCAGTGTGTTCCAGAGAGTGCAGCAGTGTTCAGGATTGGCCAGAGCTTCCCATCAGCAGAGGGAAAACTTTGTCACGGGATGAGCTTTTTGTCAGCCGTCCACGTGGTCTTTGTATTTTCATACAAACAACTTCTTCTGGCTTAGCTATTGCTTCATAAGGTTGCAGTGTTTTACTGAAGGCTTCCTTGATTTCTGGACATCTAAAATAGGAATGTAAACGAAGACTGGTCTCCTGCTGTACTGGCTTCTGTTCCAGCATTCCACAGCCAGCAGTATTTCCAGTATCAGTTTGTCACTTCAGTCTCCCAGCTCTTTGTACTGTTATCACTGCTGTGAAGCACCTATTTCATTCTGCTCCTCTGCTTGCTTTGCGGAGATTTGCATAAACAATCAAAGAGTAAAACTGGATTAAAAAAAAATAAAAACAACCACCTTGTTCCAAATGTAGGTGCAGTTTCAGGTAGATACTAAAAAGTTGGCATTCATGTCAGCCTTGGGGTTATTTTGAATGTTTTAGTGACTGTGGTCAATGTTCTAGCCAGATCATCAACACTTCCAGGGCTAAGCAAGCTGACATAAGGATGGATCTGTGTGCACTTCCTAAAACAGCTGTGTGGATATGCTGAACATTAAAAGAATTAAAAATGGGCAGCAGTGACAGAGGAACAAATCCTCATGGCATTTTAAGACTGGGGTTTGCATTGCTGCCACTGTGCCTTCCTGCAGCAAAGCATGGGACATGGGTGGATAGGGAAGCACTGCTGAGCTAAGGCCCTGCTCTAGGTGAGTAGAGAATATATATGATAACTCTGAGGTATTCCTAAGTTGAAGTGCCTTGCTCCTTCTGAGTTGTCTCCCTGCTCTCCCTTCCAGCTCCCAGCTGTGCTAAAAAGCAAAGTTTTTGTGCTGTGGAATAGGTGCCTTGCTCTTCCTGAGCCTCTAAACCAAAGCTGTCTTGCAATCTAAGAAATCAAGGTTTTTCTCATGCATAGTTCCAGAACTGCATCATGGGATTAAACACCTGCTCTCTTTTTTTTTTTTTTCCTTTCAATGGTCAACTTTAAAGGTCTAAACCACTGACAGTTACCACTTGAGTAATCAAGATGAGTAAACCAAAATTAAAGCTAATAATAGTCATTGAAGTTAAATAATAAGTTGGTCAGACAAATGCTCTACTATTGCACAAACATCTAGCTGGATTAAGTTAAAAAGATAAGCTAGCATTAACAGCTACTTCTGTTCAAGATGCATTGTTTACCCTTGAGACTTAAAAAAAATAAAGTAGTGCTAAGATACTCTTATTCATTAAGTAAGAGTAGCTTAAATTAAAATGTTCTTAATGTGTGTAAATTGCTTTTGCTTCTTGGTTTACATTCCTCTGCTCTTTAATGTCGTATCCTTTCATTTCAGATACAAAGGTCTTGCGGTATTATTTTAATCTGGGATTGCAAGTAAGTGCTTTTAAAATGAGTACAGTAAATTGCCTGTAAAAACTGCTGCTTTTCTTGACAAAAATAGTAATGGATTGAAGGCTTCCAGGTGTGCTAAATGTGCATCCTGTGCTCCTGACTGTTAATACATCTTGGCTTGCTTGGTGGAGATCAAAGTGTGCCTCAGGAAGTGAGGTTCTAACTCGAAATGTGAAGCACTCTGCATGTATATTCAGTTATTTTACTCTGGGTTGTGGTGGTGGTTTTTTGGGGTTTGCTTTTCTTTTTGCAGGGCATGGTGAATAAATATTGTTCTTTCAGTGAAAATAAGGCAGTGAAAACAAGGCAGAGAACCTTTGTGTACTTAGACAAGACATCAAAGACCACTTAGACATGCGTGGTTTGAGTCTTCTAGGACTTGTACAGCTGTGTTCAGCCTGGTTAGCACCATTTCTTTGTGTTTGGAAACTCTTGCTCTGATGAGGAGTTGTTTCTCTACCAGTAGTCATATGCAGTGTCAGGCTGCTGCTCAGGGAACTAAAAGAAGTAATGTGAACTTTTTCAGTTGAAGAAATATTAAAAATCTTTTTTGAACATGACCAAGCCAGTAGGTGGGAATGTTCTTTCTCTGTAAATATTCCTGGCATAGCAGCAGTGTAGAACTGAGCTGGTTGTTGCAGGTATTGCAATATCTTTTCTGGGAGGTGGTATTTTTTTATTATTATTTATTTGTTTGTTGTTTCAAGGGGCTAGGCAGGTGAAAAACGCACTTTTTCCTAACTACAGATCTGAACTAGTAGCGATTTTTGGAGGAGGAGAGGATGTGTCTGTATGCTTGACCTTGTGGTTTTTTTTCCTTTCCTCTAAGTATTGCCATCAGAGCTATTGGCCTTCCATGGTGTATGTACAGCCAGTGCTGCCTCCATCTCCAGTGGAAGTTTATCCAGCATATGCTGAGCCAGCTCCTGTCTTGGATCAGTCAGTACCTCAGGTCTTCCCTGATCCACGGCCAACTGAGGTCCAGGTTCCCTTGGAAGCACCAGCAAACGGTCAGTATTTGAGTTCTGCTGTGTTCATGGCAATGAAAGGCAGCGTGAAAAGGCCACTGAATACGGTTCAAGTCTGTGTTTGTGCATTTTGTTCTGTTTTTTAAGGTAACTTCCAAAATGCAGAGCCTGCACCCCTGTCCTACGGGCCGGTGTATTACCCAGTTGTGTCAGACCCCTTCAGCCAGCAGGCCCTGCCTGGCTTTGACACGGTGGTGCCTGCCTATCACTATGTCAGTGCCTGGCACCCAGTGAACCCTGCCCATGGAAACCCACCCCAAATGGGCAGCGCTGTGAGCTCAGCACCACCCCACCAGATCAGCTATATTGCCTCACCTGGCCCTGTACCTCACGACGTGCCTCAAGGAATGTAAATCGGGGAGCTGGAAACTCAAATTCTTGCTTCCTCCTTTCTTGTTTGTCAGCTCCTGTTTATATAGTTCTGTAAATGTTGTCCTGTCTTAAGGGGCTGAGGCAGTTGATGGAGCTGCATTTCATATTTCATGTTTCTCTTTAGGTTTGTGCTGTTAGTTGACAAGGTGTTGTTTTAGTTGATTAGGGAAGCGTAGGAAGAAGGAACACACAAACTGTAGTGCAGGGAACACAACCTGAATGTGGCCACATAAAGTATGTGAAAAAAACATGCTGTCACTGAAGGCATGTACCTCTGAGAGGTTGCACTGAACACCTGGTTCTTGTTGAAGCACTGACATAGGCTGCCACTACAACTACAGATAAAAAATGGGCATAGAGTCACCAGAGGGTGAAAATGTTTAAGTTGGCTTTCTCAGATTTTGCAGAACAAAACTGCTTTGCCACTAGTGGTCACATATTTATAATAGCTGTATTTCTTCTGTCTGCCTTCATACTGCATAGAGTTCATCACTGGAAATGCAAGAATAATGTTTTGATCTGTATATTGTATATTTGTAAGATTTGTTTTGTGAAAGCTGTTGCACATATGGTGATAATCTTTGGTGTTAATTTGCACTGACAGCACAAAATAAAAGCATTGAACACGTGAAAATGAGTGCTCATTTATCACTGGCAGATAATATTCCTGACAATTAGTTATCCCACAGCCTGGACCGAAGAAATGTAGTTATGTGGGTTATGCTCCAGCTCTCTATGAACAGGCAGCAAAAGCTTTTTTCAGCATGAGGAATTCCTGGTAATTGCAACTTTTCCCCTTTAAACTTGTGGGATCTGCCTGATTTATGAACAGGCACAATGTAGTTGGCCCTCAAATAGCATTCTACCCCAGTCCAGGAAAGAGATGTTACCAGAGCTATGACAACTTCTCCTGCAGGTCCTGGTAAGTGACTGTAAAGTGAGTATGAGAAACTGTCTGAAAGCAGCAGAACCTGCAGCTGGTGGTGATTCTTAACCTCCTCTCTTGTCCTCGAAGCTCATCAGATGCAGTGTGAGAACAAGGAGTGTCAGGATTTTAGAGCAGGGACTGCAGAGGAGCCTCAAGGGCCAGAAGAAGCCATAACTTTCTGTGCAGTTGAAGGAGAGGATGATGCTGCTTTTCCTACCTTGCCAGTGAGTTGTGAACAAAGGAGATAAAAATGTGCAGCCCTGGCCTGGCTTAACAAACGAGGGCACGAGTGCAGGTTGTGTTGGCTCAGTCCAGAGGTCCTGAAGAACAGCAGAAATCTCTTATAGAAGTTGCCTTAACCGGCACATGACCTCAGCATTTGAATCTTCTAACTCCAAACACAGCCTGCCCTGGATAAGGAGATGAAGTCAGTGGCTTCAGACAGTGGCACAATTGCTATTTCACAAAACTTAAATCAACTGTCTGGGCCCATCCTGACTTCTTAATAAATTTTCCCTTGTGCATAGCTAAGTGCTGATGAAAAGAGGATTTCCTGTAGAACCAGGAGGGGAAAGAATTATATTCCCTTCAGTATCCATTTTAAGTAAAAAAGGGGGAAAAGCGACTCCTTACGGCTTTGTCTTGAATTCATGCAGCACTCTTGGAGTTGACACTGTTTCCATATAACTCCTGAGACTTTCCCCTGCTCCCTGCCCTTCCTTTAGAGAAGATAATGTAGCCCTTTAGTGGGAGCGTGTTTCCACCACAGTCACAGGTGCCATCTGTCACATCTCAAACAGTTGCTGTCAATCCCTGAAGGGAGTATCTCCCACTTTCAGGCTTTAACTATGAATAATGCCTCCTTTCTTCCACTGTCACTGAGATAGCCTTGCTTTTTTCTACACAAATGGTTATCACATTTAAGTATTGATGTTTTATCTTCTGGTATTAGTTTATCTCCTGAGAGTCAACTTTTTTTGGTATGGTTTTGCTTCCCCATCTAAGACCTGGATTATTCAGCATTAGCCAGGCCTATCATGGCCTTGTTGGCCACTTTGATAGACATGAAAATTACATTAATTGATAAGATAGCTTATCTTATGGATTTGATATACAGCAGTATCTCTGACTTGATTTATGTATTTTTGCCAGGGCTGTTTAAGCCTTAAAATTGACTTTTTTAACTAGCAAGTGTGGGCTGTGGGGAACAGTTAGCAGCGTGTCCTGGAGCTGGTTGATGACTCCTCTCCCTAAATCAGGAAAAGCCACCTTTTTATTAACTACAAAAGAGCTTAGAATGGTACAGAAATTAGGGGGAGTGCTGGAGTGTTTTATTTCAAATCTATTGGGTTGCAATACAGTAGCTCTGCATCATTTAACTGAAACAGCTGCCAAAAAACTCCACAGTTCTACCTAAAACACAGCTCATCTGCTTTGTCCTGGCACACATTTGATTGTTGCTGTTACAGTTTGGTACCAGACCAATGTTCTAGGTTTTTCATGCCCAGCAGAATTGCTGTGAATTAGAGTATTGGGACATAGCTTAAAGCCATAACCATATTTTACCTTTAATTAGAAGGATTTAAAAAATCCATGAGTATTGATTTCTACTTGGAACAATCTTTTTCCTTCACATCAGTGTTTTTATATTTTCATTTCCATTCTTTATTGGGATTCTTGAAACTTGTTGCTTAATAATAAATGTTTAAAGCAAAGATTTGATCCTGGAATGGGTTTATTTGTTTGTTTGTTTGTTTGTTTTTCTCATTTTTCTTTATTTTTTGCAGATGGCTTTTCAGCCTTGAAAAGGGAGACAGGAGAATCATGCAGCTAAATTTGTGTTAGTCATACTTGTCACCTCCTTTACTTCACTGAGGTTTTTATAGATGAAAGACAGGCTGAAATTAATGACCACCTGAAGGCTGTGCAGTCAGGCTCCATCAACTGGCAGTGCCATGGAGTGCTCTCAGATTGTCAGCACTTGTGGTTTTGTGGCTGTTAAAGCCACTCTCAGAGCCAAACCTTTTCCTCAGCAACAGGACGAGAGAACATGGCCTTGAGCTGGGCCAGGGAAGGTTCAGGTGGGACAGTCAGGAGGAGTTTCTTCACAGAGAGGGTGGTTAAACATTGGAAGGGGCTGCCCAGGGAAGTGGTGGAGTCCCCAGCCCTGGAGGTGTCCAAGGATGTGGCACTGAGGGCTCTGGGCTGGGGATTGGGCACAGGTTGGACTCGATGGTCTTGGAGGTTTTTCCAGCTTTGGTGATTCTGGGATTCTTCTGAATGCACAGGATAAAAACAGCAGTACATGTGTTTTGGAGGGTGAGTTTCTTGTGGTTTTAAGTATTTCAGTACTTCTAAAGTGCTGCAAGTCTTGCTGCCCTCAGAAGGAGCAGACTCCAGTGCAACTGCATTCACCTCTGTGACACCAGAGTGCCAGTGTCATCTGAACACCACTCCCCACAGGGTCAGGGATATTTTGCTGCCTGGTATTTTGGCAGAGGAGCTGGTCTTGCCCCAAAGGCCATGCCCAGCCTGTGCCCTGGTGCAGTTGGGCTGTGAGTGCTGCCTGCCTGTGTGTGCCCCACTGCTCCTACCAGTCCTGCCTCAACAGCCACTGCATTCCTGCTGTTGGGCGGCCTTTCTGATGTCTTTTGAGTTACAAAATCCATCTGTTATGGAAGATAATGATTATAATTACTGTAGAGGAAGACCCCGCTGATTCTGCCTTGCCCAGCAGCGTTTGCCCACTGGGTTATCACTTGCTAAAGCTTGTGTGCTGTTTTCTCCTTCCTCACATCATAACCAAACCAATTTCTCCAGCAAGTTGTTTTTCTAGCTCAGTTGGGCTTTTTTACACTCTTAGCTTCCATTTCTCTCTGCAGTGCTGCTGGATACCTTTTTATTTTATAAAATTACACCATCAAAGGCTGCATTATATATAGAAGATATTCAACACACAAATCCAGAGCCAGACTTCCAAGTAACTGCTTTTTTTTCATGAGGAAAATAAAACTGTTGAACCAGGACTTCATAGCTTTGAAATAAGATCAGAGATTAATTTTTGCAGGCCAGGCCTGTATGTAGGAGGTCCTACTGAAGATCAGGTCAGTGCTGCTTTACCAGATTTTGTGGTCAGCTGAATGTGAATTGCAGCACATGGGAAACAGCCCAGCCAGGACAAGCCACAGGCTCAGAGCACGTCCCAGGCACTGACTGCAGCCTCCTCCTGTCTGCAAGTGGGGTGATCTGCAGCACAAGGAACAGATGCCAGGGTGGTTTTCATGTGTGAGGCTCAGTTTATGGCGATCCTTTTGTTACAGAGGGTAAATCTTGCCTTCCCTGGAGCAGGTGAGTGTTTTGCCACAAGCTTTGGGGTGCTGGGTTTTACCCCAGGTAAGTGTGGCTGGGATAACTGCTTGACTTTGTTGTGTCAGAGAAGAAATAAGGGTCTTTTAAGAGGAAGTAGAATATCCTCTAATGATGAAATTAAAGGACCATCTAACTCCCTCTACCCCCTCCTCTATGTATTTTCCTGTTCCCTTCCCTCCCTATTTGCATTGTCCAATCAAATGTAAACCTGTGGGGTTTGACTCTTTTAAAACCGGCACTTTGTTAATATTTGTCATAGTTGAAAACAAACAAACAAACAAGTTTATTTTGATGTTTGTGATCATTATGTGAGTGTGTGATTTGTATCACCTTTCAGGAAGTACAAGCAGGAGGAGATGAAATACCCTGCCAAGCTGCTTCAGAGAATGGGGCAGGATGGAAGGGACCACAGTGGGTTATCAGGTCCCACCTTCCAGAGGGTTCTGGAATATCTCCAGTGGGAGGGACTCCACAATCTCTCTGGCAATCTGTTCCAGTGCTCAGTCACCCTGTCCCCACATCCCCGGTCAACTCTGGTGTCACAGAGGGGAAACTCCTTTTCCTGGGAAGTTCAGTCCCTGTTTCTGGAATAGGTCAATGTGTTAACATTGCCTCCCTTGTCAGGAATCTCCTGCATTCCAAGGAAAGGGGTATTGCCATTGCTTAACTTGAGGAAACTCTTGTTCCACTGGAGGCTTGACCAAAAGACTCTGATTGTTGATGGAAACCTTCTGAAATGAATCTCCAGTCCTTTAATGAGGCTTGCTTGGAGGACAGCTTTCCACAAGCAAATTATGTTAATACACTTAGAAGTTGTTGTTTAATGCCTCCCTTACACTATTAACTATATTGCTGTATATTCCAGGGTGGCCCATGCAGTTGGGCTGGTCTAAGGATATCTTTGGGGAGGAAATGAAAATGAAATTACACTTACTTAGACTTCTTTGTACAGGAGTAACTGCATTCAGGCAGTGCACTTTATTTACCAACACTTGTAGAGGTTTGGTATTTTCTGTTGTAGCCAGGATATAATTAATATTTTGGGATTGTTTGTTGGGTTTTTTTCCCCAGCTAGGTGTTGTCTCACTCTTGCCCATAAGCACTTGCTCAAATTTGGGTGACCAACTTCACAGGAGGTAAGCAGGACTGTGTCATGCCTTTTTTAATGACAATACCAATAAAGTCTCTATAGAGAGCCCTTAAGTGCCCCTCTGACCACTGAGAGCCCTTGAGAAGTCTCTGCTGAGCATGTTTTAAAAAAACCTATAAAATGTCAGATCTGTTGCTGTTCATAAATGTTTATTATCAATAGGCAGCTGGAAATGTTACATCTTGAAAAGGTAGAAACACCTTGATTTTCAATAGGCTTACATTTTTGGGAAAAAATTAAATGCCTTTTTTTTTTTTCCAGTTTACAGTTAAGCTAAAAATACACATAAAATAAATAATTTTATCTATTATGTACATTGTTTCATTTTTTTACAGGTTATACGAGGGTATGACATGGATTTTTGCACTACAGATGAGAGAGATGCAAGTAGAAAAGTACATAAAACTAAGCATTTGTTTTTGCTTTTTGCTCTTGCCCTTTTCTCCCGTTTTTCTCCAGAGGTGGCTGTTACCACTTAACTGGCAAATGCTGAGGTCACCACTCTGTCTTTACATACACAGATTCTTACATCTAATAATAGCTCTTTTGCCTGGAAAAGGCCATTATGTTTTTAACCAAAACTTAAAAACAAGGAGAGGGGGAAAAAAAAAAAAAAAGCCTCACCTTTTTTATCCAGTGAAGTAAAATGGCATTTTAAAATATGCTCTGGTGTGAAGCCGTTTCTGTGATAGCTTTTTTGAAATGAAGATTTGATATTAAAATTTGATATCCTAAAAAAACTGTTGTTAGAGTCAGCCCAGTCCCCAGGGCTCACCAGATAGAAAATAAGAGTACTTAAGCATCTGCTTCTGTCTTTTGCTTCTCAAAGATCCTTAGCCCTCTAATTCCCAGACCCACCTCATAAACACATTCAGTAGTTTGTTTTTTAAATAACTGTACAATACCCCAAAAAATAGCTAGCCCAAAAAGTGCCCCCCTTGCTGCAAAACAACTATTTATAGTCAAAAGGCATTTCTCTCTGTTGGTTAAAGGTATCACAGTGTTCTGTTAGCTAAAGGCCAGCTCCTTGAGAGATCACATCTTCAGTCCTAAGCACAGCACCTCTTCTGGCTTAGGAGTCACTGCTGATATGGAAATGCTTCAAATGGGAGGGAGAACTGAAAACATAATCCCCCAAAATAAGTAAAATAAGCCATGCTGGTAGCCTGGGGGAAGGGGCTGCACTGGTGTCTGTAGTTGGTGAGTGTTGATTGAGAAGGGTCTGTCAGATGGCCCTGCCTGGGCAGGATGGTTGGACTGGGGGATCTCCAGAGGTCCCTTCCAACCTCATCCTGTTTTGTAAGGAAGGGACTGCAGGATCGGTCTGGCTGTTAAAATTGTGAGTGGTGTGAGCTCTGTTGGGAGGTTCTAGTGCTGTTACTGCTGGGGGTTTGTTTTGCTTTGCACACCTTAAAATAAAAGAGCAGGGGAAAAGTGTTTCCATCAAGCACAGAGTGCGACCACAACATTTGGAAGGTAAGGATCAAACAAAAAGCAGTTGGTCTGGATGGGGGCACTTATGTGAATAATATAGAAATTGTTTGTTAAAATGGCCTGAAATGGGGAAAGAAGTATGAAAAATGAAATTTAATCAAATTACAGATATTTAGGAAATGTGCTGATGTGGCTAGCCCAGAGTGGTCCCCACCTCCTCCAGAAAAATCCAGCAAGGGAGGGACTTTACAGCTGTTTCAAGCTACACATTCACTGCAAACTGGGAACAGTTTACTTTAGATGCTTCTCCAGTGAATGGATTTATTATCCACTGTAGTCTCACTGATTCCAATTAATTTTACCATTCCATGATTTAGTGTCTGATGCTTGCAGCCATCTCACCTGCCTCAGCTGGGGGTACAGTGCTGGGGGGCCTGCAGAGTCCCTCTGGGGAAGAAGAGGTCCTTGCAGTCCATCCCCCAAAAAACAACTCCAGGGAGTTCTTAGTTAAGTAACAACTGTCATTAATTCTTGGCATCCCTGGTGGTTCAGGTGGTTTTGCTTGGTTTTAGCCATTCTGGGTGTGGAATTGCAGCAGAGGTTGGGAGGGGGTTCCTTTTTCTTTGGAAATCAGCCTTTGAGCCTGCACAAAGCTTTCTCACAGACCTGTCTGAGGGACAGCACGAGTTCACTTGGTGAAGGAGAGAGAACTCAACCAGGAATTCAACCAAAACTGAACCCCTTCCTGGTTAAGTGAAATGTGCTATTCTTGGGGATTTGGGCCTTTTGAAAAGAAAAGTAGCAATACCAAAGCAAAGGTGACAACTCCCCAGGGAAGCAGAACACACACTCGATGGTGTAAGAGCAGCAGGGGCCAGAAAACCCGGCAGCAAGTCAGATCCTGGCTTACACCATTAGCAACTGTGCAGATATCTTTGCTTTGTAAGCTGTCTGACACCATCAGTAATGTCCAGATAGCCAGTGCACATCCCTGCAACTCCTCACATTCCTGGAATGGAGCTCAGAATGCTCACAGTGCCCTTACCCTGCCAGTCAAATCTCGGAGCTCCTGCTGCTCAAACCTCGCACTTCATCCTTTATCCTGAGTAAGCCCTAAAGAAAATGAATTGTACAGAGGGATCTGGGGGAAAAGCCCCTTTGTAGGGATGCAGGAGACAAGTCATCTGCTGCCCAGGATGATTTTTGTGTTGGCCACACTCTGCTACCTGAGGTTGGCGTCCAGGAGCTGCCTTTACCCTCTCCTGGGGCAGAACATCCTGCTCCAGTGACAGCCTCCCTCTGCCCTCCTCTAACACCCGTGTGATTTGCTGCCCTTGCCAGTGAAAGGTTGATGGTGATGTGGTGAATTTTTCCTCCAGCCCTGCTCCAGTGTCCTGGTGTGCACGTGTGTCAGTTCTGGGCCTGTGGAACCTCCCCACGCTTAGAATTCTGTTGCACCAACCAATCCGAACCTCCTTGAAAAGTTAAGGGTTTATATTTGTACATTAATATATTTATTTAAATCTTTTTAATATGTACAGTGGCTGTTTCTGCTAAAAATCATGTTATGTGGACTGTTGGAAAAAGGATGAAACACAAAGGAAGGTGATGTTAAGGGTGAGACATAAATAACAAAAGCAAAGGTGTCAGAATTTGGGCTTCCAGGGTGTGCTGCTCCTGCTGTCCTACTGCAGAAGTCCCCTAAACTCCCTTCATGGGAAACCATGCTAGTTCCCTACATGGAAAACTATCCTAACAGACATAGAGTTGAATCCTAACCTGAATCAGTTGTAAGAAAATAAAAGTACAGACTACCACTACGAGTGTTAACTACTGACTGTATATAGCGCCTTTAATCTGAAGATCTGAAAGTGCTTATAAATAATGAACTAAACCCCCCCTGCGAGGTAGGTAAGTATTATTATCCCTATTTTACAGCTGGGGAAACTGAGGCATTCGAGAGGCCGAGTGACTTGCCCAAGGTCACGGGTGGGAGGCAGTGGCAGGGTGGGGAGTAGAGCTCAGCTAACCCTGCTCCCTCCTGGCTCTGCCCACTGCACACGTGGGGACACAGAAACACGAGTATTTACACATGTACCACTGAGTGAGTGATGCACAAATGCAGTTATCCAAACAATCTGCAGAGATCTGCCAGTTATGCCTTGTTTCCGAAACAGTTTACGTGATTTCTCACCCGAGTGCAGACATCTCACAGCTCTGCTTGGTATTCTCAACCCTGGGTGGTATTTGTTGACTTTTTATTTGGTGATGATGATCCCCATCCCTGGGGGAATGTTCATGGCCAGGTTGGACAGGGCTCAGAGCAACCTGGCCTAGTGAAAGGTGTCCGTGCCCATGGCAGGGGAGTTGGAACAAGAACATCATTAAGGTCCCTTCCAACCCAAACCACTCCAGGATTCCACCACCATTTGCATCTGTGCTGCTTTAAAAAGCCAATGAAAATGACATCAGGCTGGGAGGTGAGGAAAAATGCAACTTCAAGAGCAAGAAACCTAAAGAAGGGCAAGTGGTTGAGATTTCCTTTATTCCTAATTCCAAATTCTTTGCATGTTTTATGGATTAGTCCTGAAACCCAGAGAATAAAGGCTAAGTGGGTACCAGTTGGAGCTCAGCTGTGCATCCTGAACCCAAGCCAAGGAAAAGTTGAACTCCTCATAGGAGAAACTCAATGTCCCTTTGGCTCCTGCCCTGCTCCTTGTGGGGACAGCACAGTGGTCATTCACTGATTTCTCTGAGGGAAAGAATAACTTTCACTAAAACATGTTTTCTTTCTGAGCAATTGAAAATGGAAAAACGCTGGTGAAATCTCAAATACTGCAAATGCAAGTGAATTAACCGAAACCTGGGTTGTTTTGGTTTTTTTTAATCAAATGTGTTTTGCAGAAGACACTTCAATTTCCCTCCCCTGAAGCTCCTGTTTTAGCAAAACAATAATTCACCAGCTGCTATAAAGTCTATTGCTACCAGTGGGGATGCATAGATGCAATCACAGAGAATTCTGCCTTTTGGGGGACCAGTTTGACAGTTTTGCAAACTCCTGGACACATGCATTAATCACAGCCAAATCAAATTATTTGTGTTAAATTAAAGTCAGCTCAGAGTCGCTCATAGCTGGGAGCAAGGAAGGATCTGAGTCAAGAAACAAAACCCTGGGGGAGCCCCAGCTGAGCAGCCAAGTGAGGGATCTTCCCCCTTCAGCACAGCACTGCAAGGGGTTTTGCAGACAGTTTTATCCCTCCTGACACCTGCCCTTTCAGGACACAGCAGGGGAGAACGTGACTCACACTGTTCCCATGGAAGGGATTTTTACATTTTTGGGGGCAGCACTGCAGAGTTGATCACTTTTCATTTTATTGTCTGTACCAGTTAATGCAGGGCTGCATTTAAACTGCACAGTATCATCATCATCACCAGTAGCTGTGGGCTTGTTCTTAAAGCTTTCCACTGTCCAGGGATACAAACTCTGTTTCTGGCCTGCTCTCAAGCCCTCTTGATATAATCTGCATAACTGTACTTGAATTGTTTTCATTCTTACTCCTTACACAGGACATACCAAAAATATTTGCTGCCCCTACGTCAAGTAGACTTCATAATCCTGCAGGGTGGTTAGGTGAGGCATCAAAGGACTCAAACCCTTTCCTTCAAGCCCCTGCAGCAGCTCCTGCTGCTGTTCATCTTCACAGAGATGTGCTCGGTTGGGTTCATTGAGCGCTGGGGCTTTAATTGTGAGCTGCTGCATGACTTGTGGTGGGTCCTCCCTGCAGCTCCCCTGCACTGATGGATTTGCTCCTAAGACAGGAGTGCTGGATTTGCTCACAGGATGATCAGCGAGCTGCTCCTGACCCTTGGATTTTGCAAGTCTCCTTGTGTAGCACCAATGTCACTTTGCTCAGCCCTCCATGAAGGAAGAGGAGATGCAGTTTTCAAAGACAACTCTAACCCTGCAATTAGCGAGAAAGCCTGAAATGGGTTGATACAAAATGCCTTTCACTCTGCCTTCAGTAGAAACTTAAATATTTTGGGTTTTACACTGCCTGCTGTTAACAAGACTGGTGTCATTTTACTCCAGGAACACAGAAACATTTTGGAGTCCCTGCTCCTAGTTGCTGATTTTTCTTGACACCAGGGCTGTATTGTATTTTGAGGTCTTTATTTAAAGCCTCCACGAGTTCAATGTGTTGGCACCTGCAGCTCTGCTTCAGGAACTGGCTGAACATTCACATTCCTGCCTGATTTCTGGGCTCCACTGGGCCTGTTCCATGAAGCTGCACAGGTGCCCAAAGGAAAAGCCCAACAAGATGGTTTTGCTTCCCAAAAGGAAGGGAGCAGAGTTTAAAACCAGGGCAGAGTATCCAGCTGCAGGTGACCCAGCATCCCTTACCCCTCTCCTCCTGACCCTCCACGCTGCCACAAGAGCTGCTGGTGCCCCTTGCTGGTAAAATCTGCTCCCCTGCAGCGGCAGGTGTAGATTTTCTGGCATTACTCTTTTCCAAAGGCAATTCCCAACTCAGTGCACAGATGAGGTGATTTTTTGGCAGGCACCCTTGGGAAATGGTGCAGCTCACATAACCTCTCCTGGGAACCCAGACTCGCAGGAGGGCAGGCACAAAGCCATTCCTGAGCTCCTTGTCAGCACTCGGTTCCTCCAAGAAAGCAGCTGATTAATAACAGCTCTCAAGTGGTGGTGTCTCTTAGCAACACTGCAGAAGAAAGTTCAAGTATCACATTGTTAAAAATAAAATAAAAATTAAAAAAAAAAAAGAAATAACCACAAAAAATCACTGTTAACAATTCAACCATTTTGCCCTTCACGAGGTTGTCTCCTCCCTGCTCTGATGCTCCTTGGAACTAAAGCAGTGACAGTGGTGAGCCCTGTCCAGCCACTACCACAACTGGGGGAATAAAAGATACTACCTCCTGCCACTCTCCTTTCTGCTGCACCTTAGAAGAGGAGCTGCAGAGCCATTCCGTGCTGCTGATGCAGTTTGAGCCACTGCTGCTCAGGCTGCTTTTCAGCAGTGCAGCTCCCAGGCCCAGGGAAGATGATCTCGCTCAGCACTTGCCATATCCCGGGAGGATGGGTTCCTCCCTGAAGCCTGACATCCATCAGAGAGATCCAGCAAGAAGTGAATGCAAGTGGTGGAAATGAGATTAGGAACTGCAAAACAAGGGCAAGGCTTAGAGCTGGGTTTTGGCTCAGCCTAAGAGAAACAAACGTGTAGGTTTGTAGTTGAAGCAGCCACGGCTGGTTTGGGGTCAGTTCATCTACGGAGGAGTTGGTAGTGAAGCCAGGTGCTTGTTGCCACTGTCAGCCTAACTGGAAGGTCTTTCTGCTCCCTAAAAGGGAAATTAGGCAAATAAGCAAATAATAACGTGTTCCAGCTGGCTGATCAAAGGGGGTCTCATATTGAATAACAATTTACAATGTTAATATAATAATAATGGCCTGAAAAAACACGCACAACTGAATGAATCAGAAGTCATATTGCTTAAAGGAAACAAAACACCAGCTGTAAGTTGAAACCCTTTTAAGAAAGATTTTAAATGTGATTCTCATCCTCCTGCTCACCAGCTGGGTGTGTTGTTGAGGAAAACTGAGCCAATGGTGTTGGACAGCAGTGAAACCCAACCTATGGTCAAATGATGATGGGACCACTGGAGAAATCCTTTCCTCAGCCACCAGTGCATCTGAAGTCTGTGGGGTTTGAAGACTAAGACTACATCTGAAGGTATTCCTGTGGTTTATAATGACCTTATAAACGCTGAAACCTTGAGTTTAGTATTAGCGAGTGTAAAAAAATAAATTAAAAAATGTGCAGATGGTTATAAAATAGGCTAACATAAGTGTGTTTACACTTTTTTTTTTTTTTTTTTCACCTGTGGACAGAAAGGGAACAGTAATGTTGAATCAGATGAGAGCAAACAATTACCAATTCTTGGGTGGGTTTTCCAGTGAGTGTTAAGATAGTTTTACTCAGAGCCGAGTGGTAACGTGATCCTCCTGTCCATCTTTCCACTGGTTTATAAACAAGTCACAGGCCTCTCCCCATGAATCAAACACATCCTCTGACGAGTCTATAAGTTTGGAATTAGAGGAACAAATACTGGAAGCACAGTGAAGGGAGCTGGCACAAACCACAGGACATTCCTTGCTCTGCCCTGTAAGTCTCGTGTTCCCACTGTAGGCCACCTCATTGAGGTTAATTTCACTTTTGGAACAATTCTCTTCCCTCTCTCGGTCAATCTGAGAATATTTAATGTCTTTCCACATGTAGTGTGGCTGAATAATCCCATCTGAAATGGTGTACATGGGTTCTGAATTGGGTTCAGGTACGTGTCCGTTCATCTTGGAGAAGAGCAGGCCCAGTCTCTTGAAGGATTCCTTCTTGGAGCTGGACAATCTCTGAACTCTGTTCCCATTGCGGACAAAGGAGCGCTTACTGATCCCGTTGCTTTTTGGCTTCTCTTCCACGAGGTCGATGCCAGACATGGTTTTAATGAGAGCAGACACATTGAAGTCCTTCTTTTTGTTGGCTACGTTGAAAGACACGCTCTTGGCTCGGGGTTTTTCTCCGGCACCATCCTCATTTGTTTCGTCCTTCTGGGACACCTCTGTGCTGCTGGTGGAGTAACTCCTCCTCTGGGGCTTCCTGTTTCCCAAGAGGTCAAGAACCTCGTAGCGAAAACTTGAGATGTCCTGTTTTAATTCCTAGGGCAGGAGGAGAAAGGAGTTACTCTCAGCAGCTTTGCCAGCTGTGTCAATGGCTGGTATCAAATCAGGCTCACGAGAACACCACGCCCGTGTTCGGTGATGCACAAACAACGATGGTTTGGCGATTCAGGGAACTGGAGACCTCACAAGGTCTTTGTCCCCAAAGGCTTAGGGGGGACTTGGTCATATTGATCAACCTCCTCTGCCCATCCCTGATCCCCCAAAAACTCAAATAAGACAGTTACAGAAGAGCAAAGACTGCTGAAATGCAGAAATATGGCAGGAATCCTCTTTAACTGACAGGCCCCACCTGAATTTTGCTAATGAGTGTTAATATTCATTAAGCCCAACTCATTCTTTGGCTCTGTCTGCATTAGGATTAGGAACGTGATGTTGACACAAATCACATACTTCCTTCCTACCCTTTTCTAACAGTTTTGGTGACATAACATATTCTATATTAAAATCTGGGAGGTGATCATATGAGAAGACAATAATATTCTCTGCTCACCCCCCCCCCCATGTGCCCATTAGATATATTCCCAGCTCTGGTAATAGTCCTATTTTCACACATTACAAATCATCTTAACAACTATTGCAAGTAGTTATTTAAATTAATATAATAAATTATTACTAAGGAGTAATAAATTACCTTGAAATTCTCTTCAGTTAAACCTTCGTTGGTTTTGGAAGTCCTTATCATCGCTGCAACGTATCTTTTCACAAGATTCCTTATCACTTCCTGGAATGGGAAACAATCCAAGTGATTCAACTGGCTGGCTCAGCCCAAACTGTTCTTACTGTGTTTTCTTTGAGCACTTACAAACAGCAGCTGTCCTGACTCTGCTGGCTGAGACCAAAATCACTCACCATCAGAAACAGAAGGCTTCCTTTTACACAGAGCAAACCTTGGGACAGGTTGATGTACCTCCCATCTGGGATGCTCAGTCGTTAGCTACATAGGTCAAGCAGGTGTTTTGTGCTGGGGTTTGTATTTGTCAAAACTGTGGAGAACAAATTCTTGATGTTCTTCCATGTGCTCAAGCCCTTTCATCTCAGCTGCTGGAAGTTTTTACACTTACCAGTCTCGTGTGTACATTTTGTGTATCCTGTTTATCCTATTATAAAGTATTTGAAAGCCAAGGAGGGTACACTGGCAAAAAATGACGTGAAAAGCACGTCACTTGAGCTTGAACATTTACCTCTGCCAGCCAACACACACCAAGGCTCTCTGTGGATGTTCCACCACCAAACTCGCCCTTTGTTTCCCCCACTTCATAAACAGGGATAACCAGTCTGAGCAACACCAAGCAGGAAGATGGTTCTGCTGGGAGGTTTTTAAGAGGTCCCACTGTTGCTGTCAGAAAGCTGTTGTCAAAGGTGACTAATTATGTTAACGATCAACATCAGATAAAAGCACTCTTCAAAAGGTAGGGGATGTCTTAAGTAAGACAAATCACTGATGTCTTTTGGCAGTAGAGCCTGAGGTACCACCTAAAATTCTGCAGGATTTGTTTTCCTTCCAGCCTGCTGGCATAATGCATCCCACTGAATTCCAGGACTCAAGCTAGTGTTTTTAATAAAGTTTCATCCATTTTGTAGGTTGACTTTAATGAGTCCTTGATGACAGGCAGGCTGAGAACAAACAAAACCAGCAAGATTCAACAATGAGCCGCCCAAAACAAAAGCAAATCCCAGCCACTGTTGGAGTTGGGGATGCTTTACAAAAAGATCAGGAGAGGAGCAATTCAAGAGTGTAAAAATGCACAGAAACAGTTTTAACTGAAGTGGCATGACAGCCTGTTGGCCACAGGGATGTCACCTTCACTTCAGTGGCCAGACTGATACCTGGCAAGTTTTCCACCACTCAAGGGGGCCGAAAGGCAAGGAGAGATTTACTGAACCATCCACCTCCAGTGAGGAAATGTTTTAATCTGTGATAAGCAAAATCCTCTTAAGAGGACCTACACTTATGGAAATGTATTCTAGAGCAGGAAAAAAAGGAAGCAGCCAGTTAAAACCGGATCTGCTCAGGAGTTTACCTGGTAATGTTGATTCTGAATCAGGTTGTCAGCGTGCCGTTCCTGGAAAGAGAAAAACACAGGTGTGTTACCTCTTTGGTCCGGTCTTTAGAGCTCCTAATGGCTCTTAGCAAGTTAGGATCCAGCAGCTGTCTGCTGCCCCAGCAGAGCAGTGGCCCTCGTGATCCTGAACATGCACAACACCCTCAAAAAAAACGAAGTACAAACCCAGGAGCTCCTTACTGTGAACGTTTTGAGGTTTTCATGCCTCTTCTGTTCACTGTCAGACTCATCACCTGGGCACAGCTGGTTGTGGATCCACTTGCAAAGGTACCAGACTGATTTAGGGCTGGGGACAATGTTGAAAGGAGGGGGCAGAGTGGCACCTTCATCGAAGTAACTCATCCAGAGCTTCGTCCGCGCGAACTTCCATTCGATATCCGCGTGGTCCTGTGAGGGAAGCAAAGAGACCATCAACAGCTCCAGGCAGGTTCTCCTGGAGCCAATACCCCCAAGCCAAGGAGGTGACATGGAGAAAGGATTCCTCCAGCAGTATTGCTTCTTCCATCTCCCTTGCTGGGGATGTGCTTAAAAAACCTGGTGTGAAATGTAGCCAGAGTGTGAAAATACCAACCACGGAGAAGTGAGAGGACAGCGACACCCAGCAAAGAGAATTTCAGGTGCTGAAGCCCATCTTTGTCCTTAAGAGGTCGTGCTTATTCACACAATACAAGTTCACCAACACAAAAAACACAATTCTCAGTTCCCTTTTTGCTAGCACTTTCATTACCACAAACCACTGCTTCTCACGTCTAAATCCAATGAATTCTCATATTCTTCCCTGGAAAAAGCCCTTTCATGATGGTTTTTTTGATTTGCTTTCTAGAGCATCCATTAATTCTGCTCCTATGAGAAAGCAACACATTTTATGTGTGCCATATTTTACATCTTGTCTCTGCATTATCATTCCAGGAGCTGGGAGACATTTTACCCTTAGGTTGGTGGTGTTTTTTACATTATATTACCACCACCACAGCTTGCTTGCTCTAGTGCTTTTCACCTCAAAAGGACGATGCAGGTTTTTAATTTTACAAGGAGGCTTCAAAAAGGGTGGAAGGAGGCAGCTCACGGAGCGAGGGATGCTCGGCTGCAGCTCACGGAGCCAAGCAGTGAAGTGCAGGACAGGGAGCTGAATAAAATACAGCTGAACATCATGCCCAAAAAATGACTACACTGGCTTTCTGGCCACACTCCAGTGCTCTGACACGGGTAAAATATGCTCACATTTCACTGCTGAGGTGCAGCTGAACTCCATTTTAGCACTGCATTCAAATTATGCACAGCTCAGATTTAAGAGGACTGCCCCAGTGGCCCAGGAGCACATCAGTCTCTGCAGATGGTCTGAACCAGCCCAGAACACTCCTGTCCCATGCCAGCTTACCAAAAGGGCTGTTTGCAGGCCACAGGTACACTCAAAGATGCAGCCTGACGTGCCCCTTTTTTCCTCTTACACAATCAGACCCCATGAACAGTGAAACTGCAGCATCCCTGTGAAGTATTAGAAGTTGATGCTGGTGGAAATGAAGTTCTGGGTAGTAAAAAATGCAATTTGTAGCAGTAGAAATAACTGCCACCATAAAAAAAAAAAGAAAAAAAAGAACAACTCCTGCTCGTGTTTTCTTCATTTGTCTCTCCCTGCAGAGCTCAGGGAGAGCAGGACATGCTTCCCAAAATCTGGGTTAGGGACAAGCAGCCCACAGGACAACTCTGCTTAATAACTGCTGGGAGTTAAAGGCAGAGCTGCCCTAACCTCTTCCAGAAGCAAGGCTGGCTGCTCCCTGCTCAGACCTAAAGGCCATCTTTCTACCTGAACATTTCCTGGGCAACTTGAGCTGAAATAGTTGGTCTTCAGAGCAGGAATGACCGGCATGGCAGGCCAGGTGAGCTCAGGGGCACCTGGGAGGGGGGAGATCAAATCTCTCTTAGAGAAGGGGCCCAAGCTGCAGCTTTGTGTGCTCCACTTGGATACAGGGTCACAGAATTATTTAGGATGGAAAAGCCCTCTAAGATCATCAAGTCCAACCACGGACCAGTTGGACAAGTCCAACCAGCACTGCCAGTAGCTCATGTCTTTGAAGTGACACACTCACACAGCTTTTAAATACCTCCAGGGCTGGGGACTCCACCACTGCCCTGGGCAGCTCTGTGCCAGGGTTGGACAACGATGTCAGTGAAGAAATTCTTCCTGATATCCAACCTAAACCTCCCCTGCTCACTACCAGGAATGACCCAGCGGTGACTGCGTGCTGGAACACTGCAAACCAGAGGTGTGCTGCTGCTGCTTCAAGCACCTGAAAGTATTTTGTGGGGGTAACAACTGCATGAGACCAGTGAGTTACACAGCCCTGGTGTGGGTAAGCATGAACCACAAACACTCGGCAGCACTGACAGCGAGGGAGTTGAGTGCTAGGAGAGAGCAAAGGCTGTTATGATGGATAGAAACATATATTTTAACTTCTTGGTCGATACAGGAGTAGGTGTGAATGTCCTACTGAGGATTCAGAAGGGAGAAGGCAGTTTGGAGAAGGTCATTAATCCACCCATCCCTTCTACAAAGGTCCATCCAAGGCCCGGTGTCGGTGGTGGGGTTGGATCAGGAGTGGTGACCTGGCAGCAGTTTCCTCCAGCACATCACAAAAGGGAATGTCCTGGTGAAGATGTAATTTGGTAGTGGATGCTGTCTGAAGAGTGAGGCAAACCTCCAGCTTGGGGACTGCAAACTTGTTTCTGGGAAAGGAAGGAAGAAAAGGGCCAAAGAGCTTTTCTGCACAGGGTGTTTTCTTTTTGTTCTTTCATTTTAAAAATAACTGAAGGGACCACTTCATCCCTGGAAGTGTTCAAGGCCAGGCTGGACGGGGCTTGGAGCAACCTGATCTAGTGGAAAGTGTCCCTGCCATGGCAGGTTAGAACAAGATGACCTCTAAGATCCCTTCTAAGCCAAAACATTCTGTGATTATATGACTACATGGGCTTTACTTGGGGCTGAGTGTTTTGAAACTTAGTGGAGTTTCTCCTTGGGGACATTTTGTGGTTGGTCTGAACAAGCCCTGGATGCTGCCTTCAACCCCACCTGTATTTCTTCCTGTGCTATCTCAGTCAACAAGTGCACTACAACCTCTCTTAAAAGACAGAGCAGACCCTCTGCATGAAGCTCCAAGCATCTCTTCTTTCCTTCTTTGTTCTGTCGCTGTGAATTCCCCAGGGTTCACAAACTCAGCCTGTCTCAATTATTCACCTTGATGTTTTGTGAACCTGAGCAAATCAGAGGAGAGCTCCTGGCAGCAGTTTTGTGCTGGAAATGTACAGCACAGAAACACTTCAGCTTTACTGAGAATGTCTCTGTGTGCCAGGAAACCACCATTTCCTTGCTTAGAGCTCTCTTTAGTGCAGTAAGTAGTGAAACCTGCACAAAAAACTACAGTTTCCCTAACTCTCCTCTCTGTGCTGAGCACCAGGAGAAACATAATTCAACATCCATCCCATACCTGATTCAAACCTGAAGCACTCATGAGCTAGAGCCAGCACAACAGTCACTGCACTGGCTGGGAATGGGGCTCCAGATTTGGGGTGTCTCCCCAGTGACTGCAGGACAAGATGGACATTTTTGGGAGCTGCCTGAATCTGAGCAGTGGGGACAGGATCCTCACAGACCTGTGCTGTCTCCAAGTGTTCTTAAGAGGACATTTTATAACAAGCTAAAGGAACACATCCAGGAGCTTTGCAAGCATGACCTTGCTGCTTCAGGAATTTTAACCCAAGTTTGGATTTCACTGTCCTCTCTTTTGCCATTGTTCTTGTGGTTTTCTTTCAAGCACTGTTCAGCATTTCAGCCATCAAACACTCTACTGAAGAGGGCCGAGCCCTCAAAGCTCAAAGAATCAGGAACTCAAAGAAACCAGCACTTGGCTTCACTGTGAGGAAAAAAAAAAAGGTCTTGCTTCCTACAAGAATGTGGATGTGTCATCCTGGACACATAATCCTCTGGCAAATCTCTGCCTTTTGAAGTGAGAATTAATCTCCCACAAAGATTTCCCACTGGGATCACTGAAGCCATCTTACTGTAGCAGTTGCAAACATCACCTAATTCAGTCAAAGTGAGGTGTTCACAGATGTGCCAGATTTTAAGTGATTACCTGCTACGCTAATTATCCAGGATAATTCAAGCATTAATCTCCATCTTTATCTCTGTGTAGAAAATGTGTTGTTTACAGTCTGTGAGATGTTTTTCTATAAAGATTTCCATCAACCTCTGCTTGTTGGGCAATACAAGTTAGATCACCTTTGCCAAATAACAACCAGATTACCTGTGGGTCCTGAGACCCAACAATGGAAGAGGGTGCCAGCTCTCTGTATGAGGTGGTTTACCCCTGCCACAGGGTTCCTCACCTCTTCACAACTTCACTATTGCAGTTCCCTCGTGGCTAGGAAGCTGGGGGAGGAAATCCCTGTGACTTTTCTCTCAGCACACAGAACCTGAAGCAGAGGGCTGGCCCGTGGGAAGCCTCCGGCAAATCGGGAGCCCAGCATCCTGACTCTTGAGTTAGCATCCCTGGAAGCACTGGGATAGCCCTGAATTTCAGGCAGCTCCAGGTTGCCAGGCTGAAATGGATTCTGGCAGCTCCCTGAACTCTGGCACACTGTGGTTTGCTCTGGATCAGGCTGGTGCAGAGTCTCAGCTCAGAAGGGCAGGGTTAGATGAGAGATTGGGAAGAAATCCCTTCCTGGGAGGGTGGGTAGGCCCTGGCACAGGCTGCCCAGAGAAGCTGTGGCTGCCCCATCCCTGGAAGTGTCCAAGGGCAGGTTGGAGCATCCTGGGCTAGTGGAAGATGTCCTTGCCCATGAGCATTGGACTAGGTGACGTTTAAGGTCCCTTCCACCCCAAACCATTCTGTGATTCCATGACACACAATCACAAGATAATCAGTTACTTCAGCTACAATCAAGGAAGGATAAAGTACAAAGATCTCTCCTGCTGTTTTAGCTGGCACAAAAAGGGCTGCACGTGCCTGTCTTGTGTTTTATTCCACAACACTCAGAGGGCTGCTGCCTGTCAGATGCAGATAGAGATGGCTGTGACAATGCCCTCAGGACCAGGCTGGCTGGCTGGGGCTGCCTTCGAAGGAGGGATGGGAAGCTTTCCAGTTGTGCTGGGAGTGCTGGCACAGAAGCTGCTGTGATTTCTGCAGCAGGACTGCTGCTGCCCCGTCTCAGGAAGAGCCACTGGCAGCCCCACAAGACCAGGATGTGGCCAAGCCGTGGTACTTTCCTCTAGGAAGGAGGGAGAAATGCAACATTTACCTGAGTGAGGGAGGATGGCTGCCTGAGAGGCACAGCAACTTCAAAAGGTGCTTTTTCTGTTGTGCAATTGCAGTATGTGCTGTAAAACGTAG